CGGCAAACAATTTGTCCAATGATTTCATAACAACTATAATACGTTTAGTAGTAATTCTAATAGTAGTTGTCTGACGTTTATTAGCTATCAGTTTAACTAATTGATGATAAATTTTATACTGTTTTAGCTTTAAATAGCGGCACAGTATGTAAAAGTATACCGTTTGATATTGCATTATATTGAATATATAAAAACATAATAATGTAAAAAATATACTATTTGGTATACCATATAATAACATATAATTTAGAGGCATATAAGCAAAATAAGCAATTAAACAAAAAAATAGACTACACAGTGGTACTATACAAACAACATTTAGATAACTGTATTTGCATAGCCATCGCATCCGTTTGATAAGCTTCTGTATCTCCTGTGAATCGGTTAGGCCAACACTCAAGGGTGTCCGTAAACCGGACATCATTTCAAATACACCCAAAAATGTTTGTTTTACGTCAAACATATAGTTGTAAAAATAGGTTAACTCGGAAACTAAAGTCAATACTGAAACCAATATCATTTGGATAGTCATTAGTTTTCTATTGACCCAAACGTATGCCCAATCGCCTAACTGAGCAAACAATTGCCAATTGTTGACATCGATAAACAAACAGACAATGCGTTCAATGATGTAAATCATACAAACAGTGATTATAATTATCGGTCGATTAAACCATAGTCTCTGTTGAGGACAATAATTATCGGCGGCTACTAATCGTTCGTTACTTAAGCCGATTCGGTATAAATGAAATGCTGACCACTTGTATACCATATTAGATGGCAATAACTTATTAACTGAAATTTCAGGCATTTTATGATTTAAAAAAAAATTAAATATAGTTAAATTATTAATTAAAATTTACATAAACTAGTCATAGAGTTTTTACTATTTAACTATATAATACAATAGTTTAGTAAGTTATGAATACATACAATAATTAATTTATATTTTATTCAATAAACTAAAAAGATGAATTTAATTATTATAAAATATAAATTTATCTAATTATTAATTAAATATAAATTAGTACTATAAGTTGTTTTTATTATAAACTAGATAAACATATTTTTTTACAACTAATTATTAATATTACAAAATATCTGTTGATGAAATTTATTAGTAAATTTAATAGACTATTAATGATACTATATGTTTATAATTTAGAATTATATAGAATATTATAGATTAAAATAATAATTATTATAATAATTATTAATGTTATTTTTTATTGTACTAAAACATAAATATTAATAAATTAATAACAAATAATTTTAAAATAATTAGAATAATTTTTTATTTCTAGTTATTTCTAGTTATTTCTATTAAATAGTTTAATTAGTAATAAAAATTATTATTATTATTTTAATTAATTTTTATACAAGAATAAAAAAAAATTATGAATGATTTTATTAAAGCTTAAGTATTAATAATAATAGTTATATTATCAAAATTAATTTTGCAAAACAAAATAAACAATGTAACTTTTTGTAACAATTTGCACACAATTTCAATTTGTTTAGACTGTTTTATATTTTTGTTTAATATACAATCGATATTTTGCTAATAAATATTTATAAATAAAAATATATATCAGTTTTTATTTATCTACATATATGGTAATCAATTTGACATATATATATAATTATTATTATTAAATAATAATTAATTATATATATATATGTCAAATTGATTACCATATATGTAGATAAATAAAAACTGATATACAAATTATATTATATAATGTATATATTTATTATATACAGTATATGAATTTACAAAAAAATAAAATAACATAATATTGTTTATATAAATCTATTTTTTTGGTAGTTATTTTATAATTTCAAGGATCACATAATAATACACATTTATATACAGTATTTTTAATAATATGCATTAGAGTATATTATATTTTAAAACATATATATTTTTTAATAAAATCGAGTAATCATTTTATAATAAATAATTCAAATTTATCATAATAGTGATTTGCTACTGTTTTCAATAATTAAAAAATCAATTAAAATAGCAAATGTTATTTTTTCAAAATATTTTTTCAAATAATTAACAAAATTATGAAAAAGTTATCTATTTTATTTTTAACATTAATTTTAATAACTAAATTATTATCATCATACTCATCAAAACCGGTACCAATTATTGACAAAATTACCGGGATACAATTGTCCATTTATACCGATACCAACTATGCCATACAAAATAAGGCCAGTGGTAGATTTTTGCTATGGTATCAGGGCATAGGTACTACAGCCAAAAAGCTGAATACATCGCACAGTAGGTTTTATCACACGATCGAGTCCATGGATAACGGCTGGTATTATATGGACCATAGATTTGTCGGCCATTATATCAAGATAGCCCGTTCCCGATTTGATGGCTACTATTTTATTTACAATCAAGATTGCTGTAAGTTTAGGTATAGTTTAGTAATATACAGTATATATATATAAATATCAGTTTTATAATAATTACATAATATATTTACTGTATGTATATATATATAGATGATGGTCAGTATCCTAATCGTGAGGCCGGCACTGAACACCAAGTAATGTGCTATAGACCGGAGCACGACTCGGGTACCAATTATAGTTATAAACCCGAATATAATTGGCTATTTATTGAACAATCCGATATTGCTGGCAATACCGGTGCCAATGTTAATAATAGTCACAATCATACTGTTTGTATAGTAATCATAACAATATTGGCTGTGGCATTAGTAGCTACCGGTGCCGCAATGATTATTTGCTATGTTAAGGGCAAAAATAATCACATATTACAACAGCAGCCAAATAGTTTTCAAAATATATTTTATATAAAAGAAAGCAACACTAATATAGATGATAATAGTTTTGATGATAAATATTTTACATTTTACGATCATTGCAAACAATAAAAAGCAATATAACAATTTACAAAAACAATATCAAAATTATTAGTATTTTTATCATCTTATTTCAATTGTTATTATTCATTGCTATCTTTAACAACAACAACAAAAATATTAAGTAAATTTTTTGTTTTAAATAATAATTATTTGTTTTATGTTATTTTAAATGTTATAATTTATATGTAGTAAAAATTATAGTAACCTTCAATTAGTATAGATCTGTAACTCTCTTAAAAGCTATCATGATAGATTTTTGAATTTAACTTGATTACGTATTTTATGATAATGTAAATTATATACCTTACTCATTTACAAATATACTATTACTATCAAAATTATATTTTTACCCTATTATATTAATTAATTGTTTTTTTGTCAATATAGTTAATGTTATGCATTGTATGTTTAACTATTGTTTTTCATTGATATATAACATGTTTAATATATTTGTTTTTATAAAATTTTTTATTCCCTAATAAATTTTGTTATGTTATATTTGTTTTATTAATTTAGTTTTAATATTTTTTGTATAATTAACGTTCAGGGACCGATTAATAATAAACCTATGAGAGAGTCTATGGTATAGATATTACTTAAGATAAAGTAAAAATTTTAAAAAATTAAATAATGTTATTTGTTTGAGTATAAATAAATAATATCTATTATTTAGTTTTTAAGATTTTTGTTTCATGATTGATTATTAAAGTTGTAATAACTTTTATACTAAATTAATTTTGCAAAACATAATAAATAATGTGCAATTTACATATAATATCAATTTGTGTTTATAATGTAAATATTTAACTATAATCAATATTATTGATCAATAAAAAATACAACAAAGTAATTATTATTAAATTACATAATTATGCTTTTATATCAAATTGATTACCATATATATATAATAATTGTATATACTGTATATTATTTTTTATTTATCTATGATATTAATCTATTGTACAAAAAAAATAAAATTACAAAATTTAAAATTATTTTTTTTATTTTCTATGAATATTTTAATACTGTAATTTCCAGGAAATTATACATATCCTATTTTAACTGATTCATTAATTCTACTAATTATTATAATACAGTATTATTAAATATTTTTAGTAATATATAATATACTGGAAAATATTTTATTTCAAAATAGGCATTAAAAACATAATTACTGAACTTGAAAATTATTTTTTATATATATTAAAGATTTTTTTTTTAAAACAAAACATTATATTTATTCTAATTATAGACAAATTTAGCATATATAGACATACTATTATTTTAAATCAATAACAAAAAATTAATTATAATATATACTTTATTTATTTATAGTTAGTTGTATACCCAGTGCTATAAAATTAGATGGCGGACATGGTTTTGTCGATTTACTAATTTTTTATAAACTTATTAATTAATTAAAACATTTAAAAAACAATTTAATTAATTATAATATACGGTATATTCCATTAATATATACTGTTATTTAGTGATTAAAATTATGTATAATTAGATTATTTGATGATTTTTTGCAATTAAAATTATTTTTAAAAAATTAGTTGTTTTTATTTTAAAAAAATAAGAAATAATAGTAAATCAATAGTAAAGATAAACATAGAGAGAGAGAGAGAGAGAGAGAGAGAGAGATTTATATTTAAAAAACTTATAAAACAATATAATTAATATCACTATATATTATTTAGTTATTTTAAAATAAATAACATATATTTCATAGTAATAATTAGAAAATAATTAATCTAAAAAATATTTTTGAAAAAATTAAATACGAATAAAAATATTAATTTATTTTTAAAATTTTAGTTTTAATAAATGTTAATATAAATATTTAAAATAATATATATATAATACTTATAATAATAAATATACATTATATGCAATATTAAAGTTGTTTAATAAAATTAAAAAAATTACCTTGTCATACTTTTTAGTTAACGTAATATTTTTTTAAATAATAATAACTAGAGTCATTTTGTAAATAGATTTTCAATTTAAGTTGCTTAACTACAAATTTATAATTCAATTATTTGTATTGTTATTATTAATTAATTTTTTAATTAAATAATTAAAATAATGTTTAGTATAAGTCCAGAAATATATAGTTCAAAAATTCAGCATGGTCCTAATTTATATGCAATCGAGTCTATCAACGAGATTAACAATATTACTAATAATAATATTAAAAGGTTTTAATAATTTTAATATTTATAAATTAATTAATTAACAAATTTTAATATTTATTAGTTAATTATTATAATTAACAAATTTTAATATTTATGAGTTAATTAATTAACAAATTTTAATATTTATAAGTTAATTATTTAACAAATTTATATATTTATAAAATAATAATAATCATCATTATTAATGTATAATTAAACAGATCATACAACTAAACTAAACAAATAAAAAACAATTTTTTTAATTAATTAATTATATTAACAGATCCTATGATCTGATTGTTGACTTGGGCTGCGGTGACGGCGGTATTACCAAACATTTATTAAGCAAACATATCCCACATAAACTGTTGGTCGGCATCGATATCGTACCCGATATGATAAGCTATGCCCGTAATCATAATACTGATGACACCATTGAATATGTATTGCAAGACATGGGTGTCGGTTGGCTTGAAATGTGTCCACAGATTAGACAATTGGAGTCCAGAGTTAATCTAATATTTTCAAACTTTACCCTACAATATATGCCCGATAAGTGGCAATTGATGGCCACCTGTAATCGCTTACTGTCCATTAGCAGTGGTGGCGGTATATTTCACGCCAATGTAATTATATTACCCGATCTAAATAAAAAACTGGTCACAAACAATACCAATACTACCAATGATCCCAACAAACTACCGAAACAATGGTATCAAACCAGTGAAAAACAATTAGACGATTGGCGTCAAAGTCTATCGGATAATCACTTTCTGATCCATAAGTTTCAGATTATTGATAGCATTTGGCCGACAGATAGACAGAGAATGTTTGGTATTTATAGTATTTTAATTATATTAATTTATAGTTATATTTTTAATTTTTTAAATTATTATTAATTAATTAATAGATCTAATGCCAATAATTCTGTCAAACTATCGGTCATTTTTCAAAAATCAATCGGATTTTGATAGTGAACTCAACCATCACTTAACGGATACAGTGTTTGACGCCTATGTCAACCCCGACAGCTCAGAGCCCAACCCCAGAGCGTGGCAACAGTTTTTGTCAGACACTACCGTTACGGAAGTTAACCTTAACTATCGTATACTACGTATTACTGCTGTTAAACAAAATTAAATTATTTAAATAAAAAAATAAATAAACAATTATTTAATGTAATTTTTTCTTGGTACATTATGTTTATGTTTTTTTATTTGAAAATTGAAATAAAATTTTAATTATATTAGAATAATATCTAAAGTATTATTATTTTTTTCTTAAAAATTATTATTAATAATAAATACATTAATAAATTAATTATATTTAAAATTATCAACTGTTTTATAAAAAAAGAATATCGTTTTGTTTATAAAAAAATACTAAAATATTTAAAAGTTTTATAAAAGTTAAAAAAAATCTACTAAAATATATAGTAAATTCAATTATAAATTAAAAAAAATAAATTTGAGTTACTGTTTCATATTCACATAAAATATATTAAAAACTAATTTCATATCAAATTTTTGTTTAGCTATTGTTAACATAAAATATAATATATATAATTACATTTTTAACAAAATTTTTTATTAGATTAGTGTATTGTAATAAAATATTTTAACAAAAATTCTGATAAAAATTTGATTTTTTAAATATATATATAAATTTATATAAAATCAATATGAAAACTATAATATAAGTTTATAATTGTATTTTAATATTATTATTGTAAAAAATATTATAATAGTATAATTATTATTATTAGTTTTATTTTTTTTAAATTAGTAAAATCTCAATATATTACTTATTAAATATTATATAAACAATTAAAAAATAATTATTTTTTATTATAAATCATTTTTTAAAGAGTTATTTGATAATTTTACAAATTTGATAAAATAGTTTTTTATTATTAATACATAAATATTATATTTTTAAATAAATATGAAACCGTAACATAATTTGAAAATAACACCAAAAATAATGATAAAAATTATAATTTTTTTTATTTAACTAAATCTACTAAAAATAATAGTTGAGTTATTAATCATAATTATTGTTGTTTTATATCTTATTAATTATTAGATATTTATAAACAACAAAAACTATAAATAAATGTTAAGTAAAATAATTAAAATAAATTTGTTTTTGTGTTTCTACACAAATGTCTGGTCAACCATTGATATCGTTGACTATCCGAACATAACTGTCACGATGTGTGGTATCGGTCGACAATCATTGCTGGCAAACGGCAAATGTTTTCAATGGTTATCCAATCAAAGTCTAACACCCCGTGAACTGAATAATGGACGCATTGCAGGACCGGGTGAAGTGCCGTTTGCCGTATGGATTGTGTACAGGGAGTAAATAAACACACACAAAAATATTTTATTTTTTTAAATTAATTAAGAAAAACTTACATAACTATGACATATAATTTTCTAGAAATAAAATAAAAATAAATAATTATTTTAATTTACCAGTGGATTCATTGTTGGTCATGGATCGGGTGTCATATTAAACAATCGATGGATATTAACAGCCGCTCACGTAATATAGTAAATAAAAAAAATTAATTAAATAATTAATTATATATAATTTATATATAGTTTAACTAAGTTTTATATTGAATATTTTGAAATTAATTTTTCTAATATTATATAGATTATAAAATTTTAAAAACTATAAATAATTAAATATTTAGACAAATATATATTTATAAATTAAAAAAAACATATATAAACAATAATAATAATACATAATTGAATATATACGGTATATAAATATTTATATTTATATTTTGCAATTATATTATTATGTACAAATTATAGTGATGTAGCTATTAGTGATCTAACAATCTACCCGGGCAAATTGTTTATTGACGACAATGATTATGAAAATGGTTATAACATTGAGAAAACAGTTGTCCATTACATGTATCCCAGAAGACGATTTCCGGCTTACGATATGGCACTCATCAAACTTACAGCTGACTTACCGCTTAGCAGCCAACTGTCCAGTAATAGTGTTAACTATCGGACACTATTGAATGGTATATGTTTGCCACCGTTGGATGCACTCAATAGCGAGGATGAGTTGGCACTGATGGCCGGTTATGGTTTAGTAAGCGATACAGAGAAAAGTGATAGACTTAAAATTGGTTACATTAGGATTAAGAGGACCTATAATAATGCCAGAGATTATTGGCGTATGATTATACTCGGGGAACGGTATCCATCATATAATGGCACCTTTTCATGTTCGGTATGTGTATGTGTATGTGTATGTGTATGTGTATGTGTATGTGTATGTGTATGTGTATGTGTATGTGTATGTGTATGTGTATGTGTATGTGTATGTGTATGTGTATGTGTATGTGTATGTGTATGTGTATGTGTATGTGTATGTGTATGTGTATGTGTATGTGTATGTGTATGTGTATGTGTATGTGTATGTGTATGTGTATGTGTATGTGTATGTGTATGTGTATGTGTGTATGTGTATGTGTATGTGTATGTGTATGTGTATGTGTATGTGTATGTGTATGTGTATGTGTATGTGTATGTGTATGTGTATGTGTATGTGTATGTGTATGTGTATGTGTATGTATTTAATCATTTATCTAACTATACCTAATTAGGGTGATTCTGGTGCTCCATTGTATCAGTATGTAAACGGTAGGGCCGTATTGATTGGCATAAATCATGGTCGCACTGTTAGTAATCACAAATGTGATGCAATCAATGACGGGGCTTATGTAATATTTGTAAGGATATCCTGGTTTGTCGATTGGATTATTGATAGCATACATAATAATACTATTAATTAATTAATAATAATAACAATTAATATTTTCTAATAATTTTACAAAACAACTAATAGTTTTATTTAATTATAATAATAAGATTGTGTTAAATTTTTTATAATTAATTTTTATTTATATTTTAAACTATTAGTATCAATATTTTGATTATTATGTTACATATTTAATTGATTTTTTTTTAATTATTACAATAAAATTACAATTACAATATTTAATATAATTTATTTTAATAAAAATGATATGTAATTTAATGTAGTTAATTAAAGTATGCTAATAATCTATTAGACAATCACTACTACTTTTTACTAAATTAATTAATAAATATTTATAAATATATAAAAATATTATATTTTTAAAATTACTGTAAGTATTAAAACATTAAAATTCAAATATATCTGAAATTTAATTTATTATATAATAATATTTGATTTTACGATGGATTCATTAACTCGCGTCCAATACTAATCTAATGGATAACACGTCTATTATTACGGATGTGTTGCCTGTAATTGATGGCCAAACCAATGGCCAGTCCTATCGTGGATACTGTCATCAGTAGTGATGTGCTTATTATAAATGCTTTATAATAATAATTACGCGATTCAATGATTTGCTTAACAAAATATTTATCAACTGTACTATTTTGACAATTTATTAAATTACCATGGTCATCAATTATATTATTATTTGAGCCAGTTACACTGTTGTTGTTAACTATCATCACAATAAACAAATAAATTTGTGACGGGAAATATAGCGTCAAATAGCTCTTTAAAATATACTTTAAAGAAACTATGTATAGGTTTTATATAGGGGTAGACAATAGAGACTGGTTTGGGTACTAACTTGTTATCGAATCATATGGTTTTAAAATATACTTTAAAACAAAACCCCTTTTTGAGAGTCGACTCTAGTTTTTAACGGAAGCTTTGTATCGGAACTCGGAAGGTCCGCAAAATGACGGAATTATAGCCCAACTCTGTTACACCTAAAGCTTGCACTTAACTAGTAATGAGTAGTCAAATGTTTCAGTTTTACTCTAATTTTTATTCAAAATTAATAGCATATGTCGATAAAACACATGTATAATTAGTTACAGTATATTTTAACTATTTATAATTAATTAAGTCATTCTCGACTTATAATAATGTGTCAATTTACAATTTATATAATTCGATATATTAGGTAACTTATAGTTTATACAAAATTAGTTGAAAACAAATAGAACATAATCAAAATTAATAAATTTTTATAATTTAAATGATTAATAATAGGCTTGCCACTACAAAGTATATTTTGTAGTGTGCAATTGGTAACGCTAGAGGAGCTGATGATGCCTAAATCATCACAAATTACAAAAAACTAACCAAACATTTTATTTTATATATAAATATAATTTTAATTTTTTTAAAAATAATTATTTACATTACATTGACAGTTGTAGAGAAAGAAAATATTTTTTACTAATTTAATCACTAACAGTACAATAGTATTATTATTATAGAAATTGTTTAATAAAATATATCCTTTTAATTAATAATTATTATAATATTACAACAACAAAAATAAAAATAATATTATGATTTTTATAATTTTCAATTTTATACAACAGTAATCAAATTAATTTTAAATTTATATAATACATATATGTATATACAGTATATTAATATATTAATATATACTATTTATAAACTAACGGTTTTTTAATAATTAAAAACAAAATGTGTGTATAATATTACAATAAGTGTGTATAATATTACAATAAGTGTTTAAAATAATATTTATTTTGTTATTATAGAAAATAGTTATTAAAAAAATATATCCTCTGTTTCATGAGTTTTTTTGAAAAAAATAAAAATGTTTGTATTTTTTTCAGTAACATATTTATGTTATATTATTGAAATTTTTACTTTCAATGTGTGTCATTTAGGGTGCTAATTATTTTATTTTTTTAATTTATTCATATTATTTACATATATAATATATACTGTACTTAATATATAATTTATTTTATTATATCAATCTATGTAACTAAAATGTATTTATTATTATTATTATTATTATTATTATTATTATTATTATTATTATTATTATTATTATTATTATTATTATTATTATTATTATTATTATTATTATTATTATTATTATTATTATTATTATTATTATTATTATTATTATTATTATTATTATTATTATTATTATTATTATTATTATTATTATTATTATTATTATTATTATTATTATTATTATTATTATTATTATTATTATTATTATTATTATTATTATTATTATTATTATTATTATTATTATTATTATTATTATTATTATTATTATTATTATTATTATTATTATTATTATTATTATTATTATTATTATTATTATTATTATTATTATTATTATTATTATAACTAATATATAGTTAATACTATAACTAATATGTAGTAATTATCAATAAATAATAATCAGTAACTAATATATAAAAAAATATAATTTATTTTATTAAAATCATTAATAATTAAAAATAAAAATATTAGAAATTTGTTTATTAAAACTTAATATGAAACTAAAAAACAAACAAAAAATAGAAAAACTATATTGATAAAAATTATTATAGTAGTGAAACTTTAATAAAAAAAATAATTAACAAATATATTTTTATAAACAACAAGTTTTTACCAATTTTTACGACATTAAAAATATTGAAAGTAAAAATTTAAAAAATGTATTGAAAAAACAAACATTTATTTAATTTAAAAAAAAAATTATTAGTCATAAGATATATTTTATTAAAAACTATTTTCAGTAATAACAACATAAATATTATTTTAAAACACTTATTGTAATATTATATACATTTTGTTTTTAAAATTATCATTAACAATTAGTTTATAAATAATATTTTTATATAAAAAAATATAAAATATTATTATAATATCAATTGCTATTGTATGAAGTGATATATAAAAGTTATATCAAAATCATAATACTATTTATTTTTTGAAATTTTATAAAATCATTAATTAAAGGATATACTTTATTAAACAATTAAAATAAAAATAAAAACTATTAATACTAATTCTAATTGTGAAATAAATTATATATTTTTTTATCTGAAACAATGTTATGTAATGTAAATATTTATTTATAAAATTCAATTATATAAATTTATAAAAATATAAGGAGTCAGTCAATTAATCTTGCGTCGCGTAATTTTTGAATACCTTTTGAACGGTTAGAGATAATTTAATTCTGTAAAATACATTTAAGATTATCATATCGACCTGACTTAATATACACGCAATCACAAAACTAGGATGACCAGATATACACAATATCGGGACAAACGAAAGACACTATGCTACAGGTCAAACTACAACTGACAAATTAATTATGACATGCAAAATTTGTAGTGAAGAAATAATAGTATTATATAAAAAAGAATCATCTAAATCAGATGGGTAGTTTTATTTTTATGACTTGTTAAGTTTGTCAAATAATATTATATAAAATAGTCTAATATAAAAATAACGTTATTTATGGATTGTATATGTTTATTAGATGAACCTTTCAATTATATTACTAATTCTAAAAACTAAATTTTATTATGTCTAGTTTTCGAAATAATCGAATTATAATATAAATCACACTATTGTAATTTGATATTATAATTTATATTCAAATTCAATTATTTCGAAAACTAGTTAACATATTAAAATTTTCTTTTTAGACAGTAATATTATTGAAAAGATCATCTAATAAATATAAATAATATTTATAAATAACGTCATTTTATTTGGTCACAATATTTTGTATATCTGGTCATCCTAGTTTTGTGATTGCGTGTCTATTAAGTCAGATCGAAATGATATTCTTAAATGTATTTTACAGAATTAAATTATCTCTTAAAGTTCAAGTTATTCAAAAAATTACGCGACGCAAAATTAATTGACTGCCTATTTATATATATATATATTAAGCAAAAACATTATAAAAACATATAGGAGTTCGTGAAAAATAGAAATCTAAATAATAATATATATTATCTAACAGAAAACTATTACCAATTTGTTGATAATTATTTAGCAATTTACGATCAGAGCAAGTAATAGCTTGGAAAAACACCAAAAAAAAATTATATAAACATAATTGAAAATTATACATTTTTAAATATATAGTACTGTATTTATAATATAAATATTTAAATAAAAATCAAATAATCGTCAATAAAAGTTTAATTGTGAATATTTTAAATATAAAATTCATAATATAAGCAAATATTTTATAAAATATAATTTAATTTTACTTAATATAAGAAATATTTGTTATTGTTTAGTAATTAACTTAGATTTATATAATATTTCAATGTAATCTAAATAGTAACAATAATCATAATAATCACAATAACTTAATCATGTATAATTTATCTAGATTTATAATTTAATAATAATTAAACAAAAAATTAGAAACAATTATAATTATTATTGATTATATTTTTGAAATAATTTTTAAGAAAAATATAAACATGTAGACTTGAAAATATCATATTAAATATATAACACATATTATATAACATATATAAATCTGATATTTAAATAAATTTTAAATAAATGTATTAATATTATACTATATAACAATGATGTGATAAAGCATTTCATTTATTAATGAAAATTATTGCAATTTTTAATCACATATTATAAATATAATAGTATTTAAAAAAAATAGTAATTAAATTTTATAAAACTATTATATTTTTAGCAAAAATTATTTTTATTAAATATGAATCTAGATATTGTATTTTTATTAATATTATGTATAATAATTAATTTATCCACCATATCATCGCCAACAAGTATACCATCATCATCACCACCACCACAACGGGAACCGTTATTTGATCGCAATAGTCATCAACCGTTACCAATATTTACCGAAACCTATTATACTGTTCAGAACCAGAAAACTGGTCGATGGCTACTATGGTTGCCCAAAACGGGAACGGCCTACAAATGGTCTAACAAAACAGTGAATATGTTTTATCATTGGTTAGAGCCGACAAATTATCTAGGTTGGATCAACATGCGACATGGTATTAATTCAAATAATATTAAATTATCCCGATCAGATTACCAGGGCTACTATTTTATCTACAGTCAAAATTGTCGTATGTCTACAATTTTATTATTTAGTATTATTATTATAATAATAATTTATTAATTATTATTATTATTATTATTATTATTATTATTATTATTATTATTATTATTATTATTATTATTATTATTATTATTATTATTATTATTATTATTATTATTATTATTATTATTATTATTATTATTATTATTATTATTATTATTATTATTATTATTATTATTATTATTATTATAACTAATATATAGTTAATACTATAACTAATATGTAGTAATTATCAATAAATAATAATCAGTAACTAATATATAAAAAAATATAATTTATTTTATTAAAATCATTAATAATTAAAAATAAAAATATTAGAAATTTGTTTATTAAAACTTAATATGAAACTAAAAAACAAACAAAAAATAGAAAAACTATATTGATAAAAATTATTATAGTAGTGAAACTTTAATAAAAAAAATAATTAACAAATATATTTTTATAAACAACAAGTTTTTACCAATTTTTACGACATTAAAAATATTGAAAGTAAAAATTTAAAAAATGTATTGAAAAAACAAACATTTATTTAATTTAAAAAAAAAAATTATTAGTCATAAGATATATTTTATTAAAAACTATTTTCAGTAATAACAACATAAATATTATTTTAAAACACTTATTGTAATATTATATACATTTTGTTTTTAAAATTATCATTAACAATTAGTTTATAAATAATATTTTTATATAAAAAAATATAAAATATTATTATAATATCAATTGCTATTGTATGAAGTGATATATAAAAGTTATATCAAAATCATAATACTATTTATTTTTTGAAATTTTATAAAATCATTAATTAAAGGATATACTTTATTAAACAATTAAAATAAAAATAAAAACTATTAATACTAATTCTAATTGTGAAATAAATTATATATTTTTTTATCTGAAACAATGTTATGTAATGTAAATATTTATTTATAAAATTCAATTATATAAATTTATAAAAATATAAGGAGTCAGTCAATTAATCTTGCGTCGCGTAATTTTTGAATACCTTTTGAACGGTTAGAGATAATTTAATTCTGTAAAATACATTTAAGATTATCATATCGACCTGACTTAATATACACGCAATCACAAAACTAGGATGACCAGATATACACAATATCGGGACAAACGAAAGACACTATGCTACAGGTCAAACTACAACTGACAAATTAATTATGACATGCAAAATTTGTAGTGAAGAAATAATAGTATTATATAAAAAAGAATCATCTAAATCAGATGGGTAGTTTTATTTTTATGACTTGTTAAGTTTGTCAAATAATATTATATAAAATAGTCTAATATAAAAATAACGTTATTTATGGATTGTATATGTTTATTAGATGAACCTTTCAATTATATTACTAATTCTAAAAACTAAATTTTATTATGTCTAGTTTTCGAAATAATCGAATTATAATATAAATCACACTATTGTAATTTGATATTATAATTTATATTCAAATTCAATTATTTCGAAAACTAGTTAACATATTAAAATTTTCTTTTTAGACAGTAATATTATTGAAAAGATCATCTAATAAATATAAATAATATTTATAAATAACGTCATTTTATTTGGTCACAATATTTTGTATATCTGGTCATCCTAGTTTTGTGATTGCGTGTCTATTAAGTCAGATCGAAATGATATTCTTAAATGTATTTTACAGAATTAAATTATCTCTTAAAGTTCAAGTTATTCAAAAAATTACGCGACGCAAAATTAATTGACTGCCTATTTATATATATATATATTAAGCAAAAACATTATAAAAACATATAGGAGTTCGTGAAAAATAGAAATCTAAATAATAATATATATTATCTAACAGAAAACTATTACCAATTTGTTGATAATTATTTAGCAATTTACGATCAGAGCAAGTAATAGCTTGGAAAAACACCAAAAAAAAATTATATAAACATAATTGAAAATTATACATTTTTAAATATATAGTACTGTATTTATAATATAAATATTTAAATAAAAATCAAATAATCGTCAATAAAAGTTTAATTGTGAATATTTTAAATATAAAATTCATAATATAAGCAAATATTTTATAAAATATAATTTAATTTTACTTAATATAAGAAATATTTGTTATTGTTTAGTAATTAACTTAGATTTATATAATATTTCAATGTAATCTAAATAGTAACAATAATCATAATAATCACAATAACTTAATCATGTATAATTTATCTAGATTTATAATTTAATAATAATTAAACAAAAAATTAGAAACAATTATAATTATTATTGATTATATTTTTGAAATAATTTTTAAGAAAAATATAAACATGTAGACTTGAAAATATCATATTAAATATATAACACATATTATATAACATATATAAATCTGATATTTAAATAAATTTTAAATAAATGTATTAATATTATACTATATAACAATGATGTGATAAAGCATTTCATTTATTAATGAAAATTATTGCAATTTTTAATCACATATTATAAATATAATAGTATTTAAAAAAATAGTAATTAAATTTTATAAAACTATTATATTTTTAGCAAAAATTATTTTTATTAAATATGAATCTAGATATTGTATTTTTATTAATATTATGTATAATAATTAATTTATCCACCATATCATCGCCAACAAGTATACCATCATCATCACCACCACCACAACGGGAACCGTTATTTGATCGCAATAGTCATCAACCGTTACCAATATTTACCGAAACCTATTATACTGTTCAGAACCAGAAAACTGGTCGATGGCTACTATGGTTGCCCAAAACGGGAACGGCCTACAAATGGTCTAACAAAACAGTGAATATGTTTTATCATTGGTTAGAGCCGACAAATTATCTAGGTTGGATCAACATGCGACATGGTATTAATTCAAATAATATTAAATTATCCCGATCAGATTACCAGGGCTACTATTTTATCTACAGTCAAAATTGTCGTATGTCTACAATTTTATTATTTAGTATTATTATTATAATAATAATTTATTAATTATTATTATTATTATTATTATTATTATTATTATTATTATTATTATTATTATTATTATTATTATTATTATTATTATTATTATTATTATTATTATAACTAATATATAGTTAATACTATAACTAATATGTAGTAATTATCAATAAATAATAATCAGTAACTAATATATAAAAAAATATAATTTATTTTATTAAAATCATTAATAATTAAAAATAAAAATATTAGAAATTTGTTTATTAAAACTTAATATGAAACTAAAAAACAAACAAAAAATAGAAAAACTATATTGATAAAAATTATTATAGTAGTGAAACTTTAATAAAAAAAATAATTAACAAATATATTTTTATAAACAACAAGTTTTTACCAATTTTTACGACATTAAAAATATTGAAAGTAAAAATTTAAAAAATGTATTGAAAAAACAAACATTTATTTAATTTAAAAAAAAAATTATTAGTCATAAGATATATTTTATTAAAAACTATTTTCAGTAATAACAACATAAATATTATTTTAAAACACTTATTGTAATATTATATACATTTTGTTTTTAAAATTATCATTAACAATTAGTTTATAAATAATATTTTTATATAAAAAAATATAAAATATTATTATAATATCAATTGCTATTGTATGAAGTGATATATAAAAGTTATATCAAAATCATAATACTATTTATTTTTTGAAATTTTATAAAATCATTAATTAAAGGATATACTTTATTAAACAATTAAAATAAAAATAAAAACTATTAATACTAATTCTAATTGTGAAATAAATTATATATTTTTTTATCTGAAACAATGTTATGTAATGTAAATATTTATTTATAAAATTCAATTATATAAATTTATAAAAATATAAGGAGTCAGTCAATTAATCTTGCGTCGCGTAATTTTTGAATACCTTTTGAACGGTTAGAGATAATTTAATTCTGTAAAATACATTTAAGATTATCATATCGACCTGACTTAATATACACGCAATCACAAAACTAGGATGACCAGATATACACAATATCGGGACAAACGAAAGACACTATGCTACAGGTCAAACTACAACTGACAAATTAATTATGACATGCAAAATTTGTAGTGAAGAAATAATAGTATTATATAAAAAAGAATCATCTAAATCAGATGGGTAGTTTTATTTTTATGACTTGTTAAGTTTGTCAAATAATATTATATAAAATAGTCTAATATAAAAATAACGTTATTTATGGATTGTATATGTTTATTAGATGAACCTTTCAATTATATTACTAATTCTAAAAACTAAATTTTATTATGTCTAGTTTTCGAAATAATCGAATTATAATATAAATCACACTATTGTAATTTGATATTATAATTTATATTCAAATTCAATTATTTCGAAAACTAGTTAACATATTAAAATTTTCTTTTTAGACAGTAATATTATTGAAAAGATCATCTAATAAATATAAATAATATTTATAAATAACGTCATTTTATTTGGTCACAATATTTTGTATATCTGGTCATCCTAGTTTTGTGATTGCGTGTCTATTAAGTCAGATCGAAATGATATTCTTAAATGTATTTTACAGAATTAAATTATCTCTTAAAGTTCAAGTTATTCAAAAAATTACGCGACGCAAAATTAATTGACTGCCTATTTATATATATATATATTAAGCAAAAACATTATAAAAACATATAGGAGTTCGTGAAAAATAGAAATCTAAATAATAATATATATTATCTAACAGAAAACTATTACCAATTTGTTGATAATTATTTAGCAATTTACGATCAGAGCAAGTAATAGCTTGGAAAAACACCAAAAAAAATTATATAAACATAATTGAAAATTATACATTTTTAAATATATAGTACTGTATTTATAATATAAATATTTAAATAAAAATCAAATAATCGTCAATAAAAGTTTAATTGTGAATATTTTAAATATAAAATTCATAATATAAGCAAATATTTTATAAAATATAATTTAATTTTACTTAATATAAGAAATATTTGTTATTGTTTAGTAATTAACTTAGATTTATATAATATTTCAATGTAATCTAAATAGTAACAATAATCATAATAATCACAATAACTTAATCATGTATAATTTATCTAGATTTATAATTTAATAATAATTAAACAAAAAATTAGAAACAATTATAATTATTATTGATTATATTTTTGAAATAATTTTTAAGAAAAATATAAACATGTAGACTTGAAAATATCATATTAAATATATAACACATATTATATAACATATATAAATCTGATATTTAAATAAATTTTAAATAAATGTATTAATATTATACTATATAACAATGATGTGATAAAGCATTTCATTTATTAATGAAAATTATTGCAATTTTTAATCACATATTATAAATATAATAGTATTTAAAAAAAATAGTAATTAAATTTTATAAAACTATTATATTTTTAGCAAAAATTATTTTTATTAAATATGAATCTAGATATTGTATTTTTATTAATATTATGTATAATAATTAATTTATCCACCATATCATCGCCAACAAGTATACCATCATCATCACCACCACCACAACGGGAACCGTTATTTGATCGCAATAGTCATCAACCGTTACCAATATTTACCGAAACCTATTATACTGTTCAGAACCAGAAAACTGGTCGATGGCTACTATGGTTGCCCAAAACGGGAACGGCCTACAAATGGTCTAACAAAACAGTGAATATGTTTTATCATTGGTTAGAGCCGACAAATTATCTAGGTTGGATCAACATGCGACATGGTATTAATTCAAATAATATTAAATTATCCCGATCAGATTACCAGGGCTACTATTTTATCTACAGTCAAAATTGTCGTATGTCTACAATTTTATTATTTAGTATTATTATTATAATAATAATTTATTATTATTATTATTATTATTATTATTATTATTATTATTATTATTATTATTATTATTATTATTATTATTATTATTATTATTATTATTATTATTATTATTATTATTATTATTATTATTATTATTATTATTATTATTATTATTATTATTATTATTATTATTATTATTATTATAACTAATATATAGTTAATACTATAACTAATATGTAGTAATTATCAATAAATAATAATCAGTAACTAATATATAAAAATATAATTTATTTTATTAAAATCATTAATAATTAAAAATAAAAATATTAGAAATTTGTTTATTAAAACTTAATATGAAACTAAAAAACAAACAAAAAATAGAAAAACTATATTGATAAAAATTATTATAGTAGTGAAACTTTAATAAAAAAAATAATTAACAAATATATTTTTATAAACAACAAGTTTTTACCAATTTTTACGACATTAAAAATATTGAAAGTAAAAATTTAAAAAATGTATTGAAAAAACAAACATTTATTTAATTTAAAAAAAAAAATTATTAGTCATAAGATATATTTTATTAAAAACTATTTTCAGTAATAACAACATAAATATTATTTTAAAACACTTATTGTAATATTATATACATTTTGTTTTTAAAATTATCATTAACAATTAGTTTATAAATAATATTTTTATATAAAAAAATATAAAATATTATTATAATATCAATTGCTATTGTATGAAGTGATATATAAAAGTTATATCAAAATCATAATACTATTTATTTTTTGAAATTTTATAAAATCATTAATTAAAGGATATACTTTATTAAACAATTAAAATAAAAATAAAAACTATTAATACTAATTCTAATTGTGAAATAAATTATATATTTTTTTATCTGAAACAATGTTATGTAATGTAAATATTTATTTATAAAATTCAATTATATAAATTTATAAAAATATAAGGAGTCAGTCAATTAATCTTGCGTCGCGTAATTTTTGAATACCTTTTGAACGGTTAGAGATAATTTAATTCTGTAAAATACATTTAAGATTATCATATCGACCTGACTTAATATACACGCAATCACAAAACTAGGATGACCAGATATACACAATATCGGGACAAACGAAAGACACTATGCTACAGGTCAAACTACAACTGACAAATTAATTATGACATGCAAAATTTGTAGTGAAGAAATAATAGTATTATATAAAAAAGAATCATCTAAATCAGATGGGTAGTTTTATTTTTATGACTTGTTAAGTTTGTCAAATAATATTATATAAAATAGTCTAATATAAAAATAACGTTATTTATGGATTGTATATGTTTATTAGATGAACCTTTCAATTATATTACTAATTCTAAAAACTAAATTTTATTATGTCTAGTTTTCGAAATAATCGAATTATAATATAAATCACACTATTGTAATTTGATATTATAATTTATATTCAAATTCAATTATTTCGAAAACTAGTTAACATATTAAAATTTTCTTTTTAGACAGTAATATTATTGAAAAGATCATCTAATAAATATAAATAATATTTATAAATAACGTCATTTTATTTGGTCACAATATTTTGTATATCTGGTCATCCTAGTTTTGTGATTGCGTGTCTATTAAGTCAGATCGAAATGATATTCTTAAATGTATTTTACAGAATTAAATTATCTCTTAAAGTTCAAGTTATTCAAAAAATTACGCGACGCAAAATTAATTGACTGCCTATTTATATATATATATATTAAGCAAAAACATTATAAAAACATATAGGAGTTCGTGAAAAATAGAAATCTAAATAATAATATATATTATCTAACAGAAAACTATTACCAATTTGTTGATAATTATTTAGCAATTTACGATCAGAGCAAGTAATAGCTTGGAAAAACACCAAAAAAAAATTATATAAACATAATTGAAAATTATACATTTTTAAATATATAGTACTGTATTTATAATATAAATATTTAAATAAAAATCAAATAATCGTCAATAAAAGTTTAATTGTGAATATTTTAAATATAAAATTCATAATATAAGCAAATATTTTATAAAATATAATTTAATTTTACTTAATATAAGAAATATTTGTTATTGTTTAGTAATTAACTTAGATTTATATAATATTTCAATGTAATCTAAATAGTAACAATAATCATAATAATCACAATAACTTAATCATGTATAATTTATCTAGATTTATAATTTAATAATAATTAAACAAAAAATTAGAAACAATTATAATTATTATTGATTATATTTTTGAAATAATTTTTAAGAAAAATATAAACATGTAGACTTGAAAATATCATATTAAATATATAACACATATTATATAACATATATAAATCTGATATTTAAATAAATTTTAAATAAATGTATTAATATTATACTATATAACAATGATGTGATAAAGCATTTCATTTATTAATGAAAATTATTGCAATTTTTAATCACATATTATAAATATAATAGTATTTAAAAAAATAGTAATTAAATTTTATAAAACTATTATATTTTTAGCAAAAATTATTTTTATTAAATATGAATCTAGATATTGTATTTTTATTAATATTATGTATAATAATTAATTTATCCACCATATCATCGCCAACAAGTATACCATCATCATCACCACCACCACAACGGGAACCGTTATTTGATCGCAATAGTCATCAACCGTTACCAATATTTACCGAAACCTATTATACTGTTCAGAACCAGAAAACTGGTCGATGGCTACTATGGTTGCCCAAAACGGGAACGGCCTACAAATGGTCTAACAAAACAGTGAATATGTTTTATCATTGGTTAGAGCCGACAAATTATCTAGGTTGGATCAACATGCGACATGGTATTAATTCAAATAATATTAAATTATCCCGATCAGATTACCAGGGCTACTATTTTATCTACAGTCAAAATTGTCGTATGTCTACAATTTTATTATTTAGTATTATTATTATAATAATAATTTATTAATTATTATTATTATTATTATTATTATTATTATTATTATTATTATTATTATTATTATTATTATTATTATTATTATTATTATTATTATTATAACTAATATATAGTTAATACTATAACTAATATGTAGTAATTATCAATAAATAATAATCAGTAACTAATATATAAAAAAATATAATTTATTTTATTAAAATCATTAATAATTAAAAATAAAAATATTAGAAATTTGTTTATTAAAACTTAATATGAAACTAAAAAACAAACAAAAAATAGAAAAACTATATTGATAAAAATTATTATAGTAGTGAAACTTTAATAAAAAAAATAATTAACAAATATATTTTTATAAACAACAAGTTTTTACCAATTTTTACGACATTAAAAATATTGAAAGTAAAAATTTAAAAAATGTATTGAAAAAACAAACATTTATTTAATTTAAAAAAAATTATTAGTCATAAGATATATTTTATTAAAAACTATTTTCAGTAATAACAACATAAATATTATTTTAAAACACTTATTGTAATATTATATACATTTTGTTTTTAAAATTATCATTAACAATTAGTTTATAAATAATATTTTTATATAAAAAAATATAAAATATTATTATAATATCAATTGCTATTGTATGAAGTGATATATAAAAGTTATATCAAAATCATAATACTATTTATTTTTTGAAATTTTATAAAATCATTAATTAAAGGATATACTTTATTAAACAATTAAAATAAAAATAAAAACTATTAATACTAATTCTAATTGTGAAATAAATTATATATTTTTTTATCTGAAACAATGTTATGTAATGTAAATATTTATTTATAAAATTCAATTATATAAATTTATAAAAATATAAGGAGTCAGTCAATTAATCTTGCGTCGCGTAATTTTTGAATACCTTTTGAACGGTTAGAGATAATTTAATTCTGTAAAATACATTTAAGATTATCATATCGACCTGACTTAATATACACGCAATCACAAAACTAGGATGACCAGATATACACAATATCGGGACAAACGAAAGACACTATGCTACAGGTCAAACTACAACTGACAAATTAATTATGACATGCAAAATTTGTAGTGAAGAAATAATAGTATTATATAAAAAAGAATCATCTAAATCAGATGGGTAGTTTTATTTTTATGACTTGTTAAGTTTGTCAAATAATATTATATAAAATAGTCTAATATAAAAATAACGTTATTTATGGATTGTATATGTTTATTAGATGAACCTTTCAATTATATTACTAATTCTAAAAACTAAATTTTATTATGTCTAGTTTTCGAAATAATCGAATTATAATATAAATCACACTATTGTAATTTGATATTATAATTTATATTCAAATTCAATTATTTCGAAAACTAGTTAACATATTAAAATTTTCTTTTTAGACAGTAATATTATTGAAAAGATCATCTAATAAATATAAATAATATTTATAAATAACGTCATTTTATTTGGTCACAATATTTTGTATATCTGGTCATCCTAGTTTTGTGATTGCGTGTCTATTAAGTCAGATCGAAATGATATTCTTAAATGTATTTTACAGAATTAAATTATCTCTTAAAGTTCAAGTTATTCAAAAAATTACGCGACGCAAAATTAATTGACTGCCTATTTATATATATATATATTAAGCAAAAACATTATAAAAACATATAGGAGTTCGTGAAAAATAGAAATCTAAATAATAATATATATTATCTAACAGAAAACTATTACCAATTTGTTGATAATTATTTAGCAATTTACGATCAGAGCAAGTAATAGCTTGGAAAAACACCAAAAAAAAATTATATAAACATAATTGAAAATTATACATTTTTAAATATATAGTACTGTATTTATAATATAAATATTTAAATAAAAATCAAATAATCGTCAATAAAAGTTTAATTGTGAATATTTTAAATATAAAATTCATAATATAAGCAAATATTTTATAAAATATAATTTAATTTTACTTAATATAAGAAATATTTGTTATTGTTTAGTAATTAACTTAGATTTATATAATATTTCAATGTAATCTAAATAGTAACAATAATCATAATAATCACAATAACTTAATCATGTATAATTTATCTAGATTTATAATTTAATAATAATTAAACAAAAAATTAGAAACAATTATAATTATTATTGATTATATTTTTGAAATAATTTTTAAGAAAAATATAAACATGTAGACTTGAAAATATCATATTAAATATATAACACATATTATATAACATATATAAATCTGATATTTAAATAAATTTTAAATAAATGTATTAATATTATACTATATAACAATGATGTGATAAAGCATTTCATTTATTAATGAAAATTATTGCAATTTTTAATCACATATTATAAATATAATAGTATTTAAAAAAATAGTAATTAAATTTTATAAAACTATTATATTTTTAGCAAAAATTATTTTTATTAAATATGAATCTAGATATTGTATTTTTATTAATATTATGTATAATAATTAATTTATCCACCATATCATCGCCAACAAGTATACCATCATCATCACCACCACCACAACGGGAACCGTTATTTGATCGCAATAGTCATCAACCGTTACCAATATTTACCGAAACCTATTATACTGTTCAGAACCAGAAAACTGGTCGATGGCTACTATGGTTGCCCAAAACGGGAACGGCCTACAAATGGTCTAACAAAACAGTGAATATGTTTTATCATTGGTTAGAGCCGACAAATTATCTAGGTTGGATCAACATGCGACATGGTATTAATTCAAATAATATTAAATTATCCCGATCAGATTACCAGGGCTACTATTTTATCTACAGTCAAAATTGTCGTATGTCTACAATTTTATTATTTAGTATTATTATTATAATAATAATTTATTAATTATTATTATTATTATAATAATAATTTATTAATTATTATTATTATTAAGAGCCTGATGAATATCCAATTAAAGAGAATAATGATTATGAAATAGTGTGTTCAAGTTTTGCAGGTATATTAAATTATATTGCACACCCTGAATATAACTGGCTATTTGTTGAACAACAATTACCATCATCAGCACCGGTATATCAATTGGATGACCATTACCACCCGCAGCACAATCATTTCGACTATATTGTTACTATTATTATAATAATAGTCATACTATTGGCATCGATTATAGCTAATGTAGTCTACTATTTGAAATTTAAACCCAATCATACAACAAGTTATAGTCAAACTGTTTATCATGTAAAGGACACTGATATTATCGACAGTTAATGAGAGAAACTACAGTATTAAAAAAAACTAACTGTGCAAATAAACTATTTAGTATGCTATTGTATAGATATTATATTACATTTTTAGTTTGTTATATTTATTAATTTTCAACAATTTTAATTATTAAAATTTATATTCTAATTTTAAAAATTTATAAATATAATTATAATTAATTATTAATATATTCTATATTGTTATTCATGATCAATTAAATAGTGAAATTCATGTAATTAATATTTTATTAACTAAATAAATAATTTAAATTATTATATGAAGTAAATAATTATGTAATAGTTTTTAACAATTTTAATAATTATTGAATTTTATAATACTAATTTCAAGATAAAAAAATATGTTATTTATAAATATTAAATATGAATATATTATATCATATACTGCTAAATAATATTTTTTAAATTATTATAATAATGTATAAAATATTAGCTAAAAAACATTTTAGTATTCATAATATTATTTAAAATCTTTTGATTGAATTTAATTATAATAGTATTTAAAATAAATTAGCATAGAATATGTTTAATTAATAATATAATATTATTAATATAATACAGTAGCTAAATGATATTAATTAAAAATACAATAAGAATAATTTAAATAATAATAACTTATTAATAAATACACTAATTATAATAACAATCAAACTAATTAAAAATATATATATCAATATATATATCAATTTATACAGTAATTATAAAACAGCAATAAGTTTTGTAATAATGTAAAAATATATTAATAAAAATTTAAATAATATGTTATGTAATATAAGACAAAAGTTTTAGTATACATTCATACAGTATATAAATAAATGTAATATTATTTTAATTTTTATATTAATATATTGATATATAAAAATAATTTATTTTTAAGTATTTCAGTTTATAAAAAGTTGGTCAATATATAGATAAAATTAGTTTTTTCTGTTCAAATAAGTCTCTAATAATTATAACTAAATAAAATAATGAAATACAATAAACTATTATTGAAAATACTATACTATTTCTTATGTATGTTGGGTTGTATTTATCAAACGTATCGATTGAGTGGCATTTACTTTAGCTATCATACCGTTACAAATGTTAGATACCATACAGAGGACAGCCTATTATTGCCCGGTATTACTGTTTGTGGTCTAAAAGATGAATTATTATCTCAAGAATATGTCTATAAAAGTTATAATAAAAATTATTTGACAATCAATGAACAAACAAATCTAATGGAACCGATAGATACATGGCTTAGTTGTTCAATCTATGATTATATTACTAGAAAACAACCGTTAAATTGTACCCAATTAGCTAATTATACCGTAGCTATTGGTTATGACTATATATGTCTAACAATATTTGCCAATAATATGAATAATGATGATTATTATTATTATCATAATCATCATGATAAAAATAATAATAATAAACTACTTAAACTAGATAATCTGAAAACAGTAGTCAATTTAAGATTGAGACTACTAGCATTTTTTGATAAAGGTAATTATTTTCTATCTGTACATGATCAATCGACAAAAATTAATACATTGCACATGGACAATTTTCTAGCATTAGTCGATAATTACGATATATACTATAGGCGTACTATTATTATTAATAATTATGCCATCAATTGGGCCAATACTAATAGGTGTATGTTTAGCAGCGATCTAAACAATTGTATCGATCAATGTATTGATCAATTGTATCGTTTGGATACACAAAATAACTATACACTACTCTATAGTTATAATTTGACTAGCCAGCTAAAATTGAAACAAATTAATTCAATTAATATAACAAACTATAAACATAAATGTTTAATTCAATGCCGTAATCGTATTGTTTGTTATTATGAATATTTTCGTATCGATAAAACATTAAATAAATATTATCTAAGATATCAACTATATATTCAACAATCATTTGATCCGACCATCTATATTGAAATCAACATTAAAATGACCATGGTAGAATATTTATGTATGATAGCCAGTTTGTTTGGTCTATGGTTTGGATTCAATTTTTTGTATCTAGTTAAGTTAACAAAATTTATAAATACAAATGTTCAAAATATTAGTCTAAATAAAATACAAGCATCAATAGTATCATCTAATAATAATAACAACAACAACAAGATTACTGTATTTAACATTGAAAACAAAAATTACTGGCAAATGATGAGATCTAATGTTAGAGAAAATAAATTTAAATAAAATACTATTTTAATAATAAATATATATTTATTCAATGCTTGATTAAATATAAATAATTTTTTTATTAAATAGAAACAATTTATAGTTATATTACTATTTTTTATTATATTATTTGCTTAATTATAATATTGGTTAATTGTAATAAACATTATCAACAACATAAAAATTATTTTTATTTATATATAATTATTACTTGATATTTCTGTTTATTAATTAAATATAATTAATTAATTAAATTTATTAATTTTATTATTAAAATAATAATACATTATGATGTAAATTTATACATAAATAATAATAATAAGATTCTTTAGATAATCAAATATAATGGATACCAACTATTGAGGTGTATATTAATAATTATATATATTTATATTTATATATATATATAAAACATTAATGCCAATCAATGACAATTATAGATATTGTTTGCATTATAATCATAACAATATTAGCTGTAAAATTATTAGCTATCATGATTACTTATTGTATTAAAAGCAAAAATATAATTTACATTCACATCAAGATAATCAAAATATTTTTTAATCAAAAGGACCCTAAGATAAGTAGATCATTTTAAGGAAAATTTTGTAAAATTTATATCACTTTTATAGCACACGATAGACTAAAAAAATACAATTATAAAAAAAAATTTGTTTTATAAATTAACGGAAAAATTTTATATTTATATTTATTATTTAACAGAAAACTATTGACAATAATTGTTATGATGATCAATGTTTAGCAATTTATGATCACAGCAAGTAATAGCTTGCAAAACATTAATCATAATTTGACATTATTTTTTATAAATTGTCAATCTTTAGTATATTAAATATTTATTATGTGTATTAAGTATTATAAATATTATTTAAAAATTGAAATTGTTTTCTAATTTTTTAGCTTGTTGACTTAATTTATTTTTATATATTTCTATATAAGTATTTATAATTGTCAAACTTTAAATAAAAACTAAACAAATGTTAATTAACATAATAAATATTTTTAGTTAATTTATAATTCTGCAAGTAAACGATAAATAAATAACTTATAGTTTTTAACATACAATAGTATCAAAACATATTAGTTATAATTATGAATATTTAAATAATATTTCAAGGTTATCTAAATTTTACTATTTAAAAACTTATCTTGTATCATTTATGCAGATTTATCATTTAATGATAATTAAACAGAAAATGACAAACAATTACATTTAAAAATAACATAAAATTATTGATAATGTTTTGCCAATAATTTTTAAGAAAAATATAAACAAGTAGACTTAACTTTTTTTTAAAAATATATAAAGCATATAAATATTTAACTAAATATTAAAATGTTTAATAATATTGTAAAATATTTTTATATTAATGCAAAGTTTTACAATTTTAAATTCATAGTATAAATATAATTACTATTTAAAAAATATTATTTTTTTTTGTAAAACAATTTTTAACAAAAAAATTATATTTATTAAATATGAATCCATATATTGTATTTTTATTAATATTATGTATAATAATTAATTTATCCGCCATATCATCGGCAACAAGCATACAATCATCATCATCACCACAACGGGAACCGTTATTTGATCGCAATAGTCATCAACCGTTACCAATATTTATGGACACCTATTATGCCGTACAGAACCAGAAAACTGGTCGATGGCTACTATGGTTGCCCAGTACGGGAACGGCCTACAAAATGTCTAACAAATCAGTGAATATGTTTCATCATTGGTTAGCAGCGCCGATGGATCATTTTGGTTGGACCAATATGAGGCACGGTATCAATTCACATCATATTAAATTAGCCAGATCAGATTATCAGGGCTACTATTTTATCTACAATAAAGATTGTCGTATGTGTATTAAATTATTTTTTTAATAACTATTTAAAAATTTATTATTATAAATTAATTAATTATTATTTTTTAAAAAAAATATTATTAAGATTCTGGTGATTATCCAAACAAAGAGAGTAATGATTATCAAATAATATGCACAAAACCGTCGTACGATACATACAATTATAGTGCAGATCCTGAATATAACTGGCTATTTGTTGAACAACAATTACCATCATCAGCACCGGTATATCAATTGGATGACCACCACTACCAGCACAATCATTTAGGATTTATAGTTACTATTATTGTAATGATGGTCATACTATTGTCATTGATTATAGCTATTGTAATCTACTATTTTAAATTTGAACGCTTTCAATCAACAAGCTATAGTCAACATATTTATCATGTAAAAGACACTGATACTATTGACAGCTAATAATAAACATGTATACTAACCAACAACAACAACAAAAACTAACTGTGTAAATAAACTAGCAGCTAAAAAATATTATTATTTATATACAGGTAACTACTGTAGTTTATAAATATCTAATAGTTTTAAATAATTTTATATAATTATTATTGAAATTTTTAATACTAAGATCAAGAACAAACAAAAAAAATATTTATGAAATTATTATATCATATTTTGTTAATTAATATTTAAAAATTTTAATTAAATAAAATTATCTGATAATATTTATCTAAATTCATGAACTGTTTATAGTATATTAATTAATATTTAAATAACAAATTCATTTATAATATTAGACTAAAATTATTATTATTATAATTATTAATAATGTATTAGAAATAATCTTTAAAAATGCACTTTAACTATAACTATAAATTAAGGTGCTCAACTCAAATATTAAATTATAGTACAACTTCTGAATATAACTGGCTGTTTGTTGATCAACAATAAGCATCAGCACCGGTAGATAAATTGGATGACCCATCAGCGTAACCAGCCATCAACACCGGTAGATCAATTGGATGAACCGCCAGTACAATAATTTCGGATAGATATATAATTAAATAATGATGGTTATAATGTTGGCATTGATTATAGCTATTATAATCTATTATTTAAAATTTAAATCCCAATCAATCAGATAACAGGCTATAGTCAACCAGTTTATCATTGTATAGGACACTGATAATATTGATAGTCAATGAAAAAACATTTATACTAAACAATAATAACTATAATTAATTGTGCAAATTATCTATAAATTAAAATCTACTGTATGTTAGATTATTTTTTAAAATTATATACTGTATATATATAAATAATTATGTAGTTGTTTTCATAAAAAGTCTACACAATTATTAAAATTTATAATACCAAGTTCAAGATCATTAAAAAAATATTTATATTATTTATTAAAAGTACTTTATTAGTATATAATTAATTTGATTATTTTAAAAAAAACTTATCTGATAAATATTTATGTAAATACTGAAATTCATGCATAAATTGAAATGCATAATATTAACCAAACAAAAAATACTATTTATATAATTGACAACTTAGAAAACTACTGTTAATGAAATTATAGATAATATTTAAAATTTAATTTTTTATATATATATATATATATATATAAATTATATACATATACACTTAATTTTTACAAACATACACATAATTTTGGTGTAAATAATTTTTTTTAAATATAAGATATCAATTTGTATATATTTATTTAATATATACATTATAAAAAACCAATGATTCAATACTACTGTAAATATTAATTAACATTAATTAAACAATAATTATTTAATATTATGAATATACAATATAAATTGTATACTAATATTTATTTATTAATTTTTATTAGTAAATTTAAATAATATATAATAAAGTTAAAAAAATTTAAAACTTATTATAAATATTTCAAAAAAAATGATTGTCAATCAATTTATTTTTCTATTAATAATTTGTTTAAAAATTAATATATCATCAACAAAACGTGAACAATTAATTGATAAAAATAGTTTGGAAAAATTACCGATATTTACTGAGACCTACTATGCCGTACAAAATCGGAAAAGCGGTCGATGGCTAGTTTGGTTGCCGACTACGGGAACAGCCTACGAAAGGCCAAACAAGTCGTGCAATATATTACATCATCGGTTAGATCCGATGGACCATTTAGGTTGGGTTAATATGAGACATGGACTCAATTCACATTATATTAAGTTAGCCAGATCAGATTACCATGGCTACTATTTTATCTACAATAAAGATTGTAGTATGTATGGCATATATTATATATAGTAAATAACAATAATGAATCATTATTTTTTCATATACTAATTTTAATTTCATTTATTATTATTTATTTTCATATTTAATTATAAATATTTTAAAAATTATATTAAGGTTTTGGTGATTATCCTAACCGTGAGACTAAAGACAATCAAATACAATGTCTAAAACCGTCACCAGAATTCAACTATAGTGGACATCCTGAATATAACTGGCTATTTGTTGAACGACAACAACAATTGACACCATCACCGGCTCCGGTACATCAATTGGATAGACAAGTAGATGATCATCATAATCATGTTGCCTACCTGGCCACTATTGCAATATTAGCTGTTAGCTTAGTGGCATCAGTTATATTTATAGTGCTGTTATATTATTGGAAATATCATAAAAGTCAGTCATATAATAGCTATGGACATCATATTTATCATATTAAAGCTAATGTTATTGACGGTGATGGTGATGATAATAATAATGGACATGGATAATAAATAATTATGCTAACTGATGTAATTAATGTTATTGTATATGTTAATATATATATATATATAATTTTGATTATCATATAACTCCATAATAAAACAATTATTTTTTTTAAATATTTATGTAATAATAATCATCAATATTATTTATGATAAATTATGATTTAAAACTATTGAATATTAGAAATATTATTAAAAACTTTCTAAATTTTTAAGGCCTATAGTTATTTTAAATATAATATTATCATATCTAAAAATTAATACTATAAAAACTAAATAAATAATATTTCTAATATTATAGCAATATTACTAAATCTAAAAAGTTATAAAAATTATTTGGTATATTCTACTGTAAAATACTGTATTAGTACTAAATTTCTAATAATTCTATTAAATCCATCAATTTTTGATAACATTTGATAATCAATTATTAGTATCTTACTATTATACAATTATTATTATTAGTAACTTTATTGCATTTATTTAATTAACAAATATCAATAAATCAATAAAAAAATAAACTATATTGACATTTGAACTAATACTATATAAGCTTGCATACTAAGGTTGTTTGAAAAAATTATTATTAACTACACTAAAGTAAAATACTAATGATATATATTTTTTATTATTATTAACACACATTATATGTAGTAGCATATTAGTTTTATATTAATTAAAATTTTAATAATATTATTATTATTTTATTTTTTTTAAAAAATGTTTGGTAAACTAAATCTACTAATTTTTAGTATTTCAGTATTATTTATACCATTTAATTGTCTTGAAGTAAATAATTATGATTTTAATATTGATTTAATTGATGATCGTCTCAATGATACCGAAACTGTTAAGGTATTATTATTATTATTATTATTATTAGTTTGTATTTATTAATTTTTTTAAAAATCATAATACAGTATTATTATAATTATCGTAAAATTTCTAGCTATTTGTAGCACTGGTACTCGCCATCGATGGTGCACCCAATGATCAACAATCATGTCGGTCCTGTAATGCTAGCATATCCTATATGAGACAATGGGTCACAGATCCGGATACTGTTAAACGTGCATCGATACACTATTGTCGAGAGGAAAGGGATACCAAACATTTGAGTACCGAAAGACTATGTCTTGGAATTATTGAACGGCTAACCGACCATCTACTGTATGTCATACAAAATTCCAAGCTAACTGTGCCCGAAGTTTGTGGTGTACTGTTTCATCCAAACTGTATGCACTATTTAGGTGTTCCCCTAACACATAATGTAAGATTATTATTATATTAATACAGTACAAGCTTTAGCACATATACATAATTTATTTTATCTCTACCAAAAATAAAATCCAGGTGCTCTGGAAGCTACCACTACCCGAACGCAAACAATTTCGTCCTATAGTCGACAGTACAGGTAAATCGCTAAAAATGCTACACCTGACCGACACGCATATGGATCTGTGGTACACACCGGGCTCTAACTCCTTGTGCGATGAATCGGTGTGCTGTCGGAGTACGTCCTACGGTCACAATCATTCGGCCGGTGTTTGGGCCGAAAGCCGATTCTTGTGCGATGCGTCGCTCGAATTTGCCGACGACTCGATCAGACATATGGCCGAACAGCACCGGGACCTCGATTTTGTTATCTGGACGGGCGATAATACACCGCACGACGAATGGAACAGTACCCGAGAAATTAATTTGCGATCAATTTCGTTGATGACCGATACGGTGCGGTCAGCATTTGGTCCCAAAATACCGGTCTATCCCTGTTTAGGCAATCACGAACCACATCCCTTTAATCTGTAAGTACTGTTGTTTTTTTTGTTGGTTAAATCAGAGCACAGGTATTATCAATTACAGCACCGATACTTATCAATTGCAACTAAGCTGTTAATTAATCTGTAATATTATTAAAAGGGAGTGAATTACAGTACTAAACACTACAGTAGTTATGATGATTAAAAAATTACATATATTTTCTTTTGTGTTACACAATTAGTTGGCAATAATATTTAGTTGTAATTAAGCATTAATTAAGCATTAACTGTAAAAATAGATAATATTATTTGTAATCACAACAGTGTAATCACTTAAGTTAAAGACTAATAAATGATTATATACTGTATAGATATGTCCCATATGTAGCATCAGTGGACTCAAACGGTACGTTTTCCATGAATTGGTTGTACGAAACACTGGCCGACAACTATTGGCACCAATGGATCGGTACATCTGAAGCCAATCGCAAGTCATTTACAACGGGTGGCTATTATTCTGCAATGATTAACAAAGGTCTGAAAATTGTTGTCCTAAACAACAACATATGTCAACACCGGAACTATTGGATTGCCTACAGTCCAGTCGATCCGGACGGTCAGCTTCAGTGGCTTATCGACCAATTGGACAGTGCCGAAAGTGACGGCATCTATGCTATGATAATCAGTAAACAAACAATATATTAATTGAAAAAAATATTTATAAAAAACTGTTTAAAAAATTGTGCACCTGTAGCTCACGTACCACCGTACGAGTATCGGGACTGTTATCTGGCATGGACAGACAACTATTTTCGTATTGTGGAACGGTATGAGCATCTGTTGGTTGGGTCATATTTTGGACATACACACAATGACGAGATTGTCATATTGTATAATAAAAACGCCACCACCAATGCTACCTATCCTATTGGACACGGCTATGTTGGGCCGAGTGTTACACCCTGGGCCTATCATAATGCCGGCTATCGGGTGTTTCAATTGGACGGCACAGTTAGTTTTTAAAGATATTTTTTTCTTTGTATAAATTAATTATATATATATATATATATCATTAGGGAAAGCCGTTTGATTTTACAATGTATTATACAAATGTAACTCAAGACAATATCGATGGCCGTCAGGTGCGTCCAAAATGGACAGTTGGTTATTCGGCCCGCGAAAGCTATCGGATGACAGAACTGTCTACCAGTGAATGGGATGGACTGTTGAGTCGAGCCCTTACCGATGATAGGCTACTGGATCTGTATTTTTCGCATTTGCGTCGATTTAGCGAAGCTTTTGTCGATAAAATGATAGATCAAAACATTTACGATCGCAAACACATACGGGAAATGTATGTCAAATCGAGAAAAGTTGTCAATCCTATCAATGAATTAATAAAATAATTAAAAAAATTATTTCTAAATAGTTCTGATATTAAGATTCTAAGATAATTAATAATTAATAAATAAATAAAAATTTCAAAATTTAATATATATTAGTATTATTTGTCGAAATTATAAATATTATCAATTTTATTATTGAATCATATATTTATGTTTTACTAATTTTTTTTAATCACTAGTTTAAATATGATAGTATATACTACTATATACTATACAGTAGTAATACATATACAGTTATAATATTATTATAATATATAACCCATTAGTAAAAAAAACATTGAAATTTATATTTTGAATTACAATTCCTGTTTGAAACACTGTTTGTTTATGTTATAAGAAATTTGATTTTTCCTCTGAAATGACTTTATTTTTATCGTTTGTTTATTGTATATAATATTAATAGTTTACAAAATAAAGTTAACAAAAATTATTTTATTGATAGTTTTCATTATTCAGTCGCATGTAATTTTCAAATACAAAAGTTTTACTGTCTATTAATAAGTGTTTGTCAAATGTTTTTTAATATTAATTTAATTAATTTCTTTAGTTTGTCATAATTATTAATTATCACAATTATTGTTAAATATTTTTTTTAGTTATATAATAATTGTGTTATTTTTAAAAATTATATAATAATTGATTTATTTTTTGAAAATTATGTTTTAATTAAAATATAATATCAAATATAATGTTACAATATTTTTATAATGATATTAGACTTGAGAAAAAACTATTGATAAGATTTTATTCATTCATTCAATTAAAAAAAATATAGTATTTTAAATGATATAACCAATTGATATAATTTTTATATAAATCTACAAAAGTTGATGATCTAATTTATTAATAAATTTTTTAAAAAATCAATAAACAATAATATTATTTTTTTTAATTAGTAATGTCATCAAATTATTTTGTTTGATCATGTTTAAACTAAATCATTATTATATTAGTTTAGCAAAAATTATTATTGTTATTATTATATTAGTTTTAATTCAACATATTCATAGTATTTCAAGTGATCAAGGTAAGGTATTATTATTATTTTTTTTAAATATCTAATATGATAATAATTAATAAAAAAAATATTTTTAAAAATATTAGAATGTGGTGGTCAATATGTAGATGATCATGGTGATATAGTAACTCCATTTAGTCCAGTTGGTACCTATCCGGCTAACTGGGTGTGCAAATGGAGTATAAATGTTAAACAGGGTTATCGTATAAAACTATCAATCAATAAACTTGACAGTCATCCCAATGATCGGCTAACCGTCTATGACGGTGTGTGGGCCAGTGATCCAGTGTTAGGTGTGTTTAGTGGCGGTGATGGTCATCATCATCAACAACAACAACACGAGCCGTTCAATCTTATATCGCATACAAACAGTTTACTACTGGTGTTAACATCGGGACCGACATCACTGGGCACTGGATTTAACATAACATATGATGCCATAAATTATGGTATAATAGTTATTTATAAAATATTAGTTGATTACAATTAGTATTACTATTAGTATTAGTTAAGATAATTTGATGTTAACTATTTAAATAATTTGCTAAATATAGATTTCAGTACTATCATCAATAGTCCCAATGGATCAGCTATAATATCACCAATTAATCCGGATAACTTTTACAATGTAACCTATTATTGGACAATAAATATGCCCGACTATGTCAGTGATAGTCAAGTGATAATAATATTCATATTTAACTACTATTTCAAATTAATTGGCCAGCAATGCAAACTTAGTATTTATCAAATGGATAGTAATAATAATAATAATAAAAGCACTTTAATTGTTGATTTTGAAGATACTGATCAATTGCCATCACCTAAATTGATCCAGGCTACTACTAATAAATTGTTAGTCAAATATGAATCAAATATCCAATGTGATAATAATTATTTTTATATATCATTAAAAACTAAAATGATGGGTAAGTGTTTTTTTGTGGTGATGTTATCTATTGAATCTATGAATTAATTTAAATAAATATATAAATTTTTTATTAAGTTTATTAATTTTTGAAAATTATTTTATAGGTTCTAGATCACGATATTTTATATCAGCCACCAATACTATCATAACTATTGATGACAATCAAACCATTGAAGATATTAGCTATTATTCAATGGATTCTTACAGTATAATTGAATGTAGAAAAATAATATATTTTTTTATAATTACCGGTAATTTATTTTAGTAATTGATAAAATTAATTATTTTATTTTTCAAGATTTAATTGAACGCAAAATTAATTTGAATGTCAAACCATATAATATGGTCTACGACTGGATTCATGGTCTACTGTATTGGATTGATATACAGTTCCCGGCAATCAATGTAATGACAGTCACTGATGATGGTCACACCGCCGATGGTGGCGACAATAATGTCTACACAATAATCGAGTTGAACACTGAAATGGCCCGCGATTTGCGTCTAAATCGGCTAAAGTTGACACTCATATGGAGTCAAATCGGTGCCGGCATCTCGGGTCTCGTACAATGCCATTTGGACGGAACAAATCAGTCAACAGTTTACCGAAGTTCACGTCAAGTGTTTCATCTGACAATTGACTATCAATGGGAAAGGTATTACTTTATTGATATTACCGATCATTCGCTGCTATCAATTGACTTCAACGGTGCCGATGAAAAACTTTATATGACTTCACGATTCTTATTACAATCGATTCACAATATGTTTGTATTGAACGGCGACCTATATCTGGCAAATGAACGACTAATATATAGGATACCAGAGCTCGAGTTAGGCATAGATAGAGCAGAGATATTGTTTTATACTACCAGTGCTCCAGAAATGAGCCGTAAATATTCTGAATCTCACTTTTACTACAACAAACCGATCGATATTAATCGCCAGCGTATCTATGACTTCAAAATTGCTGATCCCATACTGGAACCAACAGTTCGCAACCGGTGTATCGGACATAAATGTCCGGCCCGACACTTGTGTGTACCGGTCAGCACTGTCAAACATGGCTACAGATGTCTGAGCTCACGTGATAGTAGTCAACCAGCACTGGCCGTTTCACAGGAAACCGACAACCAATGCAAACGAGTGGACATACTATCAGTAGTCAATACGTTTGTCATTGCCGTCATAACTGTGCTTATTGTGGGCTTATATCTCAGGTAACTAACTGTACAGTACAATGAACTACTGTACAGATGCTGTAAATAATTGGAAAAATACTATTAATTTTATAAATGATTGTTTGTTTTTCTGTCTATTATCTAATAATGATTTTACTGTAGTATCAAAAAGATTGTGTTCAACATAGAGAAGCGTCTGTTCCAAGTGATAATACCTACCGAAACATTTAGAAGGAGTCACCAACAGGCCATACATAACTATGAAAATAATCAAACAGTTCCGCTGCACGACTACGAAACCATTGATCAGGTCAAACATCAGGCCATTTCTGATATTTAATTTAATAAAAGTGGTTATTTATAAATATATAATTATTTTCAAAAAATTAGTATAACAATTGATACATTAAAAAAACATAATATTAAAAATTACAAGTACTATAAATAGTATAAAAAATATTAAATTATTATTATTATTTTCCATCATGTTTTTTCAAATGATTTTTCCATCTAATCGTATTAGTTGTCTTATAGTCACAACCGGGCCAATGGCACCGGTAACCAGTTAGGCCCTTATGTTCACGACCTACATGACCTTGTAGAGATCCTTTTAGGTTATAGGTGCGCTCACAACCAGGCCATTCGCACCGATAGACTTTGTCGCGTGTATGGCTCTCCCGATGACATTTCAGTGCGTGCTTATTTTTCAGTGCTGCACTACAACCGGGCCAATCGCACCGATACCTTTTGACAATACCGTTGTGTTCGAGCCTATGTCTCTGGAACGAGCTTTTCTCGGCAAACCGTTTGTCACAAATATCACATTTAAACGGTTTCGTATGAGTTTTGCTATGCATTGACATACGAAACTCCGATTTGCTGGTATACTTGCATCCGTCAACCGGACACTGGAGCCACGGTATATCTGGATGATCGTCGGGATGAACCATTTTGTAGTGTTGTCTAAGCGACCATACAGTGGCCAACATTTTACCGCATCCGGTAATTTCACATTCAAATTTGACAGTGTGTTGCTTGATATGTTGTGTCAGATGTCTAGTGATTTTAGTCCGATACGTACAGTTAGATTGAGTACATTTCTTCCAAGGAATGTCCGGATAGAGTTCGGGATGATCTCGAAGTTGATGTCGTTTCAGATAACTATTCAAATGGTATACTTGGGTACAACCTTCGACATCGCACTGTAATTGTCGACCACTCTTGTTATGTGTGACTATCAAATGTTGGTTATAGACGCCGAGGCTTCCCGATTGGAACTGACAATTGACGTATTCGCACTGGTATGTAGATCCATGTCGTTCAATATGTCGTTTTAATCGATGTTCGGACGGAAATATTGCCGGACACTGTTGGCACTGATAGGACTTGTTTTCGTGTTCAGTCTGATGATAGCGTAAGTCTTGATTAGATTTATACACTTTACCACATCCGAGCCAATCGCACCGGTAGTCTCTCGGCGGCAATAAATGTTGATCGCATATATGATGAACGCATGACGTTCGGTGTTTGTACGGCAACTTTTCGCAGCCCTCCCACTGGCACTGGTATTTTTTGTCACCACTTACATCAATAATCTCTTTGACAAATTCATTATATTTTGGTTCCCTTTGGTGATCATTGCGTATATGACGATCATAGTTGATCTTAGAGACAAATGTTTGACGACACGGGTCGACATCGCATTGAAATCGTATTGTCTCTGAATGTATGGTTTCCATGTGATGGTTGCACTCTTTGGCCGATTTAAACAGTTTGTTGCAACAGTTTATCCGACATCTGTACTGATGTCGACACTTATCTAAACCATTAGTCAAACAGTTCGTACATTTGACTGTTTTCTTCGATAAATTCTTTTTGATAATTGTTTTAGTTTTTTTACGATCAGTTTTATTAGACATTGTTTTTATCTTTGATCCTAAACTTTTCGACTGATTGACATCCAATTGATCCATACAATTGTTATCTACATCTGAATCATCTAAATCTTGTATATAGTCATCAAAAACAGTGTCATCACTATCACTATCATTGTTAATGTTTTTATTACTGTTATCTGCATAATTAATTGGTGGCTGATTTCTTGAAGCAATCGATTGATCCATAACTTGTTCAACATTTTCAGATTGAGATTCATCTCTATTAGTAGTCTTCAATTGATTCATGTCATCAACATTAACATTATTAACAAAACATTCATCGATGATATCTTTATCAGTTGTTTTGTTGTCATTCACAACTGTCTGATCATTGTTATTGATAACTAAATCATTGTCATCAATGGTTAACCTTTTATTCAATATATTGTTTGTCAATATTTGCAAATTACTTGACTTTTCTTCATTAGTCTTCATTTGATTTCTATTACAACTATTATTGTCGTTGTTTTCAACAACTCTTTCCTCGATTGTCTCATCTATTGATTCACAAGTAATCGGACAAACAATGTCTTCAATTTCTTCATTATTTACTTCATTAATATTTCTTGACTTATCATCAGTTTGTGTCCATTCATCCCGTGTTTCGACATATGTTTGACAATCAATTGATTTGAGATCTGAAATACAAAAGTTTAAAAAAATAACTACAAAATAAAATAATAATAATTAAAACTACCGTTAAATTCATGGAAAATCTGTGTATTGTTTAATGTTTTCAAAGACACGGAACAGCTTTTGGTGATAATCAGTGAATTGATATCAGTTTTCAGTGAATTTTCATCAATTGTTTCATCAATTGATTCAATAAATTGCAGATATTTTTCATATTTTTCTGTTAATAACTGATATCTTAATAAATCATTTGTCAAACACTGGACTTCACGTCTCAATGCGTTAACCATTGAATACAATTGATATCGACTTAAATCACACAACGAGTCACTAATTATTAGAGACATTCAGTTAACAAATAAAATAAATAACAATTAATTTAATAAAAACATTAAAAAACAAAATTCAAAATTGAATGCAATGTTTGTAAACACAAACTGTAAGCATATGTTGTTCAGTAAAAACGTCACTAAAAATTCAAGTAATTTAATGTTTTATTGATAATATAAAATAGTTTAGTAATAAAATTATTTATAATTTAGTTTAAGTCATTAAATCACTAGAAAATTAACTATTTTTATTGATTTATTATAAAAATTTAGTCTTTTTAAAATATCCATAACATCTCTAAGTATATACTAAATATAAGTTATTGTGTTTTAATTACTGAAATAATAAAAATTTTTAACTTACAAACTGTAATACTATTAACATAGTAATGGACGGGTAGTGTGTATGTGAGCTCAGGTATACTTTAAGATCATACTTCACGGAATCATTTCTATAGTATGTATCCCTAGCTTCACATCCAATGTGTGTGAAGTCAGCCTTAACCACAATGACGAGTGATTGGATCCCTTCCTGAGCGCGATGTCGGTGCCCGAGACCTCCATAACCTTATTGGTTGAGGACTCGGCAGTGCCATTGATGACCGTTTCTGAACACCATTACAGGTGTTTCAGAAGGGAAGGGATTCGTTCCGAGTGGTCACACATTTTTTAATATAATCTAAAAATAATATTTTTATAATCAAATAATTACAGTAATGTTAGTTTTTTTTAAAAATTGAAGCAATTTTACTAATTATTTAAAATTAATTACTAATTGAATAATTTAAGTATAGAAAACCACAGTAAATTAGTAATACATAAAAAATTAAAAAAGTTTATTAACAAAAATTTACAATACTATTAATACAGTTTTTTAAAATATTATTTTTATTAAATTAATAATTATTATTAACTAATAGATGAAAAAATTATTATTATTATTATCCATCATGTATTTTCAAATGATTTTTCCATCTAATCGTATTAGTAGACTTATAGTCACATCCTGGCCATTGGCACCGGTAGCCGCCAATTCCCCTATGATCACGATCAACCTGAACGCGTAGCGATCCTTTTAAATTATAAGTGCGCTCACAGCCGGGCCATTCGCACCGATAGGTTTTGTCGCGCGTATGCCTTTCCATATGATATTTTAATTTGTCTTTTTCTTTCAATGTCGCACTACAACCGGGCCATTCGCACCGATACCTTTTGACAGTACCGTTGTGTTCGCTCTGATGGTCTTTCAAGCGATTTCTGGCGGCAAACCGTTTGTCACAAATATCACATTTAAACGGTTTCGTATGAGTTTTGCTATGTATTGACAAATTCTTATCCGATTTGCTGGTATACTTGCATCCGTCAACCGGACACTTGAGCCACGGTTGGTCAGGCATATAGTCGGGATGAACCATTCTGTAATGTTGGTTAAGATTGTATGAAGTGGTAAACAATTTATCGCACCCACCGATTGTACATTCAAATATTCGACTGTGATTTTTGATATGTTGTGTCAGATAGCTATTGCATTTAGACTGAAACGTACAGTTAGATTGGGTACAACTTTTCCAGGGAATGTCTGGATAGTGATCGGGATGTCGTAGAAGTTGATGTCGATTCAGATCACCGGCAATGTGGTATATTTTGGTACACTCGTCGATATCGCACCGTAATTGTTGATTAGTCTTGTTATGTACGTTAAGCAGATGCCGGTTATATTTGCCGAGGTTTCCCGATTGGAACTGACAGTTGATGTGTTTGCACTGGTATGTAGATCCATGTCTTTCAATATGTCGTTTTAATCGTTGTTCGGACGCAAATATTGCCGGACACTGTTGACACTGATAGGACTTGTTTTCGTGTTCAGTCTGATGATAGCGTAAATCATGATTTGTTTTATACACTTTACCACATCCGAGCCAATCGCACCGGTAGTCTCTCGGCGGCAACAAATGTTGATCGCATATATGATGAACGCATGACTCTCGGTGTTTGTACGGCAACCTTTCGCAGCCATCCCAATGGCACTGGTATTTTTTGTCACCACTTACATCAATAATCTCTTTGACAAATTCATTATACTTTGGTTCCCTTTGGTGATCATCGCGTATATGACGATCATAGTTGACCTTCAAGACAAAAGTTTGACGACACGGGTCGACATCGCATCGAAATCGTATTGTCTCTGAATGTATGCTCTCTGTGTGATCGTTACACTCTTTGGCCGATTCAAACAGTTTGTTGCAACCATTGATCCGACACCTGTACTGATGTCGACACTCGTCTATGCCATCAGACAAACAGTTCCTACATTTGACTGTTTTCTTCGGTAATTTCTTTTTGATACTTGTTTTAGTTTTTTTACGATCAGTTTTATTAAACTTTGTTTTATTCTTTGATCCCAAACTCTTCATCTCTGTCTCCAATAGTTCATTGCAATTGTCATTGTCCTCACTATTGATAACAATTTCAGATTTGATATACATTTGATCCATACAATTGTCATCCTCTGATTGATCTAAATCTTGTATATAGTCATCAAAAACAGTATTATCACTATCACTATCATTAGTATTTTCACCTAAATTACTATTAACTGTATAACTGATTGTCGGTTGATTTCTTAGCGAATAAGAAGCAATTGATTGATCCATAAGTTGTTCAACATTTTCACATTGAGATTCATCTCTATTAGTAGTCTTCAATTGATTCATGTCATCAACATTAACATCATTAACAAAACATTCATCGATGATATCTTTATCAGTTGTTTTGTTGTCATTCACAACTGTCTGATCATTGTTATTGATAACTAAATCATTGTCATCAATGGTTAACCTTTTATTCAATATATTGTTTGTCAATATTTGTAAATTACTTGACTTTTCTTCATTACTCTTCATTTCATTTCTATTACAACTATTATTGTCATTATTTTCATCAACTCTTTCCTCGATTGTCTCATCCATTGATTGACAACTTATCTTACAATCAATGTCTTCAATCTCTTCATTATTTACTTCATTAGTATTTCTTAACTTATCATCAGTTTGTGTCCACTGATTCAATAGTAATTTAACACTTGTTTGACAACCAATTGATTTTATATCTGAAATATAAAATTGAAATTTAAATCAATTAAAAAAAATAAATTTATAAATAATTAAAATACCGTTCAATTGATTGCAATTCTTTGTACTGTTTAATGACTTCAAAGACACGGAACAACTTTTGGTGACAATCAATGAATTGATTTGATTTTTCACTAAATTTTTATCAATTGTTTCATCGATTGAATCAATTAATTGCTGATATTTTTGTAACTTTTTTGTCAACAATTGATATCTTAATAAATCATTTGTCAAACACTGGACTTCACGTCTCAATGCGTTAACCATTGAATACAATTGATATCGACTTAAATCACACAACGATTTATCAGTTAATAATAATAATGACATTATTGTTAATTAATAAACAACTAAATTATTTTATAATTATTATAAATAAAGTTTAAACTAAAATAAAAAATTATATTTACATTCAATTGATGTTTGAAATATACCGTAATGTTTGTAAACACTGTTTACAACAAGTGTTGTACATTAAAAACGTTTCAAATTTATGTGAAGTTTCAAAAAAAGTTTTATTAAAGATAAATACTGTATTATAATATTAGTCATAATATTGTAATAGTTTTCAATATAGATAATAGTATAGAATCTATACTATAGATATTTTAACTTTTCAAACATAGATAAATAATATTTATTTAAAAAAAATAAATTATGATATAATATAATAATATTTTAGACAATATAATAGCAAATCTTGTGAATTATTTTAATCAATTTTTTTGTAATAACTTTCTTTAGATACAGCTAATACAATATATTGTTTAATATTAACTAATATATATATATTTATAATAAAATGTTTTACTAAAAATTTATATTAACTTTTATTATATATTGAAACAATATAATTAGTTGTTAAACATTTTTTTATAGATAATCATTAACACAAAAACAAAACAATAATTATAGTTAATAAAATGAAGAATTTATTTAATAATTAATTTAAATGTTAAATTAAAAACATAGAAATTAGATACAAAAAAAATGTTTTGAAAAATATTTTTTTTAAAAACAATAACAAATTGTAAAATTAAAAATTAAAAATAACTATAATAATATAATCAATAAATAAATATACATAATATACTGTATAATTGAAAAAATTGTGAAATTTTAAAACACACAAATAATATTAATTATTTTTATAACTAAAAAAAACTTTTTTTTTTCTTATTATAAAAATATTATGACAATAACATCCATAATCTATAAACTAATTTGTCTAACAGTTACTGGTATTACATTAACACTGAATTGCATGTCATAACCCTCTCGATTGATAGTCAGTTCGATAAACTCATTGTCGGCCATCTGCTGTACATACTGTGCCAATTGGTCGGGTGTATTGAACGGTTGGTTATTGTAATACTCGATACTATCGGTGACCTTCAATTGATTTCTATATAATAATATAATAATGAATTGACAAATTAATTATATCAACTCTCTCTCTCTCCCTCTAAGAGGACATGTTTGTATATATATAAGGGAACGGTATTAAATTACTTGATTTCTAATGATGTCAATGCTATATCAACAATCCTATTGCCAGTTAAGATCAGTCCTAAAGTTTTGTTGGTTCCTCTTTCGTAATTATTTCTCCGTCCAATCACCATTTGCGGCTCATTGTGGGCCAAATAGGTCTTTCCCTTATTGATAAAATCTATATATACAACATATAGAGATAACGATCAATAAAAAAGTGTGTTTGTGTTTATGTGTGCGTGAGTGTGTGTGTGTTTGTGTATATGTGTGTTTGTGTTTATGTATGTGTGTATGTATGTATGTATGTATGTGTGTGTGTGTGTGTGTGTGTGTGTGTGTGTGTGTGTGTGTGTGTGTGTGTGTGTGTGTGTGTGTGTGTGTGTGTGTGTGTGTGTGTGTGTCTAACTTACCGATAATGGCTTCGGCTTTGATAGTAAGAATATAGTATGAGAAACCGCCCATATGATGTAGAATAATGCCAATCACCTGTCCATTCATGTTGATTACCGGTCCGCCATAATGGGCGTTACTGATAAAACCTGTATGCATACAGTATTCACGACATATGACCGGCACGTCACGCGTTGCTAACTCATAAGGCACAGACACGACTGTCGGCTGTACAATCAGGCCATCGTTTATAAAGTATTGTTTAATTTGTCGTCCGATTGCAACAATTGGATCGCCCGGTTCGCTGGTTGTAATAGTAAAGTTGGCGCAAACTAGCCGTCCGGGATTTACAGGCGGCAACTGGATAAGCGCCAGATTACGATAAGGTTCGGTATAGACTACTCGACCAGTTGTTTCTTTAGCTAATTGCTGGCTGTTATGGCCAACAAAAACGTCCAAATATCGCAGTCTAGGATTATTGAATATAATGGTTACGATATCGGAACCGGCAATCGCAGAATAGTTGGTAACAATTAAACCCAACTGATTGTCCACAATGACACCGGTCGTTATGCCACAGTAACTATTTATGACCGACTGTTTACTTTTGACGACACAGACCACAAACGGCTGGCACTGTTCGCCCAAATTAAGCAGATCGGCTGCCATATGCGCCCGTCTCATATCCAACAAATAGCGGCGGCCAATATCATTTGATGGCCACAATCTGATGGACAGCGACTGTCGGTCTAGTCGCCGATGATATGTGTCATACAATGTAAACAGTGCGGCCAATTGGCAACTGTTTGTTTGTTTTATCAATAGAGATGTACAATGTTTTGTAGTGTTTAGAAAGTAAGGTATGAAGAGAGAGAGAGAGAGAGAGAGAGAGAGAGAGAGAGAGAGAGAGAGAGAGAGAGAGAGAGAGAGAAATGTATTATCAATCTTTATTTATCTATATATTATGACTAACCGTTTGTGAGCTCCCAGTGCTATAAGTTGTTTAATCATTTTTAACAAAATATTTCAAAATAAACCGTCACTTTAATTAATATGAATTACATATAAATATAAATTATTAATTCAAAACTATTATTTTTTGTATAATATTTTCCGATAGTCTCGCTCAACAAATTATTTACTTTAATTAATATTGTTTAATTATAATTAATTGCATGAATTAAAATTTTAAAAAATTTAATATGACTTTCTCTCTCTCTCTCTCTCTCTCTCTCTCTCTCTCTCTCTCTCGTGATATAATTTAACTCACAATAATACATATTAAATGAAATTATTTATTAATTATAAATTAGAAAAGTTTTGCAAACATAAAATAATTAAACATTATAATATTTATCAAATTAATCCATAAACATTTAAAAAATAATAATAATGCTTTATAATTATATTTTTATTTTAAACAAAACATATTATTCAAAAGATACATTAATAGGTTTCAATAACAATAAAATCTAATACTACAAAAAATATTAATAGCATTTAGTTTTATATCAGAACTCTGATTACAATTTAATTGCCGACAAAATATCTATCAATGGGTGATAGAGACCGAACTGATTGAGTATATCTTCGACACCTTTCAGGTCAGACTCGTATCCCGTGATCTGTTGCTGAAGTGCTTCGTTGGCTGACTGTAACTGAGCACTTAGTTTGCTGTCCGACACATATTTTTGTTCATCTCTTTGAACGGCCGACTGATCCCTTTCCAGTGACTCTTTAATGGCGGCAACATTATGTCTGACACCCAAACCTGTTTTAACCACAAGATATGACATATCAAATAGTGTTGCAATGGCTGATGGATTTCCTCGTTTAGCCAACGTTAGTAGTGGTTGTACAACACCTAACAGTTCAGCCTTATTGTGATTGAGTCCCTGTTTTCTTGAGTCTCTGATGGCCTGAGCCGATGCCAACACTTTTCCCAGAGTTTCATTCAATTGTTGTTTGATATCATTGGAGTTACCATTCAATAAATTGTACAAACTTTGACTTTTAGCCAACAGATCATCACTTGCTTGCTGTACAAACCCGGCTCTCTTATCTTCCAATGGCCGAAACAGTGATAAAATATTTGCGTATAATGATAGGGGAACGGTATTATTAGAGTCGACCAATGAATTTAGTTGATTAGATGCACTGGCAAATTGTGTGGTCAGTTCAGTATAATTGGCCGAACTATAGAAACTATTTTTGACTTTATCGACACCGGAATGCAGTCGTGATAACACCTGATGGACATCATTGCTAACTGTCGACACAGCATTGTCTACCTTTCCTCGTATATCAGCAGTCAATCCATTGAAAAAACCAGTACTTCTGGCCGGTCGTGACAAACCCAACAGTGCATTGGATATGGCATTAATGGCACCAACCAATAGGTACTGACCCGACACTGCAGTACAACTAATGCATACAATAACTAATAAAATAGAGATTTTATTCATTATAAATAATTTTATATGAATTGTTTTTTATTAATATTTAATAATATTTTTAGTTAATATAAAACTTATAATAATTTGTTGCTTTATATATATTTGTGTTTTACAATTTATTTTATGCTTAATATCGAATATTTAAAAAAAAAATTATTAATAGGTTTTTACTTAAATAAAATATCAAAAGAGTATAAACTAATTAATAATCTATAGTTACTTTATTTTTAACATATAATAGTTATTTGTAATAAGTTATTACTAATAACTAATTTATTACTTTCTAAATGCTTAAAAATTATTATTAATTGTTTTATATACTGTTATAATAATTTATTGTTTTTAACTTTATCATAAAAACACACTATTTAATTTAACTGTTGTTTTATTAGCAATGTGATTTATTATAACATTTCTATTACTTGATTACTGTTGTTGTAATTATTAAATTTGTTGTGTATTAATGTTATGTATTAATAACTAAATTTACTGTACAAATTAACTATTATTAATTTTATTAATATAATTACTTTTAATTTTTAATTATTTTAATTTATTAAATGTTAACCTTATTAACTTAAAAGTTTATATTATTTTAACTATGTTATTTATATTAAAATATTAGCATTGAAATAATCTTATTTACTAATTCAATACAATTTTATTTAATATAAAATATATTTAAAAACATGATTCAATTTGCCTATTATTACATATAAATTAAGACTTTGCTTGTCTTACATTTTCAAAAACATATTAAAAATATTTTTTAAAATTAAATTACAATAAACAATATAATTTAATTATAATGCTTAATAACTATTTTTTTTATTATTTTGAATATTTCATATAAGAATACATAATTAATAAAATTTAACAAATTTAAAAAGTTTTATCATAAGAAAAATTTAATATAAGAGTTAATATCAGTATTGTCTTTCAAAATAGCATAAAGTTTTATATCCGAAATCTGATTACAATTTAATTGCCGACAAAATGTCAATCAATGGGTGATAGAGACCAAACTGATTGAGTATATCTTCGACACCTTTCAGATCAGTCTCGTATCCCGTGATCTGTTGCTGAAGTGCATCGTTAGCTGACTGTAACTGAGCACTCAGATCGCTGTCCGACACATATTTTTGTTCATCTCTTTGAACGGCCGACTGATCCCTTTCCAGTGACTCTTTAATGGCGGCAACATTATGTCGGACACCCAAACCTGTTTTAACCACAAGATATGACATATCAAATAGTGTTGCAATGGCTGATGGATTTCCTCGTTTAGCCAAAGTTAGTAGTGGTTGTACAACACCTAACAGTTCAGCCTTATTGTGATTGAGTCCTTGTTTCCTTGAGTCTCTGATAGCCTGAGCCGATGCCAACACTTTACCCAGTGTTTCATTCAATTGTTTTTTGATATCATTAGAGTTACCATTCAATAATTTGTATAAATTTTGACTTTTAGCCAACAGATCATCACTTGCTTGCTGTACAAACCCGGCTCTTTTGTCTTCCAATGGCCGAAACAATGACAAAATTTGGGCGTATAGTGATAGGGGAACGGTATTATTAGAGTCGACCAATGAATTTAGTTGATTAGATGCACTGGCAAATTGTGTGGTCAGTTCAGTATAGTTGGCCGAACTATAGAAACTATTTTTGACTTTATCGACACCGGAATGCAATCGTGATAACACCTGATGGACATCATTGTTAACTGTAGACATAGCATTGTCTACCTTTCCTCGTATATCAGCAGCAAATCCATTGAGAAACCCGATACTTCTGGCCGGTCGTGACAAACCCAACAGTGCATTGGATATGGCATTAATGGCACCAACCAATAGGTACTGACCCGACACTGCAGTACAACTAATGCATACAATAACTAATAAAATAAAAATTTTATTCATTATAAATAATTTTATATGAATTGTTTTTTATTAATATTTTATATTATTTTTAGTTAATAATAAAAAACTAATAGAAAATCTTTGCAATTTATACTTTTTTAATTTTAATTTAGAGTTATAATGTTGTTTAATAATATTATATTATCAAAAAATATTATTAATTAGTTTTAACTCAATAAAATATTTAAATCAAAAGAGTATAATCTAATTAATATTTTATTGTAATAATTACTGTATATTTATGTTACAAAAACTATAATTAATTAATTTAGACAAATTGAGAAACTTATATATATTTTTAATAATAATTAATTGTTTTTAACTTAGACATAACAAAACATATTTATTTTATTAGTTTTTATTAATACTTTAATTAATTAATTTGTTTGAAACAAATGTTTTATATTATTAAAATTTTAATATTAGTATTAATATTACATACAAATAATATTAATTAAATTAAACTTTATTGAAAATTGTTTTACTAATATATTTATCAAATGTATTAAAAATAATAATATCTAACAATAAAATTGTTCAACAATTATGGGTTGTGTATTAACTGTAAAATATTGATTATAATAGGATCGATAAGCGGTCAGTACTATTGGTGGTGTATTGTCCGGCAATTGTTGTACATAATCGGACATTGCTTCCGGTGTCGTAAACGGGATATTATTATAGGAAACTATATTGTCGTTGATATATAAATGCTGTCTGTTATATATATACAGTATATTATAAATTAATTTTATTACTATTATATAAATGTAGTTTCAATCAATAAAAAAATAAATAAATTATATATATATATAAGACTAATACTTAGTTAAATGTGATATGAATGTAAAGCCTACTATCTGGTTGTTCACCAAAACAATACCCAATGTTTTGTTTTTAATAGAAATTTCAATTGTTTTTTTAACCAACCCTTTCATGATTTCAACACTTTGAGTCAATAGATAGTGTTTGCCTTTCTCTATGAAATCTATTGAAAATTGTTTTAAAAAAATTAATTAACCATCTCATCACATATCTCTAAAACATAGAGTACAATAAATTTTAATACAATAAAAACAAACAAACTATTGATGCAATTAACTACCAGTGCTACACTAAATTATTTGCTAGTTTACTAACCAATGATTGTTTTAGCACCAATAGCTAAAGCAAAATATGATGAACCGTGAATACTGCCACTATGTACTCCCAGTACCTGTCCGGACATGTCGATTACTGGACCACCCGAAAAACCGCCAACAATAAACCCGGTATGAATCAATATATCAGTGGTGTCGCCAATATTTTTAGTATATGCATAAAACTCGTAGCAATCGACTAGATTCTGGCGCTTATCTATTATTTGAATTAAGCCGTCAGTAATTGTCGATCGGCCATTCATACCGGACATGACTGCAATGTTAGCGCCCGGTTGGCAATCGGTAGTAAACATGCAAACAGGTAACACATTCGGTCGTATGCCTAGCAATTGGATGAGTGCCAGTTCGTGATCCGGTGCCGTATAGACTACTCGGCCAAACATTCTTCTAACAATATCTTGGTTTTGTTCACCAATAAAGACATCACAATAGCGTAAGGTTTCGTTGTTAATCAAATCGACAACCAGTGTATCGTTTGCTTGCGTTACGTGATTGTTGGTCACAATTAGGCCCAACTGGTTGTCCACTATTATACCGCTGGCGTTAGAAATGGTGGACGTCGGGTCGGACGACATTTGGCGGAGAATATTCACCAAAAACGGTCGACATTTTTGTCCGGCACTGTTGTTATCCATTTGATGGGCACATCTCAAACTAATTATCGACTGTTTCCAGTATTTTGTTTCAGCTATTAATGTCTGATTTTGTTGTTGTTGTTGTCTGTCCTTCAATTGTTGATATGTATGATATATACAGATCACTTTGACTCCCATTTTCCAGCTCCGGTACATATGATATGATAATTTTTGTAACATTCAATTGCAAATAACACAACTAAAAAATAATAAGATTTTAAAATTAACGGTTATTAACAGTAAATTAAAAGTATATTATTTCGTGAGACAATAAGTAGACTTTTGTAATTTTTTTATTGGTTTTTTTTAATTAAATTTTTTATTGTGAATGTTTTATATTATTAAATACAAACATGATTAATTAAATGAAACTTTATTAAAAAAAAAAATTATACTGTATATACTGTATAACATTGTATAACAACTATTGACTAGTTATAAAAAAATAAAGATATAAATTAATTAGTTATTTCATAAATAGTTAGGTTTTATTTTATTATTGTTTTTATTTGGTGGCGACTAATCCGCAGACCCATCACAGAGACCCCATATATCTTGAGAACCGATGGCCTGACAACAAAGTGACCGAACATTAAACTTGTAGATAATAATAATATAAAGTTACATATCTTGGTTCCGGTCGGATCGGTCTACCCGTTCCCGAAGTATACACGAAAAAACTGAGTTTTAAAACAAATTATGTCCGCATACCACCCCCTCCCCCATTATTTTGGGAACAGATATTTGAATAACAAAGTGACCAAACATGTAGATAATACTAATATAAAGTTGCTTATCTTGGTTTTGGTCGGATCGGTCAAACGGTTCACTTAGATAGACTCGAGTTTTAGTTTTTACTATATTTAAAATTAATATTTAATAAATAAATGTATACAGTATTTATTGATATATTGATACAATAATTTAGTAATATATTTATAACATGTATTAATAATAATAATAATAATAATATCTAACAATGAAACTGTTCAACAGTTATGGGTTGTGTATTAACGGTAAAATATTGATTATAATTTGATCGATAAACTGTCACTACTATTGGTGGTGTATTGTCCGGCAATTGTTGTACATAATAGGACATTGCTTCCGGTGTCGTAAACGGGATGTTATTATAGGCAATGATATAGTCGGTAATCAGTAAATGTTGTCTGTTATATATATATATATATATATATATATATATATTGAATTATTATTATTATTATGTAGTTTATTTAACAATTTATTATTTCAAATTTTTAATAATACACACACACACACACACATACATGAATACATACATGCATTAACTCTCATACCTAGTTAAATATGATGTGAAAGTATAGTCTACTATCTGGTTGTTCACCAAAACTAAACCCAATATTTTCCGTTTCATAAGTCTCCTGTGTTTTCTGGCTAACCCTTTCATTACTTCAACATTTTCGGTCAATAGATATTGTTTGCCTTTTTCTATGAAATCTATGTACAAAATAAAACAAATTGCCTCAACTTATAACTTATAAAAACAGAGTAAGTTTTTTCTATAATAAACTATCGGTGCAATATACTACCAGTGCAACAATAGTATATTTCTAACTGACCCATAACTGTTTTAGCGCCAATAGCTGCCGAAAAATATGAATAACCGCGAACAGAGCCTTTATGTACTCCCACTACCTGTCCGGACATGTCGATTACTGGACCACCCGAATAACCGCCAACAATAAACCCGGTATGAATCAGTACATCGGTTGTGTCGCCCAAATCATTAATATAATTAGCATTTTTGTAGCACTTTATTAGGTTTTGGCGCTTATCTATTATTTGAATTAAACCGTCAGCAATAAAAGATTGGCCACCTTTAGAGGATATTACAACAATAGGATCGCCCGGTTGACAATCTGTAGTAAACTTGCACACAGGTAGTACATTGGACCGAATGGGTAGCAATTGGATAAGTGCCAGTTCGTGATCCGGTGCCGTATAGACTACTCGGCCAAACATTCTATAAATAATTTCTTGGTTTTCTTCTCCGATAAAGACATCACAATAGCGTAAGGTTTCGTTGTTAATCAAATCGACAACCAGTGTATCGTTTGCTTGTGTTACGTGATTGTTGGTCACAATTAGGCCAAACTGGTTGTCCGCTATAAAACCACTGGCATTAGTAATGGTATTCAACGGGTCTGATGACATCGTTTGAATGATATTTACCATAAACGGTAGACATTTTTGTCCGGCACTGTTGTTATCCATTTGATGGGCACATCTCAAACTAATTATCGACTGTTTCCAGCATTTTGTTTCAGTTATTAATATCTGAAATTGTTGTTGTTGTCTGTCCTTCAGGTGTTGATATGTATGATATATACAGATCACTTTGATTCCCATTTTCCAGCTCCGGTACATATGATATGATATTTATAACATTCAATTGCAAATAACACAACTGAAAAATAATAAAATTTTACAAAACAGTTATTTACAGTAAATTAAAATATATTATTTCATGAGACAATACATTGTATTTAATTTAAATTTTCGGTAAATATAAATCTTAAGCCATACGTGACGATAACAATAGTTTTATTAATACAACAAAATAATTATTTTAATATTAATTTGAAAAATCAATTAAAACTATAAACTTTTAACGTTTTAAATCATTTTTGATGTGCAATCAATTTAAAATATCATTCACCAGATCATAGCATATACAGGGCTTTCTAATCGATGGCCAATCAAACCATATTTCGTACGGACAGTCAGGTATCTCAGGACAGTACGGTCAGTGCCGGTCCATCGTCGGGTGTTTTTCCTAAAGCCGTCACCGATTTGGGCTTTATATTGGGCGAAAAAGTAGGAGAGGGCGCATACGCTACTGTTTTTAAGGTAACGTCGTCCAAAATACCGGACAAACTGTTTGCCTGCAAGTGGTTCGACCTGACAAACCCTGATCAGGCCATCTGGCGGGACAAGTGTCTGAAAAATGAGATGAAAATCATGAGAAAATTGAAACACAAGAACGTAATGCACGCGCACGACGTGGTAAAGACCAGACGTCAAGCGTTTATATTTATGAACTTTGCGACCAACGGATCCATTGGTGACTATTTAGAGAAAACCAAGAAACCTATTGAAGAGAAAAAATCAAAAAAATGGTTTCGAGATATTATGGAAGGGTTGGCCTATTTGCACGTCAAAGGTGTGGCCCATCGTGACCTCAAACCCGATAACTTTTTGTTGGACAACAACTTTACCGATGCATTGCTAACCGATTTTGGGTTTGCCGTTGTGTCGCTCGAGACACCCACCGAAAAGCTGATGCGGGGAACCACTTGTGGCACCCAATTGTATAGCGCACCCGAAGTTCTAGCACTGGAAGACGGAAAGGTATACGACGCCAAACGGGCCGACCTGTACTCTATGGGTGTCTCAATGTTTGAAATGCTGTGCTTTAACCGACCGTTTGGCTCAGAGGTCGGCCGTAAAGACACTTATGTAGCGAAACAAAAGGCCAAAAAGTATTTGTACCGCAAAGGTGTGAATCTTGAGGCACAGAAACTCTGCAATTTACTACTGGAGCCCAAACCTGAAAAACGATTGACAGCCAGTGATGCACTCACATACAACTGGTTCAAGTGATGGTTAGGTTTAGTTGGCTTAGAGATACCGTAGTATACAATCAATGACAACAACAACAACATAACAGCAACATTATTGTGTAGATTTGATAAACAGATAAGTATTATATTTTATTAAAAATAAACATTTAGTGTATACTAAAAAAAATTATAATTAAATTACAGTATATTACACAATAATTTTGTAAAAACAATAATATATTATAAAGTAACTTTAAAAATAAATTCGTTATCATTAAATTATTATTTTATTTATCTAATACATAGCTATTTGTCTTTCAAGTAATAGTTATTATTAACAGTAAATTAAAATATATTATTTTATGAGACAATAATAGTTTAGACTATAATTTATAATATTAATAATAATCAATAAGATTAAGATACTTTTAAAAATGTATTTTATGTATTTCATTAAGTTCTCCAATTTATTTTTTTTGTATTGTAAATGTTTTAAATTATTAATATTTTATTATTAAATACAAACATGATTAGATAAATAAAACTTTATATAGCTTTTGAACTAAAATTTAGTTATACAAATAAAACATAATTAATAAAATTTGATAAACTTACAGTACTTACGGTTTATTTTAATATTGTTTAATTTATTATTAACTATAAATTTTAATTCATTTGATATTACTGTCTACTTTAGTAACAATATTATGCAATAATTATTATTATAAATACATCACTATCAAAGCTAACAATTGTTTAATTTTATTAATTTGACAATTAATTGATACATTATATACCGGTATATGTATGTGTATAGTGTAGGCAATGTATAAAGTATTTTATTTATTAATATAATATATAATAATTTTATAAAATATTTAACACAGATATTAATGATAATAAATTATCTAACATTGAAATTGCTCAACAGTTATGGGTTGTGTATTAACTGTAAAATATTGATTATAATTTGATCGATAAACAGTCACTACTATTGGCGATGTATTGTCCGGCAATTGTTGTACATAATAGGACATTGCCTCCGGTGTCGTAAACGGGATATCATTATAGGCAATGATACAATCGGTAATCAGTAACTGTTGTCTATTATATATATATATATTGTATTAATTTTATTACTATTAAATAGTAATATACAATTTATGATTAACAAATTAAGACCACACACACACACACACACACACACATATTGCAATTACAATATATATATATATATATATATGCATACATATTAAACTAATATACCGGTAAATACAGTACTCTCTATATATATATATATATATAGACACTAACTCTCATACCTATTTAAATATGATGTGAAAGCATAGTCTACTATCTCATTATTAACCAAAACTATACCCAATATTTTCCGTTTCATAAGTCTCCTGTGTTTTCTGGCTAACCCTTTCATTACTTCAACATTTTCGGTCAATAGATATTGTTTGCCTTTTTCTATGAAATCTATGTACAAAATAAAACAAATTGCCTCAACTTATAACTTATAAAAACAGAGTAAGTTTTTTCTATAATAAACTATCGGTGCAATATACTACCAGTGCAACAATAGTATATTTCTAACTGACCCATAACTGTTTTAGCGCCAATAGCTGCCGAAAAATATGAATAACCGCGAACAGAGCCTTTATGTACTCCCACTACCTGTCCGGACATATCGATTACTGGACCACCCGAATAACCGCCAACAATAAACCCGGTATGAATCAGTACATCGGTTGTGTCGCCCAAATCATTAATATAATAGTGATTTTTGTAGCACTTTATTAAGTTTTGGCGCTTATCTATTATTTGAATCAAACCGTCACAAATAAAAGATTGACCTTCGGAAGCGGACATGACTGCAATGGGATCGCCCGGTTGACAATCGGTAGTAAACTTACACACAGGCAATACATTGGACCGAATGGGTAGCAATTGGATGAGTGCCAGTTCGTGATCCGGTGCCGTATAGACTACTCGGCCAAACATTCTATAAATAATTTCTTGGTTTTCATCTCCGATAAAGACATCACAATAGCGTAACGTTTCGTTGTTAATCAAATCGACAACCAGTCTATCGTTTGCTTGTATTACGTGATTGTTGGTTACAATTAGGCCCAACTGGTTGTCCACTATTATACCACTGCCGTTAGAAATGTATTTCATCGGATCAGACGACATCAGTTGAACGACATTTACCATAAACGGTAGACACTTTTCCTCTGCACTGTAGATGTCTATTTGATGGGCATATCTCAAGCTAACTATCGGTTGTTTCCAGTATTTTATTTTATTTATTAATGTCTGAAATTGTTGTTGTTGTCTGTCTTCCTGGTGTTGATATGTATGATATATACCGATGACTGTAACTCCTATTTTCCAGCTCCGGTTCATATAATATGATAGTATTTGTAACATATGATTGATTGTAACAGTTTATTTACCACTACTATATATAACAGTTTTATTATTATAGACAGTTATTTTAATTAGTCGTTTAAAAAAATAATTCAAAACTTAATAACTATTTATATAAATAATATATATATATATAAATATGTATTAATGATCGAGACAACATTAATTTTAAAACCTTTAGTTTATTTTTAATTTTATTTAATTATCTAGAATATAAATATTTATTAAATGACTATTATTATTATTATTATTATTATTATTATCTGGTTTTTTGATAATTATTTTTATATCATCAATAAATTTTAATTAAATATTTTTATCTTGCTTAAATTAAAAAAAAAATAATCATTATAAACAGTACAACTATTACATTATTTAATATACAGTAGTTAACAATAATAAAATAATGAATACAACAGTAGTTAAACAAACAAACAAAAACAGCATTTAAAAAATAGTCTAACACTTAAACTGTTCACAATTTATGGGCTGGCATTTGATTGAAAAAATTTGACCATTTGATCGATATATGGTAAGTGATATTTCTATATTATCCGGCAATTGTTGCACATAATCGGACAGTGTCTCCGGTATCGTACATATGATGTTATCATAGGAAACAATTTTGTCGGTCACTCTTAATAATTGTCTTATTTTTGATAATAAAAAGGCAAAAAAAATATTAAAAATTTAAATATAGATTTAAACTTTTTTTTAAACTCTTTCTCTCTCTCTTTCATACCTAATAGTCTGTGCAGCAAATGTGATGCCTACTATATGGTTACCCTCCAAAACAATACCTAATGTTTTTCGTTTAATAAACTGCCGGTGCTTTTTGTCTAACCCTTGTATGAATTTAACATTTTCGGTCAATAGATACTGTTTGCCTTCTTCTATGAAATCTATGGGATACCACCACCAACAACAAAAACATTATTAATAAACTACCGGTGCAATACCAATATTGTACTAACCCATAACGTTTTTAGCGCCAATAGCCAAACCAAAATGTGATGAACAGTGCATACTAGCCATATGTACGCCCACAATCTGTCCAGACATGTTGACCACTGGACCACCCGAATAACCGCTACCAATAAACCCGCTATGGACTAAAAGATCGGTAGTGTCGCCAATAAGATTAGTAAACTCCGCGAACTCATTGCAATTGATCAGGTTTTGGCGCTTATCTTGTTTGATGACCAGACCTTCAGCAACCATACATCGTCCGCGTGCAGAGGACAAGGCTATAATGGGATCGCCCGGTTGGCAATCGTCGTCTGCGGTAAATGTGCACACAGGTAGTACATTGGGTCGAACGGTAGGCAATTGGATGAGTGCCAGATCGTGATCCGGTGACGTATAGACTACTCGGCCAGAGATTTCCTGAGCAATTGCTTGATTTTGGTCGGCGCCGACAAAAACATCGCAATAGCGTCGAGTTGTATTAAACAGTATAAGTCTGAGCCTATCGTGTGCCTGCGCCACGTGATTGTTGGTCACAATTAAGCCTAACTGGTTGTCCACAATGAAACCACTGGCGTAGCCTCTGATCAACATTTGGTCGGACAGTGTCGGCAGAAAAATACTAACCAAAAACGGTCGACAATTTCTGACTACATTACCAATCTCTACATCCTGTTGTTGAGCACATCTCAAACCATAATATACATTTGGCTGCTGCCGGTGCTCATATAAAAGACACTCACCCACACTCATTAACACTGTTACACTTACCAACTGTCTAAAGCTCCGGGATATATGATTTGACAGTTTTTGTAACATTACAATTAGTGCAATTGTAAAGTATTTATAGATTGAGAAACAATTAACAGTTTTTTTAAAAAAAATTATTATTATTATAACAGCTCTTTTTATATGAAAAATTGTTAGAAATTAAATCTAAATTAATTAAAATATGTAATAATATGTTATAATAGGTTACCTCTCGAGTAAATAATATTTATTTTTTTTAAACAGTAATATACTAGTATAAAATAGTTTATATTTTAATATTTGGAACAAATGTAGATTGTAGTCAGCCAGCAAAATAAAGTATGGTTTTTATGCAGTTATACATATATAAAATGTTAGTTTTTATTACTTAATTAATATTTAGTTTGGGGTGAGTGTGAGGTTAGGAAGTGGTTAGGTGGGTGGGGATGGGTATGGGACAAATAATTTTATACTGGTTGTCTATAATATATACTTAAGCCTAATATTTTATTTTCAATATTATTATGTAAGTTATTTAACATTTAATAATATATAGTACAGTGTATAATATTTTATTTAAAAAAGTAATATATATATAATATAATTAATAATTATAGATATTAATAGAGTTATTAGATTTTTATTTACAGTAACATTTGATTTTAAAATTCAAACTGTTCAACAGTTACGGGTTGGACAGTCATATTAAATGATTGACCTATATTTGATCTATGAACTATCAATACTATATCTATATAATTGGGCAATTGTTGAACATATCTGGACATTTCGTCCGGTGTTGTAAATTCAATGTTGTTATAGGAAACAATTTGGTCGTTGACTAATAAATTTTGTCTATTATTAAAAAATAAAATATATATATTTAATACAGACTTTTTATGTATTTAAAATTTAATTTTTTTTTTTAAAAAAAACCTCTCACTGTAATCACTCAATATTATACCTAATAATATTTGGCGCAAATGTAATGTCAATTATCTGGTTGTTCATCAATACTATACCCAGTGTTCTGCGTTTAATAAACCTCCGGTGTTTAGCACCCATTAGTTTCATGACTTCAACATTTTCAGTCAATAGATACTGTTTGCCTTTTTCTATGAAATCTATTTTATATAATAATAATAAACAAAAACACAATAAGTTTTTTTTCTAACTATACCATAAACTACAGGTGCATTTATCATATATTGATATATATATATATATATATATATATAGATGAACAACTACTGTACTAACCAATAACAGTCTTTGCGCTGATAGATAAAGCAAAACACGAGAAGCCGCGCTGACTAGCCGTATGTACGCCAACTACCTGTCCGTCCATGTTGACCACTGGACCGCCCGAATAGCCGGCCACGATATATCCGGTGTGTATCAATATATCGCATGTGCCGCCAATATCTTCAATAAAGATGAGAGGAATGTTTTGGAATTTATCTAATTTTAAGATAAAGCCGTCGGCAGCGAAACATCGACCACGTAAACCGGATATAGTTATAATGGGATCGCCAGGTGCCCAATCGGTAGAAAACTGGCAAACGGGTAGTACATCTGGTTTAATGGGTGGCAACTGAATAAGTGTCAGATCGCAATCGGGTGACGAATAGACTATTTTGCCAGAAATTTGTCGGATAATCCCTTGGTTTTGGTCGGCGTCGACAAAAACATCACAATATCGTAACGTATTGTTAGACAAACTGATTCTTAGCGTATCTATTCCTTCGGCTACGTGATTGTTGGTCACAATTAAACCTATTTTGTTGTCCACTATAAAACCGCTGGCGAAACTGAAAACACGTCTCGGATTGGTCATCGTTGATCTGGTGACGCCCACCAAAAACGGTCGACACTTTTGCAGAACAGGAGCAATCTCTTCATCCATTTGATGAGCACATCTCAGGCCAACTGTCAGCTGTTTTTTACATTGAATTGATGTTTCATTTATAAATGTCTGGTGCTGTCGTCTTTCCCGGTGCCGGTATCTGTGATATACACTCTCTGCAAACACCGTTACTCCCAGTTCACAGCACCGGAACCATTCAAATGACATTTATTTTTGTTTATTGTTGTGTAGCAAATATTTGCTTCAAATGCTAACAGTTTTAGCTATACTATGGTTCAAATAATACAATTAACAGTAATTTATAAAATGAAATTATTAAAAAAAAATTAAATTAATCAAATAATAAAACATATATTTTGATGTTAGCTCATGAGACAATAATTTAAGTTTATATTTAATAATTATTAGTTTATGATATTTAGATAAATGATACCCTATAAGATATAATGTATTAAAATTAAAATTATTATTATATTTATTAAAATTAAATTTATATAATTATATAAATTAAATATAAAATATTAAAAATCAATATTAATATAATATATAATTTGGATTCTTTGATATAGTGATAAAAATTTAATTTACATAATTTAAAACTGTATATATAATACTAAATCTAAAATCAATATAAATTAATTAAAATATGTAATAATAAGTTATAATAGGTTATAATAGGTTACCTCTTTAGTAAATAATATTTATTTTTTAAACAGTAATATACTAGTATAAAATAGTTTATATTTTAATATTTTATTTCCAATATTATTATGTATTTAACATTTAATAATATACAGTAGTACTGTCTATAATATTTTAAAAAAATAACTAGTTTGTCCCGCACAATCAATCACTCGACAAAACCTGAAACAAATCAATCAATCAATTTTTTAATCAATTTTATATTTTTAACAATAAATTGTTTTATCCATCATTGGTTGTGTCCACTCATTCATTATCTCATCCACGGTCACAATATATAAACTTCATATAATTAATAATTATAGATATTATTAGATTTAATAGATTTTTATTTAAAGTAATAATTGATTTTAGAATTCAAACTGTTCAACAGTTACGGGTTGGACAATGATATTAAATGATTGACCTATAGTTGATCTATGAACTATCAATACTATATCTATATAATTGGGCAATTGTTGAACATAACTGGACATTTCGTCCGGTGTTGTAAATTCAATGTTGTTATAGGAAACAATTTGGTCGTTGACTAATAAATTTTGTCTATTATTAAAAAATAAAATATATATATTTAATACAGACTTTTTATGTATTTAAAATTTAATTTTTTTTTTATAAAAAACCTCTCACTGTAATCACTCAATATTATACCTAATAATATTTGGCGCAAATGTAATGTCAATTATCTGGTTGTTCATCAATACTATACCCAGTGTTCTGCGTTTAATAAACCTCCGGTGTTTAGCACCCATTAGTTTCATGACTTCAACATTTTCAGTCAATAGATACTGTTTGCCTTTTTCTATGAAATCTATTTTATATAATAATAATAAACAAAAACACAATAAGTTTTTTTTCTAACTATACCATAAACTACAGGTGCATTTATCATATATATAGATACACAACTACTGTACTAACCAATAACAGTCTTTGCAGCGATAGATAAAGCATAGCACGAGAAGCCGCGCCGACTTGACTTATGTACGCCAACTACCTGTCCGTCCATGTTGACCACTGGACCGCCCGAATAGCCGGCCACGATATATCCGGTGTGTATCAATATATCGCATTTGTCGCCAATATCTCTGGAATGTTTTTGAGTAATGTTTTTATATTTATCTAATTTTAAGATAAAGCCGTCGGCAGCGAAAAATCGACCACGTGAGCCGGATATGGCTATAATGTGATCGCCAGGTGCCCAATCGGTAGAAAACTGGCAAACAGGTAGCACATCAGGTTTAATGGGTGGCAATTGAATAAGTGCCAAATCGCAATCGGGTGACGAATAGACTATTTTGCCAGAAATTTCATTAATAATCCCTTGGTTTTGGTCGGCGCCGACAAAAACATCACAATATCGTAACGTATTGTTATACAAACTGAGTCTAAGCGTATCTATTCCTTCGGCTACGTGATTGTTGGACACAATTAAACCTAATTTGTTGTCTACTATAAAACCACTGGAGTGACTGAAAACAGCTTTCGGATGGGTCATCGTTGATCTAACGACGCTCACTAAAAACGGTCGACACTTTCGCACAACAGGAGCAATCTCTTCATCCATTTGATGAGCACATCTCAGGCTAACTGTCAGCTGTTTTGTACATTGAATTGTCAGGTGCTGTCGTCTCTCCCGGTGCTGGTATCTGTGATATACACTGCCTGCAAACACCGTTACTCCCAGTTCACAGAACCGGAACCATTGGTATGACATTTATTTGTTATTGTTGTGTAGCAAACAATTTCAAATACTATTTCAAAAATTTGATTATGCAAACAGTTATGCAAAAAATACAATTAACAGTAATTTATGAAGTGAATTTTTTAAAAAAAATTTGATTAATTAAATACTAAAATATATAATTTTTATGTTAGCTCTTGAGACAATAATTTAAATTTATATTTAATAATTATTAGTTTATGATATTATACCCTATAAAATATAATGTATTAAAAATATAATTATTATTATATTTATTATAATTAAATTTATAAATATAATATATAATTCTTTGTTATAGTGATAAAAATTTTAATTTACATAATTTAATATATAATACTACAGATTTAGTTAAATATTTTATTACCAAATTAGCAAAATATTGAAAGTATTTAAAAAGTATTTTCATAGTATAAATAGTTTAAATATTATTAATAGTATAGTTATTTTATATTTAAAAAAAAACGGTAAACAATTGTCTAGCATTTAAACTGTTCAACATTTATGGGTTGAACATCTATAGTATACATTTCGAAACCAAATAATCGTTGAAAGTTCAGTACTATTACTGCATTATCGGCCAATTGTTGGACATATGTGGACATCGCCTCCGGTGTTGTAAATTCAATGTTATTATAAGAAACTATTTCATCGTTAATCAATAAATATTGTCTATTAATTAAAAAATAAATAAGAAAAATTAAAATTATAAAAAACTAAATATTTAAATGTCTTTAATAATTTCAATCTCTCTCTCTCTCTCTCTCTCTAACCTAATAGTCTGTGACGCAAATGTAATGTCTATTATCTGATTGTTCACTAAAACTAAACCCAATGTTTTATTGTTAATAAGTTTAGGCTTTCGTTGTTTTGCTGTTAAATGCATGACTTCAACACTTTCAGACAATATATACTCTTTGCCTTCATCTATGAAATCTATATTTTATAAACAAAAATAAAACATAAAAAATTACTATAAGTTATTATTACTACTAATATATCAACAAAAACTAACCCATAATGGTTTTAGAGGTGATACCTATATTGCGATCGGACATTCCTAGTCCAGCTAAGCTATTTATGCAAACTACCTGTCCAAACATGTTGATCACTGGACCACCCGAGTAACCCGGGGCAACAAATCCAGTATAAATTAATACATTGCATTTGTCGTCAATAAGAGTTGTTTGAAATTTTTTTAGGAAACTTAAGTTTGCTTTTGTATCCAATGTTAAAACTAATCCATTCGATAGCAAACATCGATCATTTGAAGCGCAAAATGTTAGTATAGTATCGCCCGGTTGGCTATCGGTAGTAGAAAATTGACAAACAGGTAATACATTGGGCCTAATGGGCGGCAATCGGATGAGTGCCAGATCGCGATCGGGTGCCGTATAGACAACTCGGCCATACATTTCTCGGATAATTGATTGGTTTTGGTCGCCAATAAAAACATCACAATATCTAAGAGATTCGTTAAATAGACCGAGTTTTGCGTAATCGCTTCCATAGATTGCGTGATTATTGGTTATAACTAATCCCAAATTGTTGTCTACTATAAAACCACTGGCACTGCCGCGTAAATCTACTGAACCTGATATCGGCAACTTGTAGACTGTCATCAAAAACGGACGACACTGTTCAGCAACACTAGCAATGAAATCTTCTTCAATGAATTGTTGGGCACATCTCATGCCAACAACTATCAGTTGTTGTTGTTTTAACCATTGAATTGTTGTTTTATTTATTAACGACCAAAGTTGTTGATATCGACGACCATCCCGGTGCTTATAATAATGATACTGATATGCTATATGGCACACACCTATTGATCCCACTATCCAACACAACCGATACATTGATTTGTTTGTTTGTTTTTTCACACACTTTGTTTTTATCTTTAACACAATTAATCACATTATATAATATTATCACAAATTTGGGATAATTTTTATACTTGTTTTTGAACAGTTAATCTTTTAATTGAAATTTTAATGTCTCTCTTTTTATAGTGTTTTACTTTTAATATATACGTTAGTATTTTTAATTGTTTAATAAATTGTTGTCTCGCTATAAATATTTTTATATACATTTTTTTTTAGTTAAATTAGTTTATGTTAGGTTATTATATTTTACTATGAACTGTATATAAAAATATTTAAATTATATTAAATTTAATATAAGTTAGTATAAGTTAGTATAAGTTAGTATAAGTTAGTATAAGTTAGTATAAGTTAGTATAAGTTAGTATAAGTTAGTATAAGTTAGTATAAGTTAGTATAAGTTAGTATAAGTTAGTATAAGTTAGTATAAGTTAGTATAAGTTAGTATAAGTTAGTATAAGTTAGTATAAGTTAATATAAGTTAGTATAAGTTAGTATAAAATAATATAATATTACGAACGATAAACAGTTTATAATTAATTTATATGAAATTATAATTTTTATTATCTAAAAAAACTAATAAAATTATTACAGTTACAGTATATTATATTAGGAAAGTTAGTTTGTATTTTATTTACAATTTATAAATTGTTTAATAGTAATGGATTTATTGATAGTAATTATTTTTTAAACAGCAAACAGTCTAACATATAAACTGTTCAACAGTTATGGGCTGAATAATTAAATTAATTTTACGTATATATTAAAATCATTGAACAGTTATTTGGTTTGTATTTTATTTACAAATAGTATATTAATTGTATTAATAGTAATAATTAAGCTGTTGTACAGTTATGGGCTGGACGTTGATAATAATTATTTTTAGTACTTAATAATAATCTTTGAATAAATAATTTATTGTATTATCATTATTATTACTGTATGCCAATTGTAGTAAATGCAATGCCATCGTAAAAAACAAATATTTTATATTTATAAACTATATTATTTAATTGATTTTTATTACAACATTTGTTTAATATATAATATAGTATTATAAATTATTAGATTATAATCAATAAATAGATATAGTTTTAAACTTTATATTTTTATTTAAAAAATATTTTTTTTAGATAATCATTTTACTAGTAAACTACAATGATGATAATTATTATTATTTAGTATTTAATATTTTTTGGTGATAATAGTTTAAAATGTTACAGCTGCTGATATTGTAATTAGTTTTTTTACAAAAAAAATATATATATTATATTTCAATAAATTTGTTACTGAAAAAAATTAAATTGAAAATAGTTAACTTTTAACTATAGTTATTTGCCTTTTTTATAACTAACTTAGCAATAATAAAGTTTTAGCATTTTTTATTCAATTGACAGTCTATTAATTGTAGTATTTCAAAAATTGTTAGATATTTGTATAATATATTAATATCGGAATTTCGTAAAAAACAATACAAATATTTAATTTATTTAAAAAAATGATTTGACAATTTAATATGTTTACTAACATATTTTTTCTTCAATAAAAATGGGTGTCTAATAATTTTTTTCCTTACAAAATATTATTGTATATTTTATATTATATTTTTTTCATAAAATTATAATTAATTAAATTATTTCTAATCAAGTTCTGGGTCTAACATTATCATAATTAAACCGATATTTCTTTTATGTCTATACAATAATAAATTATGTATGAATTTATGACAGCAATAAAATATTTGGAAATAAAATGCATATCATTTATAAATTTAATTTATTTGTTTAACTGTATATTAATTACAATAAAAACGATGATAATAGAATTTTTTTAATGATGATTTTAAATTTTTTATTAATGTTAATAGAAAACTGTCATTTTTGTTTAGTATCAATAATCCTATATAAATCACTTGTATACGAAAATTTTATTAAATTTTTCGTTTGTTTGCTGTTATTTAAAAAAAATATAATTTTAATATATTTATAATTTGATTTTTTTATATAGTTTTTTCTTATAAAGTTAACTTAATATACAAACAAACAAACAAATTATGAGTTATATAAAACCGGAAATTTATGAAACTGCTACACAACATATTGAACAACATATCATCGATTCAATAGCTAATATTAAAAATGAAAAACCGTAGGTTATATGCCGTATATATATATATATATATATATATATATATATTTAATAGTAATTATTTAAATAATAATCAATAAAATATAATAATATTTTTTTGTTGTCAAAAGTTTTTACAATACTATTGTCGATATCGGTTCAGCTGACGGAGGACTTACCAAATATTTGTCGGCAAATGTGCCGCACAAACAATTAATTGGTATCGATATCGATCCGGAAATGATTGCTTACGCCAAAAGTCAATCAATAGATGACAATACCATCGTTTATATTGAACAGGATATGAATGTTGAAAACTGGTCGCAATTATGTCCACAAATACGCCAATTGGAGGGTCGGGTAGATCTGATATTTTCAAACGATACCCTATCTAATATTGCCGATCGCAAACAATTAATGACCAACTTATGGCAATTGCTATCATCGGACAACGGTATACTACACGTTAATATACCGATAATACCTGATCTGAACAGAAAACTGGCTAAAAGTGAACAAAGAGATTGGTATCAATCGGTTAGTAAACAGTTAGACGACTGGAAGTCTGGTTTACAAGAAAATGGATTTCAAATTAAAGAGTTTCGTGTCTTTAATATCAATACTATTGCCAAACGACATGAAATTATTAGTAATTAATGTTTTAATAATAATAATAATCAATGAGTTATATTATATAATCATATTTTATTAATAAATTTTTCTTTTTTTAAAAAATTAGATTTTCTGCCAATGATGGTCCAAAATGTTGGTACATTTTTTACCGATAAGCGCCAGTTTGAGGACGAACTTGACGGACATCTTACCGATACTGTATTTGATGCCTATACCAGTCAACCCGATGCCACACCCAATCCAAACGCTTGGAAACAATTTATGGCCGACAATACTATTACCGAAGTCACTCTAATACGTCAAGCTTTAAAATTTATTTGTATTAAAAATATTTGATTTAGACTTAGATTAAATTATTATTATTATTATGGAAAATAAAAATTAATTATAATTATGTACTTTTTTAATTACACTGTAAAAAGTAAGTAATAGTTATTTTTTAATTTAAATTAATGTTTTACAGATTCATTTTATAAGTGTCTTATAATATAAATAAGAATATTTATATCTATAGATTAAAAATAAATATTTTATTTATTTATTATATAATTAATTAATAAATAAATAAATACAAATAGTAAATAAACTGTAAAAGTTATTTTTAAAAAAAACAGTAAACAATAATATTTATTATTAATTAAATATTATTATTTAGACATTTATTTTTTAAACGAATTACTATTTTTATTAATAATAATATTCAACATTAAAAAGTATTGAAAGTATTTATAAAAATAGGCTTAACATTGAAACTGTTGGACAGTTATGGGTTGGACTTCTTTAGTCAACATTTGGTCACCCAATGAACGATAAACTAGAAGTACTATTCCTGTTGTATCAGTCAGTTGTTGGACATATCTGGACATCTCATCCGATGTCGTGAATTCAATGTTATTGTAGGAAATAATTTTGTCGGAAACTATTAAACTTTGTCTATTAGTGACAAAAATAATAATAATAAAAATTTAAACTTAAATATGTTTAATAATTTCAAACTCTCTCTCTCTCTCTCTCTCTCTCTCACTCACTCACTCACTCACTCACTCACTCACTCACTCACTCACTCACTCTCATTTTTACCTAATACTTAGTGATGCAAATGTCAAGCCTACTATATCATTGTTGATCAAAACTAAACCCAATGTTTTTGGTTTTATAAATCTTCGGTATTTATTTGCCAACATTTTCTCGACGACAACACTTTCCCTAACAAAATAATATTTGGCTTCATCTATGAAATCTATTGTATTTTTTTTAAATTAATATTTTTACACACCCCCACTACACACACTCCCAAACTATACTATTTATATATCATATATTATTTAGACAATTAAATGTAATTTATATTTTGGGTGAGCATTTATTTTAAATACAATAGTATATTAATAGTATTAATAATAAACAGTCTAACATTCAAACTGTTCAACAATTATCGGCTGTACTTTGTTAGACAATATTTGACTATTTGATTGTCGATAAACTGTTAGTACTATCTGTGGTATATTGTCTGGCAATTGTTGGATGTGATCGGACATCGCCTCCAATGTCGTGAACGGCATCTTATTATAGGAAATAATTCTATCGGAAACTCTTAAATTTTGTCTGTAATAAAAAAAATGTTTTAAAATCTCTCTCTCTCTCTCTCTCTCTATCATATACTCACTATCTTACCTAATGGTCAGACTTGAGAAAGTTATATCCACTATCTGGTTGTCCACCAAAACTATACCCAATGTTTTACGTTTGATAGGTTTCCGGTGCTTTTTGGCTATAACTTCAGCACTTTTGGCCAATAGATAGTCAGTGCCTTCATTTATAAAATCTATGTATAAATATAGATAATATATATATATATATATATTAAAGACCATAAATGACTAATTATAATGTTTTTCATCGGTAATAAACTACTTGTATTTTCGGTGTGACCATAATATAATTTATTACTAACCCATAGCAGTTTTAGCACCGATAGCTATTGAAAAATGGGAGCTCCCAAGTAAATCTGCCTTATGTACGCCAACTACCTGTCCCGACAACATGTTGACTACTGGACCGCCGGAATAGCCTAACCGTGTAAAACCAGTTTTTAATAATATATCGCATCTGCCGGTAATACCTTTAATTTGTTGATTACTTGAGTCTATGTTCAATAGCTTATCCAGTTTTTGGACAATACCGTCTATAGTTAAACATCGACCCGGCGCTGCACAGGACAGTGACACAATGGGATCGCCCGGTTGGCAATCGGTAGTAAACTCGCATACAGGTAGCACATTGGGCCGAATGGGCGGCAATTGAATGAGAGCCAGATCGCGATCGGGTGCCGTATAGACTACTCGGCCATAAATTCCTTTAATAATTGTTTGATTTTGATCGTCAATAAAGACGTCACAATATCTTAGAGTTTCATTAAATAGACAAACAGTTACAAAATCGATTCCTTCGACAACGTGATCATTGGTCACAATTAGGCCTAACTTGTTGTCCACTATGAAACCACTGGCGTTTGCTGTGTTACTTAAATGATCAGATATCGATAGTTTGAGAACAGTAACCATAAACGGTCGACATTTTTTCTCAATAGCTGATTCAACACAATTAATATTTTTGTCTATTTTCTGATCAAACGGTTGATTCTTTTTGGCCATTTGTTGGGCACATCTCAGACCAACTATCGGCGATTGGTTTGACAGCCATTCAATTAATTTTCTATTTTTTACTAATATAAGTTGTCTATACCGGTGCTGATAATTATATCTATTACATACACTGATAGCTACCACAATACAACTCAACCGATACATAGAGTTATTTATTTATTTGTTTTACAGAAAACAGTCACAATATATATACAAGTATATGAAATTCAAATGAGAAATTAGTTAATATTTACAATTTATTAATATATTTGTCAATTTTAACTGTAATTTTTATTTATCCTGATTTTAAACTATCATTTATTGATTTGAGTTTTGTTTATTATTATTATTGTCTCGCTTTTTATATCAATATGTCTCAAAAAATATATCATTTCATAAACTATTAAAAGGAAAAGCTTACTAGACTTAATTATTTGTAAAATTTACACCAAATAATTTATATTTGTTTGATTAGTTAGGTTTGTTTGCGGGTATGGAGGTTTGTAAGTGGTGGGGTGGGGTGGGCATGGATGGGGGTAACTAGGAACTGGTGGTGAAATAACTTTTTCAGTTTAATTCAAGTTATATAATCGTACATAGTTATGCTATATGTTATATTGATTTAATGTATTTGATTGAATAAATTAAAACTATGCATTGACTGTCTCCTTATAATCCAGAATTATGCAAATTATAATTATATAAACTATTTTTTTTTTTGGTAACAATTTATATTTTTAAATAAAATATTTATAATATATAAAAAATTATCCAGTATTTCAAACACTTATACAATTTTATTATTATTATTTTTTTTGATAATTATATACTAATAATAGTCAATCAAATAGTATTCATACAAATATACTGTTGTTCCTCATAATTGGTATTCAAACCTTTACAATCGTCGTACAGTTCATTATTGGCATATTGTTTATTATGATATTTGTAGGCCATCTCCAGTGATACCAATCTCGACTTAAACTCATCGTCGACACCGACATCAATCAAATTAATATCGTCGACCAATTCGGTAAATGTTGGCCTATGCTGTGGTGATGGTGACCAACAAGTCAACAACAGTGTATATAACTGGTCGGGACAGTAGTAGGGACGGGGCAAACGGCCGCCACGTTTTACATAACTCAATACACTGTGATTTTCTATGTCGCCGTATGGAATGGCCGATCGGGTCATTATCTCCCAGACCAACACACCAAAGGACCAGACATCCGATCGGCTGTCGTATCGGTCGTACTCTAGTGATTCGGGTGCCGTCCATTTGATGGCAGCCGATCGGTATTTATAAGAGACAGTAGTAAAACTGTGTCTATAATCATGTAGTCGCGGATGACTTACTGATGTCCCGAAGTGTGCGATTTTTATGCACAGGTTTTCGTCAAGCATACAATGTTTGGCCGATAGGTTACGATGGACGACATGTCTGAGCGATAGATATTCCATACCTGTTCATTGAAAAAAATATTTATTTTAACATTTAAGACAAATATGACTTCCTTATGACTTTCCATACCTTTAGCTGAATCCGTAATAAAGTTTATCAATTGACGTACAGATAGCTCATGTGTTTCGTTACGTAGATAACTGCTTAGATCCCGGTTCTCCATAAATGGGATTACAATTAGTAATGCATTGTCTGCTCTAAAGCACAGTCCGATAATTTCTAACACATTATCGTGTCTTAAATCTCTGGCAATTAACAAATGATTGACAAACATTTGTGCATCTTTTTTATTGTACATTTTATCTACCGGTGCCCAAAAAAAAACAAAATATTATTAAAATAATTTTTTAAAAAAAACTAACATAACTATCATACGAAGTATAAAGCATATACTTTACTTAATTTTTTTACGGCTACATCCATACGCCGATCACAGTATTGGCCATCTATTCTAACGGTTAGTACACCCCTGGAGACCGTACAGTGATGGCCAGCACTTACAGTTTCGTTGAGTTGTATATCATTTTCATCGTAGAGTAGCCGTTCATCCCGGAGCAGGTCGAGCATAGATTTTTTCAAATTGTTTTTTATATATTTAACTATAAATAAATAAATACAGTAAATTAATTGCCATAAAATTTTATTATCTAGATAATTTTTATTTTAATTATCATATTTATTTGATAATTTATTTTACCTGACAAAAATGAGTGACGCCTATTATTTCTAATATACTTATAAATGTATACAAAAATTAAACTGATAACTAGTAATAGTATTAGACTAGATCCTAATGATATGGCTAAAATTTGTTTCCAATTAGATCCTATGGTAATAATATCTATGGGTGCCGGGGGTAGTTCGGTTTGGTGATTATCATAAACTGATGATGCTGATTTTATAAATTTCCATTTAAAATATTTATCATTTGTATGGTTTATAGGATCATGTTTATAGCAATCAATGCGATTGTTAATATAACCAAGTGGATATTCACTAGATGCTATTTCCAAACAACAAAATTTAATTGTAATAAATAATTATATTAATTTTTTTAGACATAATTTATATACATACAACAAATTTGACCGTACATAAAATATGCACCTGGATGTGTGGAGCATTCAATTTGTACAGTATGTGAACCAATATAGTGTACCAGTTCATACCAAGTTGGCTGTTTGGTGGCTAGAAAAATATGATCATAGATGATTGGCTCATTGGGCTGGATATATGATGATGATGATAGTGTGGGCGCATGATTAGATGATAGTGGCCAGGTCATATATTTGTTTTTGTTGCCACCATTTAGGATTAAATATTTTATGCCTGTATAGATTTTCATGGGTTGACCAGTAAGCGAGTCCATAATTTTTGTATAATTGGCTACAAATAGCAACGATAACAACAACAAAATAAATAAGTAAAACTATTATCATTTTAATAAAATATATTTATATACTGCACATTACACAAATCGATAGCATAGTAGGTGATATTGATACTACTGGTGGTCGATTCATCGATTAAGCTACCGGTGCCGCCAACAGTAAACTCAAAATGCAAATGATTTGATTCACTTATAATATTCGGTACAATATGTTGTTGTCTGTCAGCAATATAATTACCGATTAAAAGTTTATTATTTTTACGATTAGCAAACATCTCATATATGGACAACCGATTTGTACCGCCGATGACTAATTTGTTGACAATAACAATAATATTGTCTTTGCTATTGTTACCAATAATATCCCAATAACATGCAGATCTATTCATAGATGATAACTGTCCATCAAATGTTATAATATTGGTATAATCACTGTAGGTTTTATTACATAACTGATCTAAATTACAAAATAAATAATAGATTTTTAGAAAAAATAAATTTTGTTATATTTAGTTCAATAGAAAATTAATTATACTGTAAATTAAACTATAAAATAATTTTTTTTATTCAACCTTTATTATATTGATTATCAATTGAGTTGAGATTAATAAAAATTATTAATAATAACAACATAATTATACTTATATTTTTGATTTTTTTTTATTATTATTGCTATATTTTTATATATAGTATTAAATACATTATGTAACATAATTGTAGTAAAAATTATAACGTACTATAATTTGCTTTAAATATCATATACTAAAATATTTAATCAATTTTGTTATTATATTATTTTATAAAATCCATGTAAGGTAAAATTATCAATTTTTAGTCAATATATAATGTTTCCTGTATGTAATTAATTTTAGTTTAATTAGAAAATTATATATGGTAAATTTATTACACTATAGTATACTAATGTAGATAACAATACAATTTTATAAGATTAAAAATAATTATTAATAAAGTTATTAATAATTAAAAAAAATATTAGTATTTAACAAAATAAAAATAAATTTATACTATATGCTAATTTGTTGTTTATTTATATTGAAAAGTATAAAAATATATTTTTTATTTTACATTAAATATACTAAGCCATAGTATATCATTAAAATCTTATAATAAAAATTACAAAAATATAAGTTTAAAAGAAAATGATTTTATTGATATTTTTTCATTATATAATTAAATATAAATTAAATATAATTAAAAAATTAAATTGTTAATCTAATAAATTAATTAATTATTACAATAAAAATTAGGTTTTTCGTGGATAAATTAGTGTATATTAAGATAAAAAAAAGATTTAGTATCAAAAAATACATTTATAATAACTTAGTTTTTAACTAATAATAAGGGTATAAATCTAATTTAATTAAATTAGAAATTTAAATACTATATAAAAATATATATGCTGTAATAAACTGATAAATTTAGTATTAATATTTTATACAGTAGTTCAAAAAAAATAATAACTAATAAATTAATTATGAAGTTTATTTTTTTACCTACTAACATTATTAATATACTGTAATTAAATATTTTCAATAAATAATTTATGGTTTTAAATTACTAATACTCATATTAAACAATTGACAGACAATTAAATAAAATTTATTGAAAAAAAATTAATATCACTGTTGACTAGTCTGACAGTCTGTTGTTAACTAAATTTTTTTTTAATACCATAAAAAACAATGACTCAAAACACTAACAATTATAAGATAATAGTTTTGGGATCGTCAGGTGTGGGCAAAAGTGCACTAACTGTTCAATTTGTTCAAGGTAAATTTATTTTATTTAAATAATATTAATAAATAAATTGTTTACTAATAAACTTATTAATTAAATAAACAAATACATACACACATACACACACATATGCACTTACCCACCAAAACAGGTATATTTGTGTCAAACTACGACCCGACTATTGAGGACACATATAAAAAGTGGTTAGAAGTTGACGGTCGCCGATATCTGTTGGACATATGGGACAGTGCGGGCAGCGAACAGTTACTGGGAATGAGAGACCGATACTATAGCGAGGCTCACGGCTTTGTGTTGGTCTATTCAATAACATCGGAGACCTCCTTTCAGGACGCCCAAAATATTTGCAATGAAATTATTGACATTAGAGACCGAGACGATGTACCCATTGTGCTGGTGGGCAACAAATGTGATCTCGACGATGAGGAACGGGTGGTTAGCAAGTTTGCCGGCGCTCGTGTGGCCAACTATGAGCTCAAATGCCCGTTCACTGAGTCGTCGGCCAAGAATAGGGTTAATGTTGAGGAAATTTTTGTAGAAATTGTGCGACAAATCAATCGCCAGAAAGTCATTACCGACGATAAGGTTAGATCAGGCTCTGGTAGGAAATGGTATCGCAGGTTAAGCAAGTGCTACATATTGTGAATCTTTTAGTTAAAAATTAGAAAATTAATACAATATTATTTGAGACTTATATATATAAACATAAAACATATGTAAGATATACAACATTTTTGTATTTTACATAAATTAAAAGTTGCATAACTGCCCTTAGCCGGTGGCCGATTGAAATTATTTTTTATATTTAAGTAGTTTAATATTTATAGTTTTAAATAGTATCAGTTATTTTTATGGATGAATCAGTTAAGGTGATAAAATTGGACATCAATGGTCACCCGTATTACTCACACGCATACCAATGCTTTTAACACTATAACACTATAAATACATAGCATTGCTTTTAACACTAATACTACATATACATACCAATGCATTTAACACTATATACACATATAAGATATTTTATTGTTTTATTATATTATACATATACTGTATTCATACATAGATACATACAATTACAATTACAAAATCAATTAACAATTATATTCAAAAATATTGTTATAAAAATATCCTAATGTATTACTATTTATATTATTTTATTATATTAATGCATATGTTTCTAATTTTACTTTTATCGGCTTATATTGCCATATATTGTATTGCATTTAAGATATGCAAACTTATATTAATTAAACATAGTGTCCACTAATATAGGTCACTCTATATATAGTGAGTTATTGAGGTCACGCACTTCAGTGTTGAGAAAGTGGTCCTAAAGTGCTCATCAATTGTCACTATTATTATTATAGTTAACTCTTCACTCATTTTATTCAAAGACAACAATAATTTAATGTATTTAAGTTTTAATGAAGTTTTTTAAATAAAGTTTATATTAAATATAATTAAAACACGACTGCAATTATTTTATTAAAACCTAGTGTTTTACACATAATACTAGAAAAAAATCAACAACAAAAAAAACAATTAAATATTAATAATAAATAATTTTAATAACTAATATATTAATATCATTGATATTACTTTATACACAGTAATTGACTAAATTTTTTTTTAAATGTTTAAACATAATATTAATAATGGTTTGTATAAATTTATTCAATATTAATATAACATGTTTTGCATGAATTGTTATACAGTACAGTGCATTAATCATACAGTATTTATAATACAATAATTATTTTTTTTATAAAAAAATATTATTATGTTTGAGTGATTTTTTTTTTTGATAAAATGTTAACCCAATGTTTTTCCAATTATGAATAATTTATAAACTATAATGTAATTTAGTGTAATACTAAAACTAATTGAAAAAATGTTAAATCCTAAATAAAATTTGAAAATATATAACACAATTATACATTAATTTTTATTTAAGTAACTTATTTATCTATAAAAGTGTTTTAAATGTACAGTATATTTTAGATAAAACTAAATAGCTTAATAGTATTTAGTATATATAATCATAGATTATAAAACAGTATATTAATAAAATTATTATTATTATTATTATTAAAAGCCATTAATAACAGTATGGGAACCGTATTCGCCGATCATCATCGAAATGGTCATTCCCTGTTCAGTGGGAACCGGTATTATACTCGAGTCAATCACTCGCAGTCGTTGTACACCAAAAACACGGAAAGTTTTGTCGACAACAGCGCCCGTCTCTGGAGACACACCTATACGACACCCGCCCATTGATAGTGCAGGAGATGTGTATTTCTTGACAATACACCGCAGATAGTCATCGCATGAATAGTTATCACCGGCACAGGGAGTACAGCCACCGCCAATCGGATTGAATTGGATAAACTGTCTCATATAGGGACTGGTATATAATTGAATAATTGATTTAAATACTTTAACCATTTTATCAACATCAGTGCTATCGCAAACTGTGCATGTTTTAGCTACGGGTGCTTTGAATGGATCATTGGAAACCAGTTCAATACGGCCTGTTGTTTTCGGGCGCCGAACTACCGCTATGGCAAACAAAGTCATACGGTTGTTCACTAGACCAGTGCGTGCTAGTAGACAACCGTTACTGAGCTCGGGATATGATTGACTGTAGGCTTGTTCGGGAAAACAGATAATCGTTGACTGGTTATAACCGAGTGGACCGGTATGTCTAATATAGTAATCGATTAAATGATCGATTGTTTCGGTCGGCGGCTCAACCATCGATTGATTGATAATATCAAAAGTTATAATCGCAATCAATGGAAAAACAAAATTGTGACCAACATTGAGATCGGCAACAACAGGAATTTCAAACTGTTTCAAGTGATCCCTGGGTCCCACACCCGACAGCATTAGCAGTTTGGAACTGCCTATAGAGCCGGCGCTCAGTATGACCTCTTTGTTTGCAAAAACACGATATTTTCTGCCGTAACGCGAAAACTCAACACCAGTGGCCTGTTTTTGGTTATTGAAAATAACTTTTGTGACCATAGAGTTGCCGAAAATTTTAAAATTTTTTAATTTATTATTTTCCAAAAACGCCTTTTCTGTTGATACCCGACTTCTGTTTGTATCAATAGTATTCTGCAAAACTGCTGCACCCATAGGTTCTCTGCCGTCACCAAACGTTTTCTTATGGCCTAACATTTCCGCACCAATCATCAAATGTTTCATCATTGCATTTGATTCACTACTGGTTACAGTCACTCTACCGCCTGTGCGATGATAACCCGAATTTTCGGCCACCAATTTATGGTCCAAATTGTTTTCCGATTTTAGAAAATAAGGCAACACTTTGTCGAAAGTCCATTCACTCAGACCAGTAATTTCAGTCCACAAACGATAATACTCGGGTGACTCGCGATAGTAGTTCATTGAATTGATGGCCGATGAGCCGCCAAATACCCGACCACCGGCAATCTGGTTGCTTTCGTTTGTCGGATATTTCCAGTTTTGAACGGCATATTCATCTTTGTCTTGTAATGCTGATTATAAATTAACAAAAAAAATATTAATAAATCTTTTTAATTAAAATATTATTTTATTTCATTGAATAAGATATAACCGGGAATATCGTTATATAGATTTTGTGGTCCACCCGCTTCTAACAGCAATACTGTACTACCGGCTTCATCAGCCAAACGATAGGCCACTATAGCACCGGCAGCTCCGGCACCCACTACTATGTAATCAAATTTTCTATTCTTAACATTTAATATATTGATATTTTCAACATTTTGATGATCATATTGTTTTTTATTAGTTATAGAAATTATCGTTAACGATATGCCAATTATTGATATTACATTGAGAGTCGCCATAATTATAATAATTTGTAAAATATATTTATTAAATAATTAAAATATAAAAAAAGTGCAGAAAAAGTACAACAATCCAGTAATATATATTGTAATATATTAAATACTATATATATATATATATACAGTATATATTTGATTATTAGGGTTCGAGCAAATTCCATTCATCGTTTTATAACCAAAAAGTTCCCGATTTATACTATTCCCTGAAAATTACCAGAAAATTTATTTCTTTATGTTATCACTTTATTGAACACTAAACAACAAATTTTTAATTATAAGATTTGAAAAAACAAATCTTCTATTGTATTGTATTTTGATTGTTATTGTTAAATAGTATCACTAAATTCATTGAATTCAAATTTTTTATTTGTTAAAAATATTTCAATGAAATCCGGGAAAATTGGAGGGATTTTATTCGGGAACATTCCTTACTTGGAAAGTTGCCCGAACTCTAATAATAATACAATATTTTACATATGATACTATTAGTATTAAATGTATTGTAACTTTTTTTTTAATTAATCACTGTTGTTTATTTTAGTGATTTAGTAAGTTTTTAGGTGATGTTTAATTAAATAATCTCTAGAAAATTTGCATTATTAAATATATTTTTTGTTTACTATTTTTTTATTTTAAAAATATTTAAATAATATTTTTCTGACACCTACTTAAGATTAATGTTAATTTTTTGAGTTATTTACAGTAATTTAATAACTAAGTTATTGTATACAATTAAAAATACTAAAACCACTATTATATATTTAAACACTTTTAACTACTTTGTACATTAAATACAAAGTTAGCATAAAACTCAAATTAAGTTTATTTTTCTAATTATTATAAATATATGCTTAAATCTGTCTAAAATATATGAAACAATATTTTTTTAATAATATTTTTTTGATATTTTTTTTAATTTCAGTGTATTATTAATTTATAATAATTATTATACTGAATATTGTACTTAAATTGTTTTATTAAATTTCATAAATTATTAATTAAATTATGTCTAGACATAGCTTTTATAGGTTTCATCGGTCAAACAATAGCTCAAACTATTGCACCGGTATATCCCGTATCCCCAAAAAAACATGTTTTAATAATTTCCAGTATTTTTTATTTAATAAATAAATTAGTATTTTGCAATATTTTTTTGTTGTTAATGTAAAAATAGCAATATTTAACATTAAAAGTTTTATATTAAAATATATAAATAAACATATTCTTTAATATTCATTATTCAAACAATTTAAAATAATAGTCCCTTTTTTGTTTAATTTTTTTGTTATTTTTATATAACTTTAAATATATTTAATTAAAATAATTATTTTTATAATTAGGTAAGTGATTTTCTTCATAAATAGTATTTTTTAAATTATATTAAATTGCTCAATGTAATATTAAAATTTAATATAATTTTTTCAAATAGTGTAGACTTAATTTTATTGTGCATATAAACTATAATATCTAATAGAAAAAATAATAATAATATTTTTTAGGTATATTATATGTCTAATTAGATAACAATAATAATAAAATTTCATAGTTTAATAACTTATAATTTTATACTTTTTTTTATATCATATTTTAGTACAGTATAGTATTTGAAAACCTTGAACTTTAATGTTTAAAACTTATACCAAAAAATGCAAATATTAAAAAAAATTACACTATATTACCTAATAAAATAACACTAATTTATTATCAATATTTAAGTAATTTTTTTTTGAAATATAATTCTTATATTATCAATATAACTATTATAAAATTTATTATTTAAATTTATATATTAATTTTAAATGTTTGCATATATTATTATTATTAATAATAATAATAAAGCTAAACTTTATAATAATTAAATATAATTTGAAGTCTTTAAACAAAATAAAATCCTTAATTAATGTGTGATTAATGATAATTACGATTGTATTTAAAAAACAAACAAAATGATTACCATAGTGTTAAAAATATCAATGTAAATAATATAAATATAACTGCTATTTCAATCTTAATTATATCTAATTTAATTAGCATATCAAACCAGGGGCAGTGTCCGAAAACTTTACCGTCCTACGAGAGTAGTGACCAGATTGACGGAAGTCGGATATTTGGCGGCTCGTAGTCCATCAACACAACGGACTACTTTCGGTAATCACACCTAACTATTATGGGGGCTCTGGGCTGACATCACTGTTGTCAGCAATTATTGGAGTAATGATAATGTTTTGCATTATTTTTTTACAATTTACAAAACAATTTAGACAACAAATTGGTGACCAATAGTCAGAATTCTAATAGAAGTCGAGTTTTAACAAATAAAAATAAAATTTTAAAAAAAGTTTATCTATTTATTTAATAATATGTTTTGCATTATTTATTTTTAATATGTATTTAAATATGTTTATTAATTACTAATTTAGACAATTTACAAAAAAAAATTAATATTTTTATTTATTTTCAATTACAGTATGGGCTCCGTATTCGCCAATCATCATTGATATAGCATTTCCCTGTTCACAGGGCACCGGTATTATACTTGAGTCAATCACTCGTAGTCCATGTACACCAAATACTTTGAAATTTTTATCGACAACAGCACCGTTGTCTGGTGAGACACCCATACGACAGCCTCCCAATGGTATCAGTAATTTTGTGTTTTTTTGTACAATACATCGGAGATATTGATCGCAAAAATAGTTACCATTACAAGGATAGCAGTCAGCGATGGCATTGATTTTAATATACTGTTTCATGTGGTCACTGGTGAATATAGGTAAAGCCAATTTAATTACATTGACTAAGTTATCAATATCACTTTTATGGCACAGTTTGCATGTTTTGACAATAGGCGCGGTAAATGGATTACCCGATGTCAGTTCAATGTGGCCAATAGTTTTCGGGCGTCTAAGAAAGGCTAAGAATTGCAAAACTGTACGATTGCCCAATAGACCGGTGCGAGCCATTACACATCCATTACTGAGATCGGGATATGTGCGACTGTAGGCCAGTTCAGGAAAACAGATTATCGTTGACTGATTATAACCAAGTGGACCGGTATGTCGGATATAGTAATCAACAACATTTTTAAAAGTATTTGTTGGCGCCATAACCATAGATTGATTAATTATATCGAAAATCATATTAGTTCCCATTGAATGGACAAAATAGTGGCCAACATTTAGATCAGTGATCACAGATATTCCAAACTGTTTCAAGTGATCCCTGGGTCCCACACCCGACAACATTAACAGTTTGGAACTGCCTATAGAGCCGACGCTCAGTATGACCTCTTTGTTGGCAAAAACAAGATATTTTTTGCCGTAACGCGAAAACTCAACACCAATGGCCTGTTTTCGGTTATTGAATATAATTTTTGTTACTAAAGAGTTTCCTAAAATATTAAGATTTTTCAAACAGTTATTTTCCAAAAATGCTGTTCCCGTTGATACCCGACTTCTGTTTGTATCAATAGTATTCTGCAAAACTGCTGCACCCATAGGTTCCCTGCCGTCACCAAACGTTTTCTTATGGCCTAACATTTCCGCTTCAATCATAACCTGTTTCATCATAGCATTTGACTCACTACTTGTCACAGTTACTCTACCGCCTGTGCGATGATAACCCGAATTTTCGGCCACCAATTTATGGTCCAAATTGTTTTCCGATTTTAGAAAATAAGGCAACACTTTGTCGAAAGTCCATTCACTCAGACCAGTAATTTCAGTCCACAATCGATAATACTCGGGTGACTCGCGATAGTAGTTCATTGAGTTGATGGCCGATGAGCCGCCAAATACCCGACCGGCGTCTATATGTTGGGTCTCGTTTGTCGGATATTTCCAGTTTTGAACGCCATTTTCTACTATTTCTTGTAATGCTAATTATAAATTTTAAATTAATAAAAAAAACAATTATTATAAAACTAAAATATTAATGTTTTCATTAAAATACGATAATATAACCGGGAATATCGTTGTATAGATTTTGTGAACCGCCCGCTTCTAACAGCAATACTGTACTACCGGTTTCATCAGCCAAACGATAGGCCACTATAGCACCGGCAGCTCCGGCACCCACTACAATGTAATCAAATTTTTTATTATTAACATTGAATTTATTAATATTTTCAACATTTTGATGATCATATTGTCTTTTAATAGTTATGGCAATTATCGATAATCCAATTATTGATATCACATTGAGAACTGCCATAATTATAATTATTATTGATTATAAGTTTTGTGAATAATTTGTGATTCATATAGTTTTAAAACTTATTAAATTATAATAATATGTCATAAAAGTTTGTCACACTATTATAGAATTAATTTAAGTATTAATAACGCTATTGTTAACACATTATATTTACAAATTAATTGTCAATTTAAACTAACAATTTAATAATGTGTCCCCAATTAATAGCGTTATTAATACTCAAATCATTTCTATATACTGTTAGTATAAAACTTTTTACTATATTAATATACTATATATTATTATATATAGATTATTCATATATGTCAAATAAATTGTTAAATTATTAAAAATGAATGAATTGTAATTTATTTTGTTGGATTTTTTTTTTAATTATCTCATTTAGTTGTTGCTTATTTTAGTGATTTAGTATATTTTTTAATTAAAATTTAAATTACAAATTGCGAAAGGCAAAATTTAGCTAATTTATAGAAAGTTTTTATTAATGATAATTTTTTAAAAATATAAATTTCAGTGTATTATTAATTCATAATTGTTTTTATACTGAATATTTCACTAAAAATGTTTTTTTTAATTATTATTAATTTATTTCTAAACATAGGTATTATGATCTGTCAATCTAATAACTAATAATCCCGTATATGATAAACATCATGTTTAATAATTTTCAATAATTTATATATAATAAATTATGTAATATTATTAAATATTTTTCGGTCATTTTATTAATTTTATATTTAAAATAAATAAATTTGGTTTTGATTTTATTTTAATTAATAGAAATATTTATTTGTTTTAAATAATAGTATATCTGTGCTGTATAAAAAAAATTAAAAAATATATACATAATTAATTATACAGTATTAAAATAGTTTTTAAAAAATAAATTAATACTGATTTTCATAAACTATACATTATATAATATAATATTATAATGTAAATTTATTTAAATTATACACTATATAGTATAAACTGTTTGATGTAGAAAATAATAATTTTATCTTAATATTATTAATTGTTATTTTTATGATTAAGTGATTTTCTACATAAATTGTACTGTATCATTTTAGAATTATATTAAATTTTTTCTAACTAAAATCAAATAATTTCTTAATTATTTTAAACTAATATAAAAGTTATTTAAATTTTGTTTTGTTTAAAAAAACATAATATTTACTCAAAAAATAAATAAATAAAATATTTATTAGGTATAGATTACGTCTAATTAGTTAACAACAAATTATTTAAAACAAATAACATTTTAGTACATAATTATTACATATTTAGTACATTTATTTATCAATAGTACAAATGTGAAAATAAAATAAAATATTTGAAAAACCTTGAACTATAATGTCTATTTTTTTAGAAAAACTATTTTTTATTTGTTTAACAAAAATTTACTGCTTTTTCTAATTTATTAATATATATTTACAGTGGTTTTTATTAGCGGAAATTATTGACATCAATATCATATATAATATATAATATTTATTAATATTTTATGATTCAATAATTATTAAAAACTATGATAATAGTTTAATTTAGTAATTTGTTTTTTTTGTATGTCAATTTGTTTTATAAATTATTATTTATTTAGCATATATTTAGCATAACTTTATATAAATTCATGGACTTTATATAATGTTTTTTTTCAAAATAACAAAATGATTAAAAAACATAACAATTAATAACTTTAGATTAGTGAAATAATTACAATTTTTTTTAAAAAAACATTAATACAAAAATTTTGTTTTTTTAATGATTAAACTAAAATTTTTAAATCAATGAATTTTAGTTTATATATTAGTTTATAAAGAACTTATTATTATTTATCTAAATATAATTAAATAATTTTTATTTTTTATGTTTCTATTAATGTAATTATATCTTCCTTTTTATTAAATAACAAATAACTTATTATTTTATATATTATATATTATTTTTATCATAATATTATGAAATCTTTATTTAGTTTATCTTTATTGATAAGTGCTATCATTTATAAAAGACAATATGATCATCAAAATGTTGAAAATATTAATATTGACAATATATACGGCCAAAAGTTTGATTACATAGTAGTGGGTGCCGGTGCTGCCGGTGCTATAGTTGCCTATCGTTTGGCCGATGAAACCGGTGCTACAGTGTTGCTGTTGGAGGCGGGCGGACAACAAAATTTCAATAATGATATTCCAGGCAAATTTTAATCATAATTAAATATTTAGTAAAACATATATTTATAATAATAATTATTATTTTATTTTTTTATGATTATATAGCTTTTCAAGATAAAGTAGAAAATAGTGTCCAAAACTGGAACTATACGTCCACAGAGAACGACCAGATTGCCGCCGGTCGGGTATTTGGCGGCTCGTCGGCCATCAACTCAATGAACTACTATCGCGAATCACCCGACTATTATCGCCTATGGGCTGACATCACTGGTCTCAGCAATGTTTGGAGTTATGATAATGTTTTGCCTTATTTTCTTAAATCGGAAAACAATTTAGATCAGAAATTGGTGACCAATAGTCCTGGATATCATCGTCGGGGCGGTAGAGTAACAGTGACCAGTAGTCAACCAAATGCTATGATGAAACAGTTGCTGATAAGCGCCCAATTGTTTGGCCATAAGTTAACATTTAGTGACGGAAGGAAACCTATGGGTACAGCAGTTTTGCAGAATACTATTGATGCTAATAGAAGTCGAGTATCAACGGGAACAGCATTTTTGGAAAATAACTGTTTGAAAAATCTTAATATTTTAGGAAACTCTTTGGTAACAAAAATTATATTCAATAAGCGAAAACAGGCCATTGGTGTTGAGTTTTATCGTTCAGATAGAAAATATCGAGTGTTTGCCAACAAAGAGATTATTCTAAGCGCCGGCTCTATAGGCAGTCCCAAACTGTTAATGATGTCGGGTGTGGGACCCAGGGATCACTTAAAACAGTTTGGAATATCTGTGATCACTGATGTAAAAGTTGGCCACAATTTTGTTCATTCATTGGGAATTATTATGACTTTCGACATTATTAATCAATCTATGGTTATGGCGCCAACAAATACTTTTAACAATTTTGTTGATTACTATATCCGACATACCGGTCCACTTGGTTATAATCAGTCAACTATTATCTGTTTTCCTGAACTAGCCTACAGTCGCACATATCCCGAGCTCAGTAATGGATGTGTAATGGCTCGTACCGGCCTATTGGGCAATCGTATTGTATTGTTCTTCATAGTAATACTGAAACACCCGAAAACTAGTGGCCGCATTGAACTGACATCGGGTAATCCATTTACCTCTCCAATTGTTAAAATATGTAAACTGTGCCATAAAAGTGATATTGATAAATTGATCAAGGTAATTAAATTGGCTTTACCTATATTCACCAGTTCCCATATGAAAAAGTATATCAAAATTAATGCCATTGCTGACTGTTATCCTTGTAATGGTAACTATTTTTGCTATCAATATATCCGATGTATTTTACAAAAAAGAACTATACTACCTGTGCCAATGGGTGGCTGTCGTATGGGTGTCTCACCAGACAACGGTGCTGTTGTCGATAAAAATTTCAAAGTATTTGGTGTACATGGGCTACGAGTGATTGACTCAAGTATAATACCGGTACCCAGTGAACAGGGAAATGCCATATCAATGATGATTGGCGAGTATGGAGCCGATACTGTTATCAAAAATAAATAAAATTATTAATATTGTCAAATATTAGTATAAAAATACAATATACCGTATTACTGTAATAACAATTTTAAATTATTATTTAAAATACTATTAAGTTAGTAATTTAGTATTACTTTATTAATTAGTATTTTTCAATCATTTAAATAAAATACTATAATTATAATTTATTTAAAATATTTATTTTATAATTACAATTTAATAAAATATTGTTATTTAAATAAATAAAGTGTATAAACAGTATATATATATATATATATATACTGTATATATATATATATATATATATATAATATAGAATTTAAAAAAATATAATATAATTTTATAATTATTATTATTATTGTATAACAGTTAGAATATAAATAATTAGCTATTAATGACAGTATGGGCACCGTATTCGCCGATCATCATTGATATGGCATTTCCCTGTTCAACGGGCACTGGTATCAGACTCGAGTCAATCACTCGCAGCCGATTTATACCAAACACTCGGAAGTTTTTGTCAACAACAGCGCCCGACTCTGACGATACACCTAACCGACAGCCACCCATTGGCCCGGGTATGTTGTGACGATTTAGTACAAGACATCTCAAATAGTCATCACAAAAATAGTTGTCCGCACAGGGAGTACAGCCAGCAATCGGTGAATTGATTCTTATATACTGTTTCATATATGGACTGGTAAATATAGGTATGGCCAGTTTAATTATCTTCACTAAGTTATCGACATCACTGTTCTGACATACTAAACACATGTTTACAATGGGTTCGGTAAATGGATCACTGGATACCAGTTCTATACGTCCAGTTGCTTTCGGGCGCCTCAATATTGTTAGAAAGTATAGTATAGTACGATTGCCTTGTTGGCCAGTACGTGTCATCAGACAACCATTGCTCAGTTCAGGATATGTCTGATTGTAGGCCAGTTCAGGAAAACATATCAGAGCCGATAAGGCACTATAGGTTAGCGGACCGGTATGGTTGATAAAAAAGTCTATTATATTGTCCAGCGAATCAGTTTGTTGTTCAACCATTGATTGATTGATGATATCGAAAGTCATCATAGTTGCCAGTGGTGATAGAAAATTGCGACCAACATTTAGATCGGCGATCACAGGTATGCCTAACTGTTGCAAATGATCTCTGGGTCCCACACCCGACAACATCAACAGTTTGGAAGTACCTAAAGAGCCAGCGCTTAAAATAATTTCTTTATTGGCAAACACACGATATTTTCTATCTGAACGATAAAACTCAACACCAATGGCCTGTTTTTGCTTATTGATTAAAATTTTTGTTACCAAAGAGTTGCCTAAAATTTTCAAATTTTTCAATTTATTATTTTCCAAAAATGCTGTTCCCGTTGACACCCTATTTCCATTTGCATCAGTAGTTTTCTGGAAAACAGTTGTACCCATAGATTGTCTCGGATCACCTAATGTTGACTTGAGGCCAAACTTTTGGGCGCTAATCAAAACTTTTTGCAACAATTCAATTGGTTGAATAGTGCTCACCGATACTCTACCACCTGTGCGATGATATTGTGGATATTTGGCCACCAGTTTTGCGTCCAAATTGTTTTCCGATTTGAGAAAATAGGGCAACACTTTGTCAAAAGTCCACTCTTGTAGGCCAGTAATGTCAGCCCATAGACGATAATAGTCGGGTGACTCGCGATAGTAGTTCATTGTGTTGATGGCCGACGAGCCGCCAAATACTCGTCCCGCATCCAAATGTATGCTCCCATTGGTCGGATAGTTCCAGTTTTGGACACCACTTTCCACTACACCTCTAAATGCTAAATATTATACAATAATATTAATATAAAATAAATAATTGTTTTTTATAAATTAATTAATATGATATAACCGGGAACATCATTGTATATTGTTTGTGGTCCGCCCGCTTCCAACAGCAATACTGTAGCACCGGTTTCATCGGCCAAACGATAGGCAACTATAGCACCGGCAGATCCCGAACCCACTACAATGTAGTCAAACTTTCGGCCGTATATATTGTCAATATTAATATTTTCAACATTTTGGTGATTATTTTGTTTTTCATTAATAATAGTCACCAGCATTAACAGTACACTAAATAATGAGCTCATAGTGTTTAATAATAATAATTTAAATATTAATGAGATTTAATGAGAGACACAATTTTTTAAAAAAATATTTAAAAAATTAAAAAAACATTTATTTTTTAGTTTATATATTTATTAATATACTGGTATATTATTATTCTAATTAATAATTTACAATTAAATTTTAATTTTAAAAAAATTATGCTAGTGTAATTCATTAGAAGTTTATTATTTTAATATATTTTATTTTTTTATCATTAGTAAAACATTAGTTTTTATTATTGTCATCTTAAAAACGATTATACAGTATATAAATAAGATTACAAGTAATATTTCAATGTTATTAATTATTTTAATAATTACAAAATAAATTTAATATTTAATTAAAATAACAATTCTACTAATAATATCAATATTATATTAAACCGTTTTTATTACTGTATATACTGTATTCTACTTAATTACTATTAATTATTTTTTTCAAATAAACAAAAATAAAGAAAAATTGCATAATTAGCATCAAATGCGTTATAATACTAAAGGAAATAAATAATTTTAATAATAGATTGATTTTTATTAGATTACTGTATTTTAATGTATAACTTATGGTGCATAATAAATAATTTTACTATAATTAATGTACCGGTACATTTATATATATAATATTAAAGTAAATAAAAAATTTAGTATTTACAGTATTTATATAAATAAAAAATATATAATACATTATTAATATTTTGTTAAAACCAGACCTTGATAGTAAATTATATATTAATATTATATATAAAGAAGCAAATTAATTTTATATATGAAATTTACATATAGTTATTTTAATACTTTATTACTAAAATTTACTATTAGTTTACATAATGTTGTTTATATATGAAATTATGTATAAAAATTTTCTAATTAGTTCAATAATATTATCTGTAGTAATTTGTTTTATACAATCAGGTTAATTAATATTAATTAATAAACTCAATAATCTAATCACTTAATAAATATTGATTGATTTATTTCTAATTTAATTGCGTGTCAGATCCGACACAAATTATTGATAAGCAAAGTGGTAACCGATTGGATATATACACCGAAACTGAATACGCTGTACGCAATCAATACAGTGGCAAATATCTGATTTGGTTCGGTGCCTATCAATTTACGGGTACAGCTCCGGGACCATTGGATAGTAATGATATCAAATATTGGCATCGGCTGACTAATCCCAACAGTAATGGATACTACAAAATGGACCATGCTAAAGACAGTCACCAAGTGGCTATAGCCAGGTCAACTAGCAATTCAAGATACTATTGGATCTATAATGCCGATTGTGGTATAACTAAATATATTTATTTATTTATTTTATATTATTTAAGTAATTATTTTAGAGGAAGAATCTTGTTTTTTAAAAATTAAAAAAAATAAATAATTAGTTTTTACATTTTTCAGTATATTATACAATAATATTGATAACTGATTAAATTGTAAGTTTCTAATCAATTTATATTTTGAAATAATACTAACAATACTAACCTAGGTGGTCCCAATAGTCCTAATTATGAGCCCAGGGATGGCGGCAATATTAAATGCGAAGGCAATAGTGAATCTAAAACATATTCTGGTTTTAACTGGCAATTTATTTCTAAATCTAGCTTGATCAGTACTACTACTACTACCAGTCCCACTACTACTACTACAACTACTGTAGTGCCAATGTCGACAATTAGCCCGGATAAAATTGCTAATGATTTAGCAAATATTCTACTAGATCATTTCAATGAAACATTGAGCATTGAAATTAGTAATATGCTTGTTAATCAAATTAACAAAACTATTGGCAGTGATCTGGATAATTTATTGATTACAAAATTAAACACTACATTAATGAGTTATGCTGATGAAGCTAGACAATTAATTGATATGCTAAAAGATAAACTTGGTACACATATGGACAAAATGTTAACTGATCAAATAACTGTACTGGACAATGTACTGGATTCAATTGGTAAAAATTATACTACACAATTAAATAAAACAATTGTCCAAATAATTGATCATTTTAATCAGACACTAATAAAACAAATTGATAGTGTACTACAAATTGATCAGGTTAATCGAACACTATCAAAACAATTGGACAAATTGTTGCCTGATGAAATTATTTCAAAAATATTTTCAAATCTAACCGATTTGTTGCTAGATAAAATTGAATCAAAATTAACAAATAGTATATTAGATATACTGTATACGGAAATCAATAGAATGCTAAATGATAAAATTAGCATGGTAATCGATATGGATATTAAACCAAAAATCAGCCAGATAGTTCAAACAAGTGTAGCAGTAAATATTAATGCTACACTAGAAAAACAAATTGCCTGGTTCAATAATGCTATGCTCAACGAAATAAATACTAATTTAATTAAACAGATTAATGATGCAATTGTCAACCAGATAAATGATACTGTTTGGATTACGTTTGGCAATGCTAGTGCTAATGTGCAAAATGCTAAATTAATAAACATGCTAATTGTCGTAATCGGTGCAATGTTTTTAATTTGAGTGGGTGGGGTGATTGAAAATTTTTATAAATAATATTTAAATTATTTTTATAAACTATGTAATTAAGATGATTTAGGATTTTTTTTAAAACTAAATAATCATAAAATTATTTTTTTTAAAGTTTTTAAATTTTTTATATTACAAATAAAATTCTAATTCTAAAATAAAGTTTAAAAAATAAATTAAAAAGTAAGATATTAATAACAAAATCAATTTTTATCAGTTCAATTGACGCAAATTTAATAAACTTATAAATAATTTAATTAAATAATTAATTATTGTAATTGTTTTTAGCTTTTATATAATTTTTATGCAAAACTTCATTTTTTTCTAAACTATTTTTTAAAATAATTATTTTAAAATTTTAGAAAAATATATTTATAAATATTATTAGTTTGAAAAAATATTTTGAGAGTATTGAGGAATTAATTTGGGAATATGGAATATTTTTCTTATTTTAGAGAATTTATAGGGAATTTATAGAAAATTTAGAGGGAATTTATTGGGAATTTACTAAAGTTTGGTAAAAATTGTTATTCAAAAATTCAATAAAAACTGTCCCTTCCTATACGCCCGAGATTTTTGCCATTTACCCCCTCCTCTGAGATAGAAAACCTTTAGCAACCCTGATATACAGTATATATATATATATTCAATTGTGTTTAGTTTTCATATGTATATCAAACGCATCTTTCATTTTTGTTTTAAAGTTGCAATCAATTGCTTGACATTCATATACCGGTACCGATCCGTCATGTTTTTGTAGATGATATCGATATCGTATTGAATTAGTTGTCTGATAATCACAACCTGTCCAATGGCACCGGTAGTCTGCCTTACCATTATGTGTTCTTCTAATATGAGACGTAAGTCCAGCTCTCAAATGGTATGACTTATCACAGTCGGGCCAATCGCATCGGTATGTCTTGTCTGCCGTATGACTATTCATGTGTTCATTTAATTTTCCTTTAGTTGTAAACCGGCGCTCACAGTCCGGCCATTCACAAGCGATTTTAAGTGCACTGTTATGTGTAGCCAAATGTGATTTTAAACATTTATCACTTGAAAACTGTTTACCGCATTCATTACATTTGTATGGCTTCAGGTGTCGTTTCTTATGATCAAACATAAGAGTTGATGCTTTTGATCTAAACGTACAGCCAGTGTACGAACACTTCCGCCACTGTATGTCTGGATATTCATCGGGATGTTTGCTAAGATTATGCAATCGCATAATACGAACAGTTTTGAATACAATATTATTGCAGTCATTATGATCGCATCGGTATGTCTTTTCATTGGTATGTGTATTCATGTGATCATCCAACTGATACTTAACACCATAGAGCCGGTCACAGCCCGGCCACTCACACTTGATTTTAAGAGCACTGTTATGTGTTGTCAAATGTGCTTTTAAGTTACTACTACATCCATACCTTTTTCCACATTCATCGCAATTATATAGTTTTAAGTGTCGTTTTTTGTGATTAATCAGAACAGCACTTGATTTTGATCTAAACATACATCCAGTGTGTGTACATTGGATCCACTGTATGTCTGGATATTGATCGGGATGTTTGCATAGTTTATGTGATTGCAAGTGCTGTAAATTTTTGTAGAAAGTTTTACAGCCATTGTAATCACATTTAAATGTTTTTTCCAGTGAATGATTAATTTTATGGGTTTTATAAACTTGTTTATCACCAGTTTTGTAATGACAGCCATCGTAATCACATTTATATTTGTCTCTATGACAGACATTAATATGTTTCTTAAGATAATTGATTGTTGCAAATACTTTCGTACAGTTATTTTCAGTGCACTTGTAGTTTCCATTAGTTTCGACTAACACCCGGTTAGGTTTGTATTTGTCGGGATCTACTTCATTAAGTTGACAATCTCTGAGCGCTAATTTAGTTTTCTTTACAATATTACCGTCTTTTATATGATTGATATGTTTATCTTTTTCAATAATTGCCGACACATTATCTGATTCTGTGTCATAACAGTTGTCATAATCACTGACTTGACTGAAGTCTATGTGACAATTCTTCTGGTGTTCTATGAGTTGACATTTTTTTGTAAATTTCTTACAACAGCTATCTATTGACCACCGAAACAGTCTATTATCACTGACTTCATCAGTAGTAGTAGTACTGACAACTTGACTATTAGTTGTAGTGTTACTCAAATAGACGGAACAGTTTTGGGTGACAATCACTGAATTAATATCTATATTCATAGAGTTTTTATCAATTGTTTCATCAAATGATGATTCAATTGATTGGTGATATTTTTCCAACTTTTTTGACAAAAATTGATATTTTAGTAAATTGTTTATCAAATTATTCACTTTATGTTTTGATGTTTTAATCATTAGATTCAACTGATTATTAGTTAATTCACACATTGTTTTTAAACTGATATTTTATAATAAATGTATATTAATTCAAAGTTATTGTATAATATTTTAAGTTACTATTAAATTATAGACTGATTTATTATTTACCTGTATTTACTTTATTGTATAAATGCGCGCTTTTTTATACTGTATATTGAAATACAGGTATTTTATATAATAAGAAACTGTATATTCATTTACCTACAAATATATACGTCTATTAATACAATTATCTATAACGTAAATATATTAATGTTTGATATAATATATATAACTAAATATTTATTTATATAATTAAAATAAATTAAAAAATTATTTATGTTTATCCAAATAAAAAAGTATAAAAACAAAAATAATTATCAAATGTATTAAAAGTATTAAATGACTTAAATATGGAATTAAAAATTGAATTTACAAATAGTATAAAAATTATTTATCTAATTATATGTTAATTACAGTAAATATATCATTAATTATGTTTAGTTTTCATATGTATATCAAACGCGTCTTTCATTTTGGTCTTATAGTTGCAGTCAATTGATTGGCATTCATATACCGGTACTGATCCGTCATGTTTTTGCATATGATATGTAAATCGTATGGTATTAGTTGTCTGATAATCACAGGCCGGCCAATGGCACCGATATTCAGACCAACCCTTATGAGTACGCATTTTATGCAGAGCTAGTGATCCCTCGACCACATACTGTTTATCACAGTCTGGCCAATCACATCGGTATATCTTTTGGCCGGTATGTGAATTCAAATGTCTGGCCAGTACTTGTTTGCGGGCAAAAAGTCGCTCACAACCGGGCCAATCGCACCCGAACTTAAGAGCACTGTTATGTGTGCGCCGATGTGCTTGTAATACATTATTATCGTTAAACCCTTTACCACATTCATCACATTTATGTGGTCTGGTGTGTCGTTTCTTATGATTGTACATATTGTCTGAATATTTGGTTTTATACGCACACCCGGCGTACGGACACTTACGCCACGGCACGTCTGGCCACATGTCAGGGTGTATAGAGAGTTGATGTTGTTTACGATTAGTTTCCGATTTGAACATTGCATTGCAGCCATTGTAGTCACATTTGACTGATTTGACCGTTGAATGACTGCTTTGATGGGATATAAACAGTTTCTTGTGGCCAGTCTTGTATGAGCAGCCCTTGTAATCGCACCGATATGTGTCTAAATGACATTTCATTATATGTCTCGTAAGATCACATCTCACTTTAAATGATGAACAACAGTCACCTAATTGACAACGGAATGGCCTAACGGTAAGACTATGTTCTGATCCATGTCTTCGTATATGATCTGAATACTTATCAAAAGTGGTAAACACTTTACAACAATCCTTCCACAAACAGATAAGCTGTTGTTGATCACCACTACTATTATCACTGGTATTATTAGTATCTACTGTACTGTTCACTTGATCCACATTTTTGTTTAAATTATTATTATTATCAGTATTTAACTTCTTCTTCTTATTCTTTTTATTATTCTTTTTATAATTATCTTCATCTGAATCATCGCAACATTCATCGATATATTCATCAAATATGTCATCATTACTGTCACAATCATTGTTAGTAGAATTGATTGATCCATTAGTTGTTAATGTATAACCATTTGATGGTTGGCCAACAACTTGTTGATCACATTGTAATTGATTTTTATTATCACCACTAATGTCGATACAGTTTTCATCCACAACAACAATATCATCGTTTAATAGTCGATCCCTATTATCAGTAATTGTATCACAATTTGCATTAAAAACTTCCGATATATTAGTTGTCAAATAACTTTTATTGCAATCAATGTCTTCAATGACTTCATTATTTAATTCAATGATATGTTTAGAGTTATCATCAGTTTGTGTCCAATCATCTCGTAATTCAATACATGTTTGACAATCAATTGATTTCAGATCTAATTGTATAATAAAAAATATAAATCATATAATAATTACTAAAATAAATTAAAATACCGTTTAATTGACTGAAATTTTTTTCATTTTTGAATGTCTTTAAAGACACGGAACAGCTTTTGGTGACAATCAGTGAATCAATTTCTTTCTTAATTAAGTTTTCATCAATTGTTTCATCAATTGATTCAATAAATTGCTGATATTTTTGTAACTTTTTTGTCAACAATTGATATCTTAATAAATCATTTGTCAAACACTGGACTTCACGTCTCAATGCGTTAACCATTGAATACAATTGATATCGACTTAAATCACACAATGGGTTATCACTTAATAATAATGACATTATTTTTAATATAAATATTATTAAAACATAATTAAAATCAAAACAATTATTATCTGACTTTCAGTTTGTTTTCAAAACATTGTTTCAAAATATAATAAATACAATTCATATGTTATGCTGTAATAGTTTGTCCAATAATAATGTTTTTAAAAAATTATAATTTATATAATAGTTAAACACAAAACAATTAATTATTTTATTAAATAAGCAAAAATATATCATTTTATAAATAATTTCACAAAAATATATTGTCATTTAAAATAGTTTAAAATACATATTACTTAATAATACTTAGTATAAAACATTTTTTTAATTTTTGAATAACATTACCGATAAATATTTATATACTGTAGTGTTAATAATAGATTTATTTATCTAATTATTTGCTATAATATACGGTAAATATATTGTATGCCATTAATTATGTTTAGTTTTCATATGTATATCAAACGCATCTTTCATTTTGGTCTTAAAGTTGCAGTCAATTGATTGGCATTCATATACCGGTACTGATCCGTCATGATTTTGCATATGATATGTAAATCGTATGGTATTAGTTGTCTGATAATCACAACCAGGCCAATGGCACCGGTAGTCAGACTGACCCTTATGGGTACGCACTATATGTAGGGCCAGTGATCCCTCTAACAGATACTGTTTATCACAGTCAGGCCAATCGCATCGGTATATCTTATCGCCGGTATGTGTATTCAAATGTTTAACCATTATTGATGTGCACACAAACAGTCGCTCACAACCGGGCCATTCGCACCCGATTTTAAGCGCACTGTTATGTATCCGCCGATGATTTTCTAATAGATAATTCTTCGTAAACCCTTTATCGCATTCATTGCATTTGAATGGTTTGCTGTGTTTTTGCTTATGTCTGTACAAATCGTCCGACAATTTTGTTTTGTACGCACATCCCGCGTACGGACAGTTACGCCATGGCATGTCTGGCCACATGTCGGGATGTTTACCGAATTGATGTCTAGTAAAAGTTGTTTTCCTTTTAAACGTTAGGTCGCAGCCATTGTAGTCACATTTGAACGTCTTTGTTGATGAATGACCCCTTTGGTGTTCATCAAATAAATCCTTGTTACCTGTCTTGTAGTCGCAGCCCTCGTAATCGCACCGATATGTATCCAAATGACATTTCACTATATGACTTGTTAGTTGATATCTTTCTGGAAATAATGAACAACAGTCGCCTAATCGACACCTGAATGGCCTATCATTGAGGCTATGTTCTGATCCATGTCTTCGCATATGATTTGAATATTTATCAAAAGTGATGAACACTTTACCACAATCTTTCCACTGACAGATAAGCTGTTGTTGTTGTTGTTGTTGTTTATTATCATTATTATCAGCGATATTGATATCTACATCACTGTACACTTGATCCACGTCTTTGTCTAAATTATTATTATCGGTACTTAACTTCTTCTTCTTATTCTTTTTATTATTATTTCTATTATTATCTTCATCTGAATCATCGCAACATTCATCGATATATTCATCAAATTGATTACTATCATTACTGTCTGAATCATTGTTTATATAATTGATTGATCGCTTATTTCTTAATGTATAACCACTTGATGGTTGACCAACAACTTGTTGATCACATTGTAATTGATTTTTATTATCACCACTAATGTCAATACAGTTTTCATCCACAACAACAATATCATCGTTTACTAGTTGGTCCGTATTATCAGTAATTGTATCACAATTTGTATTAAAAACTTCCGATATATCAGTTGTCAAATAACTTCTTAAAACCGAAAAATCCATTAATTGATTGACCATTTGATTACAATTAGTCTGCAATTGATTTTGAGACTCTAATTGTCTGATGTTTGCATCTTTATGTCGATAATTATTGTCATTGCAATTGTTTTCATCAATTTGTCGATCAATTATCTCATCAATTGATTCACAATTTATATTACAATCAATTTCTTCAATTCTTTCATTATTTAATTCAATGATATGTTTGAAGTTATCATCAGTTTGTGTCCAATCATCTCGTAATTCAATACATGTTTGACAATCAATTGATTTCAGATCTAATTGTATAATAAAAATAAAAATATAAATCATATAATAATTACTAAAATAAATTAAAATACCGTTTAATTGACTGAAAATCTTTTCATTTTTGAATGTCTTTAGAGATACGGAACAGCTTTTGGTGGCAATCAGTGAATTGATTTCTTTCTTAATTAAGTTTTTATCAATTGTTTCATCGATTGAATCAATAAATTGCAGATATTTTTGTAACTTTTTTGTTAACAATTGATATCTTAATAAATCATTTGTCAAACACTGGACTTCACGTCTCAATGCGTTAACCATTGAATACAATTGATATCGACTTAAATCACACAACGATTTATCAGTTAATAATAGTGTCATTAATTTTGATATAAATATTATTAAAACATAATTAAAAACAAAACAATTATTTCATTCATAGTTTTTATTCAAAACATTGCCTCAAATAACTAGTCATATGTTATGCTGTAATAGTTTGTTCAATAATAATGTTTTTTTTAACAAAAATAGATACAACTTATATGAAACTTAAAAATGCAAAATAATTTATTATTTTAATAAATAAATACAGAATATATATATATATATATATTGATATATTGCTTAATCATTTCACAAAAAATATAGTCATTTAAAATAGCTATAGAATTAAAATATTTTATAAATACATAATTTTTTTACCGATAATACATTGTAACAGAAATTAAAAAAAATAAAATAAAATATATTTTTAATAAATTAACCTGGTAAATTTATATATAATAATTTTGAAAAATATTCAAAACTATTAAACACTAGATTTCAATTATTAATATATCTAACAGTTATGTTTGATTTTCATATGTATATCAAACGCATCTTTCATTTTGGTCTTATAGTTGCAATCAATTGATTGGCATTCATATACCGGTACCGATCCGTCATGTTTTTGCATATGATATCTAAATCGTATGGTATTAGTTGTCTGATAATCACAACCGGGCCAATCGCACCGGTATTTAGCTTTATCCAGATGTACACGTTTAATATGTACGTTCAGCGAGTGTACTAATGTATACTGTTTGTCACAGTCAGGCCAATCGCATCTGAATGTCTTATCCCTCGAGTGTACGTTCATGTGTCGGTTCAATTGAACTTTGACGGCAAACTTGCGGTCACAATCGGGCCATTCGCATCTGAATTTCAGATCACTATTGTGGCCACGCAAGTGATCCATTAGACTTCTAGTTTCTCTAAACAGTTTACCGCATTCATTGCATTTCTTGGATCTGGTATTGTGTTTACGTTTGTGTTTACCTAAATGAATGGCCGACTTTGACCTATACGTACAACCGGTATGCGAGCACTGACGCCACGGCGTGTCTGGCCAGTGATCGGGATGCAGACTAATCTGATGGCTTTTGCATTGGGCAGCCGTTTTGAATGCCAATTGGCAACCGTCCAAATTGCATCGGAACTCCTTAACCTTGAGATGTTTGCTCTGGTGGCCGACCAATGCACTTTTTTTGCCAGTTTTATAGTTACATCCCTCATAGTCGCACCGGTATGCGTCCCTACAGTAGTGAATCTCTTTTTTGTGTTTCTCAAGGGAGTACTTTTCGCGAAATGTTTTACCACAGTTATCAACTGTACAGCTGAACGGTCTATCGATGTCTATGGCACTGACATCCGATCCATGATCTTTCATATGTCTGACAAATGACTTGTAATTAACATAAATTTTGTCACAGCCTTCCCAAACACAGACATACTGTTTATAGGTATCACTATCGGGTTGTTTGTCATAACCAGTACATTCTGATAAATCACAACAATCATCGATATAATCATCAAAAATAGTGGATTCATTTGTATCACTGTTTGCATAACTGATTGATCCATCATTTCTTAATGAATAACCTGTTGATGATGTTTGCTCAACAAGTTGTTGATCACATTGTTGTTGTTGTTGAAGATCTTGATTATTATCACTAACTTCCATACAGTCGTCATCAACAACATTATCATTGGTAACTAATTGATTAGTATCACAAACACCAATAATTGTATAACAATTTGCATTCAAATCTGATTGATTGACAAGACTTTGATCAGATCTGGTATTAAATTGATTTGACTCTAATTGTCTGTTGTCTGTGTTATCTTTATGTCCATCATTATTGTCATCGATGGCAAACTTTTTATCTGATTTCTGATCTTTTAATACCAATAAATCACTTGATTTTTCTTTGTTTTCAATTTGATTGTTATTACAATTATTTTCATTAATTTGTCGATCAATTGTTTCATCAATTATTGATTTATAACTTATCTGACAATCAATGTCTTTAATCTTTTCAAATATATTATTTAATTTATTGATATTTCTTGACTTATTATCTGTTTGTAACCACTTATCTTGAGATTTATCTGTTGACTTGATATCTAATTAAATTAATAAATTAAATAAATAAAATAAAATTACAACAAAAATTACAATTAATTAAAATACCGTTTAATTGACTGCAAATCTCTGAATTGTTTAATGTTTTCAAAGACACGGAACAGCTTTTCGTAACAATCAGTGAATTGATTTCATTTTTCACTAAATTTTCATCAATTGTTTCATCAATTGATTCAATAAATTGCAGATATTTTTCATATTTTTTTGTTAACAATTGATATCTCAAGAGATCTGTTGTCAAACACTGGACTTCACGTCTCAATGCGTTAACCATTGAATACAATTGATATCGACTTAAATCACACAACGAGTCACTAATTATTAGAGACATTCAGTTAATTCAAAAAATTGATTTAACAAAACATTAAAACAAAATTCAAAATTGAATGAAATGTTTGTAAACACAAACTGTAAGCATATGTTGTTCAGTAAAAACGTCACTAAAAAAATAGTTATTTTAATAATAATTAAATTTAAAAAAAATTATTAGTAGTATTTAGACTATTCGTAAAACAATTTTTTTAGTAAAATAATATAATTAAAATCTATTTCTTAAGAATTTTTAAAATTAAATATTTATACAAATAATCATTTATTAAAATATATATAAACTTACAAAATATGCAACAAATATAAGTTATTGTGTTTTAATTACTGAAATAATGAAAACTTTTAACTTACAAACTGTAATACTATTAACATAGTAATGGACGGGTAGTGTGTATGTGAGCTCAGGTATACTTTAAGATCATACTTCACGGAATCATTTCTATAGTATGTATCCCTAGCTTCACATCCAATGTGTGTGAAGTCAGCCTTAACCACAATGACGAGTGATTGGATCCCTTCCTGAGCGCGATGTCGGTGCCCGAGACCTCCATAACCTTATAGGTTGAGGACTCGGCAGTGCCATTGATGACCGTTTCTGAACACCATTACAGGTGTTTCAGAAGGGAAGGGATCCGTTCCGAGTGGTCACACATTTTTAATATAATCAAAAAATAGATTAACTATAAATAACATTATAGCATTAGTAATATAACACTATTACTAGTATTATAGGTATATTTGTAGTATTTCCCTGCTTAATATTAATAGTAAATTACCTTGTACAGATAATAGTATGGTATAGTAGTAGTAAATAAAATCTGCGATTTAATCGATAATATATTTATTAATTTTAATATATTTAATATGATTATTGATAATTCATTAGTTATTTTTATAAAAATAATTTTAAAAACATTTACATAAAATACTTGAATAAAAGTCATTGTTTACTTATATATATATATATGAATATCTTGGTAATACTATTAGCATCTCAAGTGTCTAATCATATAAGTTTTAGTTGAAAACAATTGATGGCATCCATGATAATGATATCCGGGTCAATAGCATCGGTAGATATATTTTATATTATCGCAATATGTTGTCACTCGATATGCATTTCTATAGTGAACTAACAGTCCACTCAATGGGATTGGTTGTTGTAGTGGTGATGATTGTAAGCATTTTGCTTATGATCATTAGTAATATGCATATTGAGTGATATTTTCTGTATGAATTGTTTGCAACAGTCGGGCCAATGGCACCGGTATGTAGTTATTGGATCTGTGTTCTCATATGTTCAATCATTTCATTATTACTGGCAAATAGTTGATTACATTCACGCCATTGACATTGGATTTTCAGATCACTGTTATGTGTCTTCTGGTGAATCGTTAAATCATAATTTTTATTAAACTGTTGGCCACAATCATCACATTTGTATGCTTTTAAATGTTTCATACTATGATTTCGTATAGTATCATTTGATTTACTTTTAAATGTACATCCATTGTGTGGACAGTCCTTCCACGGTATATCTGGCCATAGTATGGGATGGTAACGAAGCTGATGACGTTTGAGACTCTTATTACCTTTTAATATGATATTACAGTTTTGATAGATACACTTATAGGATTTGTTGGTCAATAAAATAAATGAATTTTGTCTTAACAACTCAGATGATAATAGATCCGCTGGCGAGCACTGGTATGGCCTATCAATTGTCGATAGATTATTATGGCCTGTTGTCTGATGATGATAATTGTAGGCATCGATAGTTGTAAATACTAATCTACAGTTCTGCTGTCTACAGACTAATTGTTCATTACTTTTATTATCATTACTAATATTATTATTATTAGTTTTTTTATTATCATTGTATTGAGTATTTTGGCACATATTTAGTGTAATATCATTGTTATGATTGGTTGGATCACTAATTACTGGCAAATATATTAATGAATAACTAGTTTCTGTCTGATCCATGTCTTCAGTATTATTATTATTTTGATGGCAATCATTGGCCGGCAATTGATTTTCGTCAACTAAATCATTGTTTTCTTTATCACTGCATTTATTAGAGTCTTCTTGTACTTCATTTGATTTTACATTTTTATTGTTATTATCGCTGTTAATGTCTACCAATTTGTTGATATCTTTATCATTCATAATCGGTTGTCTAATATTACTGGTGTTGTTATCATTGATTGAATCATAAATTATATCACAATCGCTGTCTTCTTCTTCTTTTTCATCCTTTTCCACATCTTCTTCTTCATTAACAATATTTCTTGAGTTATCATTAGTTTGTGTCACTTCATTGATCTCCAAATGTTTATCACTGTTTTTATTGACATCTGCTTCTTTATAACGACTCAAACCATTGTTATTACTTAAAATATCAGTAGTTTGTGTCCACTCGTCTAGTAATTCAACACTTGTTTGACAACCAATTGTCTCAAAATCTAATAAAAACAAACAATAAATTTGTTATAAAATAATTGCCGAAAATAATTAGGTAATAATAGGTAGAAATATCATAAATGTTTAATTGTTTTAAAGACACGAAACAATTATTAGTTAAATCCAGTGATATATCACTTTCTGATGAACTTTCGTTACAATAAATCTTTTCATTACTTAATTCATTAATATTTCTTGAGTTATCATCAGTTTGTATCCATTCATCCCGTGTTTCGACATATGTTTGACAATCAATTGATTTGAGATCTGAAATACCAAAAATATATACAAATATATGTATAATAAGTTTAAATAATTGTTTGACAACCAATTGTCTCAAAATCTAATAAAAACAAACAATAAATTTGTTATAAAATAATTAGGTAAACCTTTTAGTTTGATTGCATCAGAAATCTTTGTAATTACAACTTTATCGACACTTTCGATACAATTAGTTGTCTGAACTTTATTGATATCCAAGTCTTCATCAAAATCTTCATCATTACCGCAATCACTGTCTTCATCTATATCTTTCACTTTACCACAACTCAAACAATTATTATTATTATTATTACTTAAATTATCATTTGTTTGATCATCAGTTGCTTTGAAAAAAATAGTTTAATTTAAATTAATTAATTTCATTAGCAGTAAAAACATTTAGTAAATAACTATATAAAAACAAAATACCATTTAATTGATTACAAATATCATAAATGTTTAATTGTTTTAAAGACACGAAACAATTATTAGTTAAATCCAGTGATATATCACTTTCTGATGAACTATCGTTACAATCAATCTTTTCATTACTTAATTCATTGATATTTCTTAAGTTATCATCAGTTTGTGTCCATTCATCCTTTGTTTCGACATATGTTTGACAATCAATTGATTTGAGATCTGAAATACAAAAGTTTTTTAAAAAATAACTAAAAAATAAAAAAATAATTAATTAAAACTACCGTTAAATTCATGGAAAATCTGTGTATTGTTTAATGTCTTCAAAGACACGGAACAGCTTTTGGTGATAATCAGTGAATTGATATCAGTTTTCAGTGAATTTTCATCAATTGTTTCATCAATTGATTCAATAAATTGCAGATATTTTTCATATTTTTTTGTTAATAACTGATATCTTAATAAATCATTTGTCAAACACTGGACTTCACGTCTCAATGCGTTAACCATTGAATACAATTGATATCGACTTAAATCACACAACGAGTCACTAATTATTAGAGACATTCAGTTAACAAATAAAATAAATAACAATTAATTTAATAAAAACATTAAAAAACAAAATTCAAAATTGAATGCAATGTTTGTAAACACAAACTGTAAGCATATGTTGTTCAGTAAAAACGTCACTAAAAATTGTTTATTAAATAAAAAAAATTTAATTTAATTAATATGATTTTCAAAACAATTTTTTTTAAAAAACTAATATACAGTTAAAAATCTAAAAAAACTTATTAAATAAACATACAAATAATCATTTATTAAAATGTATATAAACTTACAAAATATGCAACAAATATAAGATATTGTGTTTTAATTACTGAAATAATAAAAAGTTTTAACTTACAAACTGTAATACTATTAACATAGTAATGGACGGGTAGTGTGTATGTGAGCTCAGGTATACTTTAAGATCATACTTCACGGAATCATTTCTATAGTATGTATCCCTAGCTTCACATCCAATGTGTGTGAAGTCAGCCTTAACCACAATGACGAGTGATTGGATCCCTTCCTGAGCGCGATGTCGGTGCCCGAGACCTCCATAACCTTATAGGTTGAGAGGACTCGGCAGTGCCATTGATGACCGTTTCTGAATACCATTACAGGTGTTTCAGAAGGGAAGGGATCCGTTCCGAGTGGTCACACATTTTTATAACAATCAAAAAATAGAAAGTTTTTTTAAAAAAAAGTTAAGTATTTTTAATTATTAAATTTTATTCAGTAAATAAATTATTCATATTTTATAGTAATAGTAAATTTCAAAATAAATTAAAATATATTTTTAAAAAAAAATTATATAGAATTTAATTTAGATAAAACAAATTATAAATAATGAATTATTATGTTTACTATTAATTTGTATGTCAAACGAGTCCTTCAATTTTATTTGGTATTATATTTATAGTTGCATTTAAAGTATTGACATTTATATACCGGTACTACCGATCCGATAATATTTCAATTTTATAGTTCAACTAACAGTCCCGCCAATTGAATGGGTTGTTGTAATGGTGACGATAGTAAGCATTTTGCTTATGATCATTAGTAATATGCATATCAAGTGATATTTTCTGTATGAATTGTTTGTGACAGTCGGGCCAATTGCACCGGTATGTAGTCGGACGGTCTATTATGCTATTATGTTTTCTTATATGTTCAGTGATTTTAGGAGCACTGTTATGTGTCTTCTTGTGAATGGTTAGATCATAATAATTGGCAAACATTTTGTCACAATAATTACATTTATATCTAATTATGTGTCGCATACTATGCTTACGTATTGTTTCACTTGACTTACTTTTGAACGTACAACCCGTGTGCCGGCATTGTTGCCACGGCATGTCTGGCCACAGTAAGGGATGGTAACGAAGCTGATGGTGTTTGAGTGTCTGATTAGTTTTCAATGTTTGATTACAGTTATTATAAATACATTTAAACGATTTGTTGGCTAATCTAATAAATGAATTTTGTTCAACAAACTGATTATCCAATACTACTGGTGAGCGCTGGTATGGCCTATCAATTGTCAGATGAGAAGTATCATGACTTGTCTGCAGATGATTATTATAATTATAGTTTTGTTGATTGTCTTCATTTGACTTTTCAATTTTGTTATCATTGCTGTTAATGTCTATGAATTCGCTGATATCTTCATCATCTTTAATCAATAATTGTCTAACATTACTGTTGTTGTTGTTATCATTGATGGACTCATAAATAATACCACAATAATTGTCTTCTTCTACTACTACTTCTTCTTCTTCCTCTTTTTCATCTTTTACTTTATTAACAATATTTCTTGAGTTATCATCAGTTTGTGTCCACTCATTTTGTAATTCAATACTTGTTTGACAACCATTTGTCTCGAAATCTAAAATTAAACGAAAAATATATTTACAAAAAATATTTTATCTAAAAAAACATTAAAAATACTTTTTAGTTTGTTATCACTAGAAATCTCTGTAATCATAACTTTATCGCCACTTTCGTGACAATTAGTTGTCTGCACTTTATTGCTCTCCAAAAGCTTATCAATGTCTTCATCATTGCAATCACTATCTTCATCGACATTCATCACTTGATCACAACTCATACCATTGTTATTACTTAAGTTATCATTAGTTGTTTGATCATCACTTGCTATGAAAAAATAGTTTTAAAAATTAGCGGTAATTTTATTAAACAATTAAAAGTTAGCTAAAAAAATACCATTTAATTGACAGCAAATATCATTAAAGTTTAATCGTTTCAAAGACACGTAGCAATTATTTATTGAAATATCATTTTCTAATAAACTTTTATCGCAATCAATGTCTTCAATCTTTTCATTAGTAAATTCATTGATATTTCTTGAATTGTTTTCATCAGTTTGTGTCCATTCATCTCGTGTTTCAACATATGTTTGACAATCTATTGATTTGATATCTGAATTACAAAAATATATACAAATATATATATACAGTGATTTGTATTGAATACAAATATATGTATAATAAGTTTAAATAATAAAATAAATTCAAATACCAGTAAATTCACTTAAAATCTTTGTATTGTCTAATGTTTTCAAATATACAGTACATCTTTTGCTAGCAATTAGTGAATTAATATCAGTTTTCAGTGAATTTTCATCAATTGTTTCATCTATTGAATCAATAAATTGCATATATTTTTCATATTTTTGTATTAATAACTGATATCTTAATAAATCGGATGACAAACATTGGATATCATATCTCAATTTATTAACTATTGAATATAATTGATAACGACTTAAACTAAACAATTTATTATTACTTAATGACATTTTTATTTGTTGGTTTGTTTGTTTAAATATAAAATTTTTAGACTATACTAAAGCCATAATTTAAAAAAAAATTGTTTATTTTTAGCTCCAAGGGTGAGATAACGCCTAATGATTAAAAGCCATGTGCAGAGTAATGAATTTATACTGTACCGGTAATTACTATATTATAAATAACTTTATTTTATATTACTATTTTAACATAGTTTTTTTAAAAACATTATTACCCTGGTTAATAGTACCAAATAATAAAATATCGTATTTAATAATATAATTATAAAATATAATATAAATAAATATTATAAATTAATGGGCAATAAATAATGTATTTTATTAAATACCTATATATTAAATTTAAATATTATTATAAATAAATATCATATACAGTATTTAGTAAGTAATTGTTGCTTAACATATAAAATTAGTTTGTTTTATAATCATTAAATAAAATTTTCAAAATAAAACATTAATAAAATAATTTTTTTATTTAAATATTTCTAAATACAGTAGTTGTCTGATATTAACTGTCAGACATAATCATTAATTTTTGGGACCGGTATGTCTTCTTAAATGTTTAATCATACGAATTCTGGTTGAAAACAGTTGATCGCATCCATGCCATTGACATTTGATTTTCAGTGAACTGTTATGTGTTGTCAAATGTGCTTTTAAATTGAAATTACGTGAAAATTGTTTTCCACATTCATTACATTTATATGGTTTTGTATGTTTTGTTTTGTGTTCAAACATAACTATCGATGTTTTTGATCTAAACGTACAGCCTGTATGTGGACAGTCTAGCCATGGTATGTCTGGATAGATCTCTGGATGTAAATTCAATTGATGTTTTCTTAGAGTGTATGGTCTCTTCAATAATGTATTACAGTTCATATAAATACATTTAAATGTATTGTCTGGCAATTGAATATAAGAACTTTCAGTTGATGGCAACACATCCACTGGTGGTAAGCACTCACCATACGATCTACTACTAGCTGTCGAGTAATGTTTGTTAATTGTTGTGTGTTGATTGTAGGCACCGATAGTTGCAAATAGTTGTCCACAGTTTTGCCACTTACAGACAAATTGTTCATTAGTTTGACTATCATTTATTTGATTATTATTTGTCACATCGTCAGTATGATTGTTGTTGTTATTAAAATATTGATTGACTATATGGGTGTTAATTGCTGGCAAAGTTACTAATGAAAAACTACTGTGTGACTGATCCATATCTTGAGCATTACTATTGTGGTAATTGGTTAGCAATTGATTGTTGTCATTATCATCACTAAGTTTATTATTGTCGTTGATATCCATTAAACAATCATCAGTTTGTATCCACATTTCTGATGATGATTTAACACACGTTTGACAATTGATTTTATCGAAATCTAATTTACAGTAATAATTCATTAATAAATTTAAATCTAATATTATTACTAATCCTATAATTATAATTACCATTTAGTTTATTGTATATCTCTTTAACATTTCTCTTCAACAACTCGTCTCTATTAATACTTTTATGTGATTTGGTTTGTAGTTCTTCGTTGATATCCAAGTGATTGATGTCATCATCATTGCTATCAACAATAATGTCATCTATTTCTTCACATTTGATATTATTATTAAAAGATTGTGTCGACTCGTCATTAGTTTCCACTTTAATAATAGTATTGACTATAATATAAATTTTATAATTAAAACTTTAATTAATTATTTAATTTAAGTTATCATTACTTTTATGACAGTCTATCGCCAGTTGTTTCTTCAGAAATTGTTTGATGTCTTTAAAATCGTATGGATCAATGTCTTCAGTTGTTTTTGACTTCATGTCCAATATCTTGTTAATCAATATTTTCAATGTATTTAACTCTTTTAATACATTCATCTGATTATTATTGTTGTTGTCATTAATGTCTTCAGTTTTGACTTTATTTACTTCATTGATATTTCTTGACTTATCACCAGTTTGTGTCCACTCATCTCGTGATTCAACACTTGTTTGACAACCAATTGATTTCAGATCTAAAATACAAATAAAACAAATATATAAATAAATTCATTTATAAATAAAAACAAATTACCACTTAATTGACTACAAATCTCTGTATTGTTTAATGTTTTTAAAGTCACGGAACAACTTTTGGTGACAATCAGTGAATTGATTTGCATTTTCAATGAATTTTCATCAATTGTTTCATCGATTGATTCAATAAATTGCAGATATTTTTCATATTTTTTTGTTAACAATTGATATCTTAATAAATCATTTGTCAAACACTGGACTTCACGTCTCAATGCGTTAACCATTGAATACAATTGATATCGACTTAAATCACACAACGAGTCACTAATTATTAGAGACATTCAGTTAATTAAAAAATAAATAACAAATGATTTAATAAAAACATTAAAAAACAAAATTCAAAATTGAATGCAATGTTTGTAAACACAAACTGTAAGCATATGTTGTTCAGTAAAAACGTCACTAAAAAAATAGTTATTTTAATAATAATTAAATTTTAAAAAATTATTATTAGTATTTAGACTATTCGTAAAACAATTTTTTTAGTAAAATAATATAATTAAAATCTATTTCTTAGAATTTTTAAAATTAAATATTTATACAAATAATCATTTATTAAAATATATATAAACTTACAAAATATGCAACAAATATAAGATATTGTGTTTTAATTACTGAAATAATAAAAAGTTTTAACTTACAAACTGTAATACTATTAACATAGTAATGGACGGGTAGTGTGTATGTGAGCTCAGGTATACTTTAAGATCATACTTCACGGAATCATTTATATAGTATGTATCCCTAGCTTCACATCCAATGTGTGTGAAGTCAGCCTTAACCACAATGACGAGTAATTGGATCCCTTCCTGAGCGCGATGTCAGTGCCCGAGACCTCCATAACCTTATAGGTTGAGGACTCGGTAGTGCTATTGATGACCGTTTCTGAACACCATTACAGGTATTTCAGAAGGGAAGGGATTCGTTCCGAGTGGTCACACATTTTATAATATAATCAAAAATTAAATAATTTGCACAATACAATATTTATGTATATATTACTGTTACGGTAATATTAAATCTAATGTACGTTAAATGTAATAATGTATTTAATAATAATGTTACAATATGTAATACAATAATTGATTTTTAATATTTTATAATACTCTAGATAAATATATATACCTGTATATATATATATTAATTATTTTCCCCAAAAATATATTAGTTTAAATTAGATAATTAAATCAAAATGTTTAATCAATATATAGTTCTCTCTCTCTATATATAAATATAATATATATTTCTAATTATTTTAATTAACAAAAATTAAATTAACAAAAGTCTTGAGTTTTGATGATCTCAACAATAATGTGATAATACTATTGAAAAACATTTTTCACATATCAATGGCACTGATAGTATTAATACCAGTATTTTTTTTAGTCAAATGTTATATCATTATTATTCAATTGCTTCTGTAGTTTCTGTGATAGCGTCTGTAGGCGATAGTCGTCGGTATTCAGTATTAATGGCTTATTGTTTGTATTGTTGTTGTTGTTGTCTTTGATATGTTTTTTCATATGATTTTTCATTGAACTTTTTATAGTAAACTGTTGATTACATCCAAACCATTGACATTTGATTTTGAGTGCACTGTTATGTGTTATTAAATGTGTTTTCAATTGCTCCTTACGTCCAAACTGTTGGTCACATTCATTACATTTGTATGGTTTTGTATGTTTTATTGTCATATGTGTAGACATATCTGATGATAATTTTGATCTAAACGTACAGTCAGTGTATGGACAGTCAAACCATCGCATATCTGGATATAGCTCGGGATGTTGGCGTATCTGATGGCCATTTAAACTGAAAATAGATTTCAATATCATATTACAGTTCATATAAATACATTGAAATGTATTGTCAGGCAATTGAATATATGAACTTTCAGTTGATGGCAACACATCCACTGCTGGTGAAGAACCCACGACATTGGAGTTATTTATACTTATTATAGATTTATGACATTTCTGACGATGATTGACAGTCAAATCAGATGCTATTTTTGATTTAAACGTACAGCCATAGTATGAACACTTCATCCATTTAAGGACTGGATATAGATCGGGATGTTTACGGATCTGATGCAGTCTTAGTATATTTATTGTCTTCAATATCTGATTACAGTCCATATAAATACATTTAAATGTCTTATTATCTGCTAATTTAATAAATGTATTTTCAGGTATCGGTAATAATTTAGTGGTAGTAGATGTTGATGTTGATGTTGGATCATTCATTGGTGATAACTGGCCAGTAGTCGATTCACTAAGTATTATCGGAATATGACTTGTATGCTGTCGATGATGATTGTATGCGTCGATATTTGTAAATACTTGACCACAGTTTTCAAACTGACAGACAAATTGTCCATTAGTTTGACTAACATTTATTTGACTATTATTTGCAACATTATTAACACTATTATTATTATTATTATTATTATTATCTTTAAAATATTGATTGACTATATGGGTGTTAATTGCTGGCAAAGTTACTAATGAAAAACTATTGTCTGATTGATCCATGTCTTGATTATAACTGTCATCATCAGTGATATCAACAATATTATCGTCTATTTCTTCACATTTGATATTATTATTAAAAGTTTGTATCGATTCGTCATTAGTTTGATAAATATTTTCCACTTTAATATTGTTATTGTTGTTGTTGTCGTCGTCATCACCAATAGTTGATCCATAGTTGACATCGCATTCAACCACCACTTTCTCGTAGTCATCTTCTTTGCCGGTGTTTTCACTTTTGATAACAATATCTTCATTAATCCTATCACTTGTTGTTTGACATTCTTTATCCAAATATCTTGAATTCATGTCATCTGAAGACACAAACAAACGGTTAATCAAAAAAAAAATGTATAAATTGTTTGAAATGTCATCCAAAAATAAATTGTCTTACGATTAGTATCTTCATTGACGGCGACCTCACAGTCGTTGTCATCACTCAAAGACATCAATTGTTGTTTCATTTGTCTCAAGTCTTCATCAAATTCAACACCAATTTCACCGATATTTTCATTCAATTCATTCAACAATTTTCGGTATTTTTCGGCAAACAATTGATATCTTAATAAATCATTTGTCAAACACTGGACTTCACGTCTCAATGCGTTAACCATTGAATACAATTGATATCGACTTAAATCATACAATGGTTTATCATTTAATAATAATAATGACATTATTTTTAATATATATTTTTATTAAATTAAAACATAAATAAATAAAAAAACAAAACAATTATTATTTGACACTCAGTTTGTGTTCAAAACATTTCCTCAAATATAATACACTATTATATATACAATTCATATGTTATGCTGTAATAGTTTATACAATAATAATGTTTTTTTAAGCAAAAATAATTTATCAAAAAGTTATTACAAAATAAGTACAGAATATTTATTTAAAAAAAAACTAATTTCACAAAAATAATACAAATTAAAAATAACTCATATATTTATACAATAATAATGTTTTTTTAAGCAAAAATAATTTATCAAAAAGTTATTACAAAATAAGTACAGAATATTTATTTAAAAAAAACTAATTTCACAAAAATAATACAAATTAAAAATAACTCATATATTTATTTTTAAAAAATATTTAATTTACATATAAACACTACATCGTAATTATAGTAATGTTATAAAATATTATTATTATTTTTTATTTAAATATCTTCATCGCGATTACAAAATTAGTAGAAAATGAATTTATATGATTAATAATTTAATAAATAAGTATAAAATATATTTTTCTAAAAAAATAACTTTACAAATAAATATAATAACTTAAAAAAATAGTTAAATTATTAGCAATAAAATATTTAATTTATTAATCTCATCAATAGTTTATCAAAGTTTTTTCATCCATCAATGACACTGATAAGGCATTAATAATAATACCTATATTTTATAGTCAAATGTATATAAAAATAAAATCAGTTTTCCATTGCATTGAATTGCATCTGCAGTTTCTTCGATAGCTTCTCTAGACGATAATCGACAGGTGCTAATGGATTATTGTTTGTCTTGTTTGTATTATTGTTTGTATTTTTGTCTACAATATGTTTGTTTTTCATATGTATTATCATATGTTTTTTAATAATAAACTGTTTTTTACATCCAAACCATTGACATTTGATATTCTGTATACTGTTATGTTTAATCATATGTGCTTTCAATTGATTACTATATACAAACTGTTGGTCACATTCATTACATTTGTATGGTTTGGTATGTAGTCTTAAATGCGATGATATATCTTTTGATAATTTTGAGCTAAACTTACAGCCAATGTATGGACAGTTAAACCATATCATGTATGGGTATAGTTCATGATGTTGACGAATCTGATGTTGTTTTAGGCTAATAAATGTCTTCAATATATGATTACAGTTCATATAAATACATTTAAGTGTTTTGTCCGATAATTTTATACAATAAAATTTAAATAATAATTTAGAGGTTGATGTATCCAATGGATATAATTGTAAACACTGTCTACTAATAATTATGGGGCCATGAATTTCCAGCTGATGACCATTGTATGCTTCGACAGTTGTAAATATCTGTCCACAGTTTTGCCACTTACAGACTAGTTGTCCAACATTTATTTGACAATTATTTGGTACATTGTTAGCATTATCATTATTATTATTATTATTACCGGTATGAGTGACTATATCGGTGGTACCAATTGCTGGCAAAGTTATTATCGAAAAACTATTGTCTGACTGATCCATGTCTTCTTCTTCATCAGTGATTTTCTGCAAATTGTTTGCTGCCGATTGACTACTAATATCGGCTAAATGATTGGTATCTTTATTATTGTTAAGTTTATTGGAATCGTTAATCATTTTTTTAAGATCTGATAATGATTTCTGAATACACTTTTGACTATTAATTTTATCGAAATCTAAATAAAAATTTTGGTAATAATTAAAAAATTAAATAACTTATATATAAATTATATATTTGAATGAAATTATAATTACCTTTTAATTTATTGTAAATCTCTTTAACAAGAGTTTTATGTGATTTAGTTTGTAGTTCTTCATTGATATCCAAGCGATTGTTATCAACAATAATGTCATCTATTTCTTCACATTTTATACTAATATCAGAAGTTTGTGTCGACTCTTCTTTAGTTTCCATTTTAATAATAGTATTCACTATAATATAAATTTAAAAAAAATTAAAACTTGAATTAAATAATTTAATTTAAGATATCATTACTTTTATGACAGTCTATCGCTAGTTCTTTCTTCACAAATTGTTTAATGTCTTTAACATTGTATAGATCAGTGTCTTCAGTGGTCTTCGACTTCATGTCCAATATCTTGTTAATCAATATTTTCAATGTATTTAACTCTTTTAATACATTCATCTGATTATTGTTGTTGTTATCATTAATGTCTTCAGTTTTGACATTATATAATTCATTGATATTTCTTGACTTATCATCAGTTTGTGTCCAAACATCTTGTGATTCAACACTTGTTTGACAAGCAATTGACTTAAGATCTAAAAAATACAATATATATATATATATAATATATAAAATGAAATTAAATATATAACTACCGTTATAATGACTGTAAATCTCTTTATTGTTATTTAATGTTTTCAATGACACGGAACAGCTTTTGGTGACAATCAATGAGTTAATCTGAGTTTTCAATAAATTTTCATCAATTGTTTTATGAGTTGAATCAATAAATTGTAGATATGTTTCATATTTTTCTGTTAATAACTGATATCTCATTAAATCGGTTGTTAAACAATGGACTTCACGTCTCAATGTATTAATTATTGAATATAATTCACATCGACTTAAACTATACAATGGATAAGCATTTAATGACATGTTTTATATTTAATGTATAAAAACTTTTTTAAAAGTAACCGGTTTAAAAAAAATAATTGTTTTATTTTTTGGCCTCACAATGATAATCAATATTTTTTTTATTTGTCATTGATTGCTAGTGTTTGAATGTAAATTGAACAAGTTGATTTTAGCCCCACTTTGCGCCAATATAAAAAATTATATAGATTAAAGTCAACTAGGCGCGCTTATTATAAATATTCAAAAAAAAAACAAAAATTATTATTGAATACAAAACAAATAAAAAGGTTTAAATATAGCAATTAAAATTAATACACTCTATATATAAATAACATGCTATTAATATATATATTAATATATAATTTACTATAATTATTATTTTTAATAAATAATTTACAAAAATCATAATTTAAAATTAGTATCATTAGTATTCAATACATCAGTATAAAAAAATTAGTATACATTTACTTAATTATTTTTTTTTTGTTAGTTATGTTAGGTTAAATGAGTTTTAAATACACCATTGCATTCATTGTAATCACATTTAAATGATATTCTTCCTCATAATGTTTGCATTTTTTTTAAAGATTAGCAAATAATTGTTTAGAAATTGTTTTGAATTGACAGCCCTTATTATTATGACATTTGATAATTAATTTTTATAATATAATGACATCTCTCTATCAATGTTTAATCAGATCTGTCTTTTTTTTGTTTGTTTGAATCTTTTGAAACAATTATTTATTTAGATCACTGGTAGACATTTGGTGATGGGTTAGCATTCAATTATTGTTAAACAATTACCAATCAATGTGTATACTTTTGAACATTCATGTTATTTATATGGATAGTCATAAACAAATTGTTTGACTACTAATTTTTTTTTACTACCAGTGCCTGTGTTTTGCTTCTGTTGATTCAAATGTTTATTTGGATTAAGATTATTAGTACTACAGTATTATCTTTATCATCTGAATCAAGATAATTGATTAATGTAATCATTAAAAAACATTGTCATCATTACTACGACCACCACTACTACTACGACTACCACTACTACTAAGACTACCACTACTACTACGACTACCACTACTACTACGACTACCACTACTACTAAGACTACTACTACTACTACGACTACCACTACTACTACGACTACCACTACTACTAAGACTACTACTACTACTACGACTACCACTACTACTACGACTACCACTACTACTAAGACTACTACTACTACTACGACTACCACTACTACTACGACTACCACTACTACTAAGACTACCACTACTACTACGACTACCACTACTACTACACTACTACTACTACTACTAAACTACTACTACTACACTCTAATATACAGTACATATATTATACCTTTACATTATCTATACTTTTACTTGTAATTATTACAAATAGTGTAAAGGTATTTTAGTATCTATACTATAGATTCAATTAACTAATAAACACTGGTTGGGAATTTTTACCTATATTTTAAGATACCATAAAAAATATATTACCGGTAGATGTTTTAAAAAAATAAAATAAAAACACATTTTACCTTTATTTCATAATTTACGGTATTTAAACATAATTATGAATTTATGAAAAAAATTATCGGTATAATAATTAATTATACTGTATATAAATATACAGATCAAAATAAACTCATTATATCCAAAAAAATATATAACATTTATTTCGAAAATTAATTATAATATACATTAATATAAATATTATTATTATTATTATTAACAAAAAAATCAATCAAACAAACAATCGATTAATTATTTGTGTGTTTATTATTCACATGTTTAGTAAACGACGACTTATTATTAGTCTTATAAACACAATCACTGTATTGGCACTCATATAGCGGTAGAGATCCCTCATGTTTTTGCCGATGATTATGATATCTAACCGGATTAGTTGTCTTATAGTCACAGCCAGGCCATCGGCACCGGTAGTCTACCCGACCCTTATGTATTCGGGCGATATGCTGTTCTAGTGACTTACGCAACACAAACTGTTTGTCACAGTCGGGCCAATTGCACGGATAGATTACATCGACAGTGTGTACGTTCATATGTTTGGTCATATCGTTTCTACTTGAAAACAATCGGTCGCATCCCGGCCACTGGCACTGGACTTTCAGTGCACTGTTATGCGACCTCTGGTGTACCCGAAGTGCTGTACTGTAGGCAAAACCTTTGCCACAGACATCGCATTTATGTGGCTTCGAGTGGCGTCTCTCGTGTTTGTACATATCGAGTGCCAGTTTGGTCCGATAGGAACAGCCGGTCTGAGGACATACTTTCCATGAAATGTTTGGCCAGAGTTCCGGATGGCGACCGATCTGATGCTGTTTGAGTGCGTCCTGCGATCGGCAAACAACGGGACAGTCGTTGTAAACACATTTGAATGTCGCCGACGACGAAGTAATCATCAGTTGATTGTTTAAATAGCAGTCAAACAGTGACTTGTCGTCGTCGGTCTCTGTCTTGAAATAACAGTCATCATAGTCGACATCACTATTGGTGTTGTTGTTGTTGTCATCACCAACAGTGGATCCATAATTAACATCACATTCAACCACTACTTCCTCGTAGTCATCTTCTTCGCCGGTGTTTTCACTTTTGATAACAATATCTTCATTAATCATATCACTTGTTGTTGTTGTTGTTGTTTGACATTCTTTGTCCAAATATCTTAAATTCATGTCATCTGAAAACAATAAATCACTAAATTATTTGAAATGTCATAAAAAACAAACAATTGTCTTACGATTAGTATCTTCATTGATGGCGACCTCACAGTCGTTGTCATCACTTAAAGACATCAATTGTTGTTTCATTTGTCTCAAGTCTTCATCAAATTCAACACCAATTTCACCGATATTTTCATTCAATTCATTCAACAATTTTCGGTATTTTTCGGCAAACAATTGATATCTTAATAAATCGGATGACAAACATTGGACTTCACGTCTCAATGCGTTAACCATTGAATACAATTGATATCGACTTAAATCACACAACGAGTCGTCCATTGATTGCATTGTTTTTTTTTAAAAAAATCAATTATTATTATAATTATAAACACAATTATTAATAATAAAAAAACAAAATCAAAAACAAAATTTTTAGTCAAAAAATCATATGTGATATGTTTTTTGTTGTTGTGATTACTGTATTACTGTTATTATTAATACAACAATAATAATAAATAACATATAATTTGAGTGTCAATGATGTTTCAATATATAGCATATGTTTTTACTATACATTAATTGTCATAATTTATTTCATATATATATTTTTTGGGGACATTTAAACACTACAACTAGTGTTAGTACAGTATATACAGTGTATAATACATATGATTTGTGTTTACTGTAAAACTTATAGTAAGTTATAAGTCATTGACTTTACTATAATATTTGGATTTTGTTTGTTGACAACTAAACATTATTATTATTATTATTTAATAAGATATTTATTATTATATATTTATATTAATTTATTATTTAAATTGTAAATATATTTTGTTGTTGTTGTTGTAAATGTTATGCAAAATAAGTTTTAGTTTTAATAAAAATAGATTTTAATTGTAATAAAAAAAAAATTATTTAAAAAATGCAATCGTTGTGTGATTTAAGTCGATATCAATTGTATTCAATGGTTAACGCATTGAGACGTGAAGTCCAGTGTTTAGCAAATAATTTAATGAGATATCAATTGTTTGCCGAAAAATACCGAAAATTATTGAATGAATTGCAAACTATCGATGAAATTAGTGTTGAATTTGATGAAGACTTGAGACAAATGAGACAACAATTGATGACTTTGAGTGACGACAACGACTGTGAGGTTGTCATCGATGAAGACATTAATCGTAAGACAATTTTTTTAACTACATTTAAAACTATTTATTTATTGATTAACTGTTTGTTTGTGTTTTCAGATGACATGAATTCAAGATATTTGGACAAAGAATGTCAAACAACAACAATAACAGCTAATCCAATGAATGATAATCTTATCGTAACAAATGATTGTATTAAAAATGTTAAGAAAGATATCGATGACGACAACTATGAAAAAGTAGTCGTCGATTGTGATGTCAATTACAAGACTAGTGACGATGATAACGCTGATGATGACTATGAAGACAATGATGATAACGACAACAGTGATGAAGAATATACTAATACTCTAAGAAATGGTATCCATAAGAAATCCACGAGAAGTGATACCACGAAAAAGAAATACATAAGATGTGATATCCAGACAAAAGCCGTGATGACTAAGACCAGTAAAGAATCGCTGGAACAGCCGATAGTAGTGAAACGCCAATCAAACGGCAAGTATCGGTGCGATTGGACGGGCTGTGAGAAAGAGTATAAGTGTCGATATGTTCTACATAAACATATACTACAGCACCGGGGCGTTACATACCAGTGCTCGTATAAGGATTGTAACAAATCGTTTGTTGATTACACATCATATAGAAAGCATCTGAAACATCATAGCGATACCTATCAGTGCAAACACGACTGCTGTACCTATACTACGGGTGTTAAAAAGTTTTACGAATCTCATCTGAAAAGCCATTTGACTGAAACACCGTTTCAGTGTACGATCGATGGATGCGGACAACAGTTTAAAACCGATGATCACATGAAAGCACATGTCTTGAGACGACATCCGAATGAGATGCCTGATGTCAAGTGGATGCCGTGCCCGGAGCCGGGCTGTGAGTTTCGGACAAAGTCATCGAACAGTATGACTGTCCATACGTTGACTCATACAAAACCGCATGAATGCGGCAGATGTGGCAAACGGTACGCCACGGCTAATGGTGTTCGCGGCTGTGAATCGCGACACGAGATCGAGTCGTCTAATGGAGAATCTGCTCTAAAATACCAGTGCGATTGGCCCGGTTGTAGTCGCGAATATCGAAACGCATTTGTATTTAAACGACACCTGATGTCGCACAAAGGTGTTAAGTATCAGTGCTCGTACACGGGTTGCAACAAATCGTTTGTCGATTACTATACGTTTCGCAAACACATCCAGAATCATAAGAATACCTATAAGTGCCGACACGATGGCTGTTCATATAGTTCGGGTGTCAAAAGATATTTGTTATCGCATGAGAAAAGTCACATCAAAGATACGCCGTTCCAGTGCAACATCGATGACTGCGAACAGGTATTCAAAACAGAAGACAATATGCGCGCTCATCAGCTAAGAAAACATCCGGACTCGTTGGCGGACGTCCAGTGGATGAACTGTTCGTATCCGGGCTGCGAGTATAAGACAAAATCGCCGAACGCTATGAACTGTCACGAGATATGGCATAAAAAACCGTACGAATGCCAGAAGTGTAGCCAACGCTATGCATCGGCAAAACAGATGAAGGGTTGTCTGGAGAAACACAATATCAGTGATGACATCGATGGTAATGGTGGTGTTGGTGGTAGTGAAGTAGGAAAACACCGGTGCGATTGGCCCGGTTGTGATAAGGTTTATCGTGATACGTTCTACTTGAAACGCCATCGCCTGATGCACACTGGCTACCAGTACCAGTGCCGGCACCGGGAGTGTGGCAAATCTTTTAGCGATTATACATCCTATCGTAATCATGTTAATCATCACAAAGGTACGCACCGATGTCCGCACGATGGCTGCCAGTACACAACGGGTAGCAAAAAGTATCTGCGCTCTCATATGAACAAACATGTCAAAGACACACCGTTCAGGTGCGGTATCAACGATTGCGAACAGGTATTCAAGACTGAGCTGCAAATGTCCAATCATCAGCTTCGCATACATCCGGACGAGTTTCCTGATACACCTTGGATTGGATGCGACTTTCCCGCCTGCGATTATCGGGCAAAGACCAGTATAGCCATACGCGAGCACCGGGCCTGGCATATCAAACCCTACCAGTGCACAGATTGCGATAAACGGTGTCAGTCGTCAAAAGAGTTGCACAGACATCGGATCACTCATCACAATGCCGTACGAATTGCCTGCGAATGGTATGCCTGCGAACGCCAGTTTACCACCCGAGCCGAAATGCTCGACCACATGAATGTCCACACTGGTCAAGAAAGCTACCGATGCGATTGGCCCGGTTGTGACAAATCGTTTATTACCAAACACTCGGTCAAAGCTCATCTCTATAGAGTCCATACGAAAAAGGCTAAACTTGTGGCCAACTTTTAGATGGGTGGTGTTCTCGGGATGTCGTATCATATATTGTAGGATTGGTTAATGGATTATATTATTTATTTATTTATTTCCTTATATGATGTTAAGTTATTTTATTATTATGTTTATTTTATAAATTCAGGTATATTATTAAAATTACTTAAATAAAAATTTAAAAAAAAACTATTTAAAGATATCTATAGTTAAAATTATTTAGAATTATTTAACTAAAAATATATTAAACTTTTTTTAAAAAAAAATAATAAACAGTATATCTAAGGTAAGTATGATATTTTTTTGTGATAATACAGAAATAATAATTATTTTTATAGGTAAATCAATTGCAAAATCATATTACCGTAAATTATAATTGTCAATCAATCAATCAACAATTTTTAATGCTAATAATCTCACACTACTGTACTATAAATATATGTGATAAAAAATTTAAAATTGTTTTTAATTTGAAAAATTAACAAAATAATGTATTTATAATAAGTGCAACAATTATTGATATTTTATCACCAAAAAAAACATACATACAATATGTTGTTTACAATATATAAGTAGTACAGGTATTACAGCATTGTTTATGCTAATCGTATTGAATAACAAACAAACACATAATATTATTGCATAATTAATTTATGTAAAAACATATGACTTTAATGTTTATTATTTTGATATAATATATTCATAGCTGTATTCGTAATCACATTACTGTAATCATACAATAATTATTTTGTTATATAGATGTGATAATATAATAATAATCTACCTGTGCTTTAGTAACACCCGTTACCACTATTGAAGCGGTAGGTTTATCATTTCGGTATTAAATAATCATTTTTTTTGCTATAATCTAATTGTGGTATAAAAAATTAATAGATAAAATAATAGTAATTATACATTTGTTATATTTTATTTTTGGAAAAAACAAAATACAATTAATGAATGAAAAAGTCTATTTTATTGATTAATAATTAATTACAAATTGTTTTATAATAATATTATGAATGATTTAATGTAAAAATATTATTATTATTATTATACTAATAATACTGTAGAATATGATATATATAAAAAAAAAAAGTTTTGTATTCATTTTGTTCAGTAGATTTCATTTGATATAATGAGACTCAAAAAAAATTTTTTAAAGGTAAATAATAAAAATGAAATGTCAAATAATAATTATAAAAATTAATATATGTTTTGTTATATACTTTTTTTATATGTATTTGAATAATACGGTATTTATACAAAAATGTTTATTATTATTATTATTTATTTATTTAATGTTTGAACTATAATTTCAGTGGACACACAACCAATAAATTGATTAATTAATCAATTATTTTTTGGACACTATTTACGCATCAATTGTTTTAGCGAAGCTCTGTTAGCGGCCGACAGCGGCAAATGTAAGCCATTAGACTTTTGCGACCTCTGTTTTCGTCGTTTACCACCAGTACCACTACCGCCGCCACCAATGCCATCGCCATCGAGAGCGTCGGTGTTGTAATGATTTTTCTTGTGTGTCAACAAATATCGATGAGTTTTGAGTACAGCGTTACAAACGTCGCACACGTATCGGGTTTCGGCCGATGCGTGTATCTCCGACTCGTGAGTACGCAATGAGGTAATTGTGGCAAATGTTTTACCGCACGTCTGGTGTCTACACTGAAACGGTTTCAGTCCATAGTGTTTGTACATATGGGCCATCAGATGACGTTTCTGGATGGCCTGATAGCCGCATCCATCAACTGAACACTTGAATCGTTTTTCGCCCGAATGGGTCATCAAATGACGGTTAAGACTCCACAGACTTTTCAATTGTTTGCCACAACCGATAGCTGTACAGACATACTGTTTCTTAAAGTGTATAGCCTTCATATGATTGTCCAGTTCGGGTTTTGTGGACAACATTTGGCCGCATTCAGGATACCGACACTCATACGGTGTTACGGCGTGAACCGCTTGCATGTGTTTAGTTACCGATTGGTTACTGTCGGTCACATAATGACAACCAGCCATCAAACACTTAGTATAATTGTTTAGTTGACCGCAAGCAACGGCGGCAGCAGCAGTAGTGGCGGCAACGGCAACACCAGTGGATGGTTGCAATGGCTGTCCACTTAGTATGGATTGAGATCGCTGTACGGCTTCGGCAATAATCCTGAGACTTTCGTGTGACGTCTTGAATGGTAAGCTCAACGATAGTGGCATCTGAAGAGGCGGGTCTTCGTGATGATGGGCAACAACGTGGTGGTGATGGTGGCCGACAACAGACTTTTGCCGATTGGTGGCCGCCATGGCATCGGCTACAACAGTATTGTGATTATGATGGAGATAGTTGTTGTTTTGGCGGACATTATTCATATGGTGTCTGATGTCCATCAATGGCGACAATGAGGATGACGGCAAAGAAGAAGAATCGCAATGTGAATATGATATATACGATGGGATCAAATCAATGATCACATACACCAAACAAACAAAGACTTGTGTTTAGATGTCTTCAATCAATCAATCAATCAATTAAACAATCAATAGGTTTAGTCAATTCATTTGATGATCACTTATGATGACAGACGAAGACAACAACAATAGTGATCAATGAGTTCTCTTCAGTCAAACCATACAATAATTGTTTAATGATTTTCTGTTGTTTACGAAAAGTATTATTCATGTGTTGAAAGTGAAAGTCAATCAACAAAATAATAATAAATACATAAATAAATTGCTTTTTATTATTATTATTATTATTATTACTGTATTCATAAAGTACTGTATTATACAGTGTATAGGTATTGAATGCATATTATTATTATTATTATTATAGTATTAATATAATAATAGTGAGTATTATAGCACACAAACAATAATAATGTTCTTAAATATATAATACAGTATTTTATTTACTGTTACAATAGTGTTAGTATTAATATAGTGTTTATTTGGGGGACAAACTTATTATATGAAACATTATTTATGACATTCAATTACATCACATTCAATATACAGTATTAATAAATAACAGTTTAATGTATTAATAGATTTAAAGTTTTTTTTTCATTAATAATATTATTTTACTAACATTTTTAATGTCATTATTAATGCTGTGATAAAAATACTTTCTAATAATAATTATTTTAATTTTAAATGTAATCAACTGTTAAAATACAACCAAAAAAAAAGATGCAATCGTTGTGTGATTTAAGTCGATATCAATTGTATTCAATGGTTAACGCATTGAGACGTGAAGTCCAATGTTTAGCAAATAATTTAATGAGATATCAATTGTTTGCCGAAAAATACCGAAAATTATTGAATGAATTGCAAACTATCGATGAAATTAGTGTTGAATTTGATGAAGACTTGAGACAAATGAGACAACAATTGATGTCTTTGAGTGACGACAACGACTGTGAGGTTGTCATCGATGAAGACATTAATCGTAAGATTTTAAAGCAATTTATACATTTTTTTTCTTATTAACTATTTGGTTGTTTGTATCTTCAGATGATATGAATTCAAGATATTTGGATAAAGAATGTCAAACAACAACCAGACATACCATTACTGGTGATAATCATCACCAGAAAAAACAGCGCTTCGTTAAGACCGAGAAGAATAGAAACAGAGAGGTAGAGAAAGACTATGAAGCAGTTGTAGTCGATTGCGATGATGTCAAGTATGGATCAGCCGGTGATCACAACAACAACAACACTAATGTTAGATACAGTTTAAGAAGTGATATCCAGAGAAAATCAGTGAAGACGACAGTGAATCTACCGGTGAAACGACAACAGATAACAACAATTGTCCATAAGTTTAGGTGCGATTGGAAGGGATGTATAAAAGTCTATAACAGTCAATACGTATTGAATAAACATAGACTAACGCACCGGGGCTTCAAATACCGGTGCCCGAACCAAGACTGTGATAAATCGTTTGGCAATTATAGCTATTTTCGTTGTCACGTAAATCACCATAAAAATACGTTACGGTGTCCAAGAGAGGGCTGCCAATATCAGACTGGCCTAAAGCAGCGACTTGAGTCTCATATGAAAAGTCATATTACAGACACACCGTTTCGATGTTTGTTAAACGGATGCGACAAACAGTGCAAAACTGATGATCTGTTGCGCGAACATCGACTTCGACGACATCCCGACTGTTTGGTGGACGTGTCGTGGATCGAGTGTCCCGAATCGGGCTGTGATTTTCGTACAAAGTCACACACATCGATGGCTGGTCACACGGCATCGCATACAAAACGACACGTTTGTTTAGAGTGTGACAAACGGTACGCTACTGCCAAACAGTTAAAGGCATGCAAATTGCGGCACCGGTTACATACCGGTGAGGGACAGGAGGAGGAGGATATCGCTAACAATATAGCCGGTGTGTCAAGTGTCAAGTATCGGTGCGATTGGCCCGGTTGTGATAAAGAATATCTGGCCGAATATACATTGAAAAAACATCGACTAATGCATGAGGGCCATACCTACCAGTGCACGCACGAGGGCTGCGGCAAGTCCTACAAAGAGTACACCTATTTTCGCAATCATCTCAGCCATCATAAGAATACTCATCAGTGTCCGCATGAAGGCTGCAGTTACTCGAGTGGTCTAAAGTCTCGTATTGAGTCGCATCTGAAAAGTCACGTAACAGAAACGCCATTCAAATGTATGCTCAGTGGCTGCGAACAGGTGTTCAAAACCGATGACCAAATGCAAGCCCACCAATTGCGCAGACATCCCGAACAGTTTCCCGACGTGCCGTGGATCGAGTGCGGACACAACGGATGCGATGTAAGAAGTAAGTCTGCGCTCAAGATTACCGAACACCGGAACATTCATATCAGGGCTCACGAATGTCCTGTTTGTGGTAAACACTTTGGTACCGCCTATTTGGTGAGGAAACACCAGAAATCCACACATGGATCGAGCGAAACATTGGACGGCCAGTGCGAAAAGTATCGGTGCGATTGGCCCGGTTGTGCCAAAGAATACAAACATCCAAATGTTTTGGAACGCCATAAACTGGCGCACACTGGCTTCACCTACCAGTGCACGCATGAGGGGTGCGGCAAGTCGTTCAAAGATTATACCTATTTTCGTAGTCACGTCAACCACCATAAGGCTACCTACCGGTGTCTGCACAGCGGTTGTAGCTATACTACTGGTTTGAAGAAACGTTTGGAAACTCATCAGCGATCGCACGACACCGAAACACCGTACAAATGCTGTGTCGGCTGCGCACAAGTATTCAAAACTGAAACTCAGATGACGTTACATCATTTGCGCCGACATCCGGATAATTTTCCTGATGTTCCGTGGATTGGCTGCGAGTTTCCCGGTTGCGACTTTCGGGCCAAATCGCCGGCTGTGTTAGCCCAGCACCGACTCTGGCACACGAAACCCTATCGATGCGTCGATTGTGACAAACAGTTTTCCTCATCCAAAGAGATCAAACGTCACCGAATGACACAACATAATGCCGATCGTATTCCGTGCGAATGGTACGGCTGTGAGCGCCAGTTCTCCACACGGGCCGACATGTTGGACCATATGAACGTACACACTGCTCAGCTGAGCTACCGGTGCGAGTGGCCCGGCTGTGACAAGTCCTATGTAACAAAGCGTACACTGAAATCGCATGTATATAAGGTGCATACTAAAAAATCCAAACAATTGACTGTTACAATGGTCACCACCAATGACGGGTATGCCGTTGTCTGATAAATACAGGTGACGTTTAAAATAAGTTGTGATGTATTTATATATATATATTTCATGATTTTGTATATACTGTAAATAACTGATAGACTATGTTAGACTATGATAGATCAGTGATAGTGTATTATTTGTAATTATCTAAAAAAAATGAATAAAATAAACTAAAAATTTTCATTTTTGATTATAATTTTATGTTAATACATATTACACGCGATTACAACAATTGTAATGAAAAGATTTTTGGTTTATTACAGGTATTTGATTTCAATTCAACTGTAAATTGCAATTCAATTCAATTCAATTCGTTCTTTTGTTGTTGTTTGCAGTTATTTATTAACCGATTTTTCATCAATTGTTTGTCTGTTTTATCCATCAATAAATATCAATAGATATCCATCCATCCGAAAAAAAGTATTGAATATTTACTGTTTTGACAGATAATAAATGTCAGAATCGGCACCGATAGCGGCAACCACTTCGACAATGGCCACCACGGGTTTGGCTTCAGAAGGCGGACAGTGGGTGTCAAACGAAATGATGGCCAAACTGATCGAAGAGGTTCAGCAGTTGCGCCATGAGTTGACCGACTGGAAGCAGGACATGATCGAAGAGTTTGGCGAACTGACCGGTATATTAATGGATCACTTTAACGACCTGATCGACAAGTATGTCGGCAAACGGTCGCCGGTGACGATGGCTTCAGATGGTTGCGATGCCGATGTTGATACCGATACCACTTTGGATGAACAATCACAGTGTAGTAGCGATGATGAGCTGTCCGCCGACGACGACGACGACGACAATGAGACTAATGATCAAATGTCTGTCGATTGTAGTGCTGTTAATGACCAGGAGTTGAGTACACGGATGGCCTCTCATTTGACGATTGATATCCCAAAAGTTACGACTATTGCTGATGGAGATAATGATTACGACAATGACTTTTTTGATGCTGAAGTCGATTAAGTTGTCGTTTCCGTTGTTTTTTAATAACATATATTTAACAAAATTTATATTTTTCTTATAATTATTACAAATTATTTTTTAGATTTTTCTACTATTTTTGTGATTTTTACTACATTTACTAACTTCTTAATTATTGGTACATTATATTTTAAATTTAACTTTTAGTTTTATATTTATAAAATTTATATCTAAATTATATTTTTTTTAATTATTTATTTTATTTATGATATATTCATATAATTTTGTTCGTTTTAGTAAAATATGGATTATATTTATATTGTATAATAAAATTAAACAAATAATTTGTTTATTTTACTGACTTTTATTGTCATTATTTAGGCCATTATATGACAAAATTTCAATCATATTACAGATTAATGTGAATAATATAATAATAATAATTATTCTTTTTAGTTAATTGCACGAACACTTTGAACACTGGCCAGGAGTGGTCACCGATAGATAACAGCCGGGCTTACACTTTAGGATAGGACAGTCGTAAAGGCAGGAACATGTCTGGCATCCGTTTGTATCCAATACTGTCGTACAGTTAACACCGGCGCACATCAGTCCTTGCGGTAAAAATGGTGGACACTTTGGCTGATCGTTTTCAAAGACAATCGACGACTGTTTATTAGTGGACAAACTGTTGTTGTTGGCCGCCGAAGACGACGACGACAATAAACTAGTCTTTTCATTGATGGTTTGTCGTCTTAGTTGAAGATTAATCGACCCTTGAGTACCATTTCTTTTCAATGATGGCCTTTCAATGCATGTCAACTGTGGCGGTACAAGACATTGGCATTGAGTCCGATCATTGCGACCGATAGTGTCCAGTGTTTCGCCGATTTGATACTTTTTGTTGCCAAACACGCAATAGTGCTCTTCGGGTGGCGCTATGATTGACAGTGCAGATGACAATTGTGGGATCAATAATATTATTTCTATAATACTGTAGATGAATAGGATTGACAGTACTTACGGCAGTGATAGTCGATAGGACAGCACCTGTTCTCATAGTAAATGGGAACACAGCCGGCCCTGAATTTCTCATTAGAGTCCATATAACATTTGACTGGCTGACAGTTACCGGTGCTGTTATTAATTGGTGAACGAGGATTCCAGTCTTTGGTACAGGTGCACTGTAGACAGGGATCCTCTTTCAAGTATATGGTTTCACCTAATCGGTACTCTTTTTGATGATACAGACACTTGGTTTGCGATTCTGAAACACTGGGACAGTGTAATCGCGGACAACATTTGTTTGGCTCATATACATTGAAACAGTTTGTTTTACTACCGCCTGCTGTTTGCCGATTAATACAATCAACTTCAGCACATCTGATGGTCGGCTGTGATCTGTTGGTGTATGTGTCGACATTGGCATCGCAATAGCAGTTCCTTTTGCACGGGTTGTCCAGCGATAGTTGATCTCCAATACCATAAACCCGACCGCGATATTCACAGCCTGTTTAACAAATAAAAATATATTTTATTTAAAAAAAACTCTTTTAAAAACATTTACAATACAAACCCCTGATTGTCTGATCGATTGGATCACGTTTTTTCGGACAAACATAGTATTTCGGACACGGCTTACGGCAGACAAACTCTCCCGTAATTGGCGTGCAATTCATTTCCCGATAGTGAAGCAACAAATTTTTGTCCAAACATCGGGAACATCCGTACGGTTCCGATGCTGACGATCGCCCGTCTGATGACAATGGTGAATCGGGAAACACTACCGTCGGTATTATTTGACCTCCCGGTGCCGTCTTGTTTTTATTGCCATTACGATCAATTGATGTTCGCGTTTGTGGCAGTTCGGGTTCATAGTCACGGGAACGATACACTTAAAAATAACAAACATTTTATTGCGACAAAAATAATGATAATAATTGTTTCAATTAATTTTTTATATTATTTTTATTGTATGCCAAAAAATTGTTTACTTCTTTGATTGTCCACCTCCTGTCCCAGTGATGATAATGTCATCAATGTTGTAATGATGACACATATTGTTAAATAGGGATTTAATATAAATTTTGAAAACATTATATTTATATGTAAATAATATTTTACTTAATAAACTTTTATATAAATAATAAATTAGATTTTGTTGAACAGGATTTATAAAAGTATTATTTCTCAAACATAAAAAAACTTTATTTCCGTTTGTGTGACAAATAATTTATAGTATTATATCATAGGATTCTCAATCAATTATTAACTAAATAAAGTTTTAAAAAAATATTATTATCAATAGTAGTAGTATTTATTGCGACTTTTCCAATGAAATCTAATATAATCTTAAATAATATTTAAATCTTTAAATACTATGACATAAATTTAGTAAAACTTTGTTTATTTAAAAAAAATTGTTTTTATATATTCATTTATTTATCAATAGATTCATTTATTATTTTTTAAAAAAAAGTATAGATTAAATTCATAAAAAGTAATAAATTGATGATTTTGTAAATATTTTTCATTATTATGTATGAAATACTGTCTCTATTTTTACGTTTCATTATCATAAATATCATGATTTATCTTTACTTATACCGTATAAAAATACACACAGTATTACAAAATATATGATAATATTTCACAACATATAAGTGATAATAAAAATTATTTAAATCAATAATATAGCATATTATATACAAATTGTAACAATAATACATAACTGACATCAATCAGAATAATTTATTAAATAATTAAAATTAACTAATTTTAATATATATAAATAAATATTTTATATAAAATTAATTAATAATATACTGTAATATACACACTGTATATACTGTATATCATATTGTAATAAAAAAAAAGTTTTTAAAAAAATTATTATTATTATTATTATAGATAACTTTCCACTTGTTATATATGATCTATTAAGGATGTAGGTATTTGTGACAGTTCGGGCTCATAGTCACGGGAACGATACCCTTTGGGAAACAAACAAAAAATTAAATAAATAATTGGTTTAAAAAAATTATAATATTATATTAAAGTTATTTACTTCGTTGATCATTAGTGTAATGTCCCAGTAATGGTGATAATGTTATCATCGATGTTGTAATAATAATAAGATATATTCTTATTAAAAGTGAATTTAAGTTAAACATTATATTTTGAGAAAAAAAATTATTTATAATACAGTATAAAGTATAATAGTTTTTATATAAAATTTAGTATAAATAATACACTTTACTAGTTAAGTTAATTTTTAAAAAATATATTAATAACAAATTTTTGTTATATTTTTTTAAACAGAAATAAACAGGAAATTAAAAAAAAAAGTATAATCTCTTAACAAAAAAATAATTTACTTCCTATTGTGTAACAAATAATTTATATTATTATATAATAGTCATATTCAATAAATAAACAATAAACTAAATAAACAATTTTTTGTAGTACTATATTATTTATATATTATATTGTAATTATTGCAAGTTTTCCAATGAAATATGTAGAGATAGATAACTGTAATATTTTTAGATATTTTAATTAATAATATTATGTATTAAAGTAAGAGTAATAAAAATTATAATATTTCACAACATCTGTGGATAATTAAATTATAATTTAATCTAATTGTAACATTTAACTAACATCAATCATATTATAAATTATTAAATATAATTTTAATTAATTAATTAATAAATATTGTATATACATTTTATACAACAACAAAATTATTTATTTGGGTAGAAATCCTAATGTAATTAATAAAAAACAAAAAAATTAAATTTATAGTATTATTATTTATTGATAATAATAGACATAGATTTCCACACGTGTAATTAATAATGTAAATATCAATTGATAATTTTGCACGTGCGATACATATTTAAAAAATTTTAAATTATTAATAATCAATTGAATACATTTAATAATTTAACAATTAGTTACAAATTTTATACAATAGTATTATAGATTTAAATTATTTAAACTATAGATAATATTACAGGTAACAATGTTTAGTAATTGATAGTAAATTTTAGTAAAAGTTATTTATTTATTTAGTTGTGTTCAATTCAAATCCAATTCAAAATGTGGACAATAAAAAGGTTATATCAAATGTAAAAATAATAATAATAAATAATATGACAAACAATTTCAATTTCAACAGATTTATAGGAAAGTTGTCAACAATACCGGCACCGCTAATGGGAACAGTGTTTAGATTGCATCAGACAATAGAAGATATTGATGATAATGATCGACCATATCGTAGACGACGACAACAACAGCAACGTAGTAACGCTTGGCTTAGAATTTCATATATGATGGACACTGACAATGATAGAAATGGTTGGAGTGATGATGATAGTGGTGACCCTGACCTCACTTATATCAATCCGAGTTTGATCCGAACAAAGTGCGTAAGTAATGTCTGTATGATTTTCGGATTGGAAAAGGACGAAGAGAATTTTGGTATGACTGATACAAATCTCGGAACCGGTATCTGTGTTCATAAGGAGGATAAACTGTTTCTAACCAATGCTCATGTAGTCCGTGGTCATGAAATTGTGTATTTGCGTCTATTGTCGTTCATTGGCTTATCGATGACTAGATTTGTTGATATCAGGCAACTACTGTCAATGCCATTGGATGCAGACGTACTATACGTTGAAGATCACAACGATTTGGCACTTATTAGGCTCAGGGATCATCCGCCCGAATTTGGTGTATATGAGGCCATGAAGCTATGCGATCGGGAACCGCAGTTTGGCGAACTAGTAGCCGACTATGGAAATGGAGATTGTTTTTACACAGTGTTTTCGGGTATGATTAATGAAAGTGGAACAATTGGCTTAAATTTTAGCGATTATACTATCACCTATTTGCCCTATACCATGGATCAGCTACAAGTTATACATTCAGCTACTATTGTAAAGGGATGTTCGGGTGGTCCAATTATAGATATTGATTGCAATTGTATTGGTATTAATTTTGCCGGCAGTAATATCGGAGGCTTTGCAAAACCATCGAAAACAATGATATGTATGTATAGATAAATACATATTTAAATATAATTTATGTTAATATCTTTATTGTGGAAAAATATCTATGATTTTTTTTGGCACATAATATACTATTAATATATTGATATAGCATTTCTAGAGCGAGGACGACATTATGCAGAACATGAGTTCCTATCGACTGATCGTCGAAACATCTATTCAATGGGTACGGCCAGTGACCGGAGATTAGGTTTACTATTGGAGGAAACTTATAATGGATATATAGTTATAGATTATATGATCAATGCTGATACAGAGTGAGTAGTAATTGTTGCTGTACTGTAAATAAATTGTCTATAATTGACAAATTAGGATTAATTATCTAAATTTTTTCTTTTTTTTGATCACATTTTTTTATTTAATAGAATATATTTGGGGGAAGTCATAACACAAGTAAGAGGACAACCGTTTTTGGATATCCAACAGATGCGAACAGCACTGGCAGAGCTCACCAGTGATAGTCTAAAGGTTGAACTGATTGTAAGCACCGATACTGAAGATACCGGTCTGACATTGAATGCTAACCTTACGGGCGATGAATTACCATTGCTTTTCTGAGAAAAAAACAAACAAAAAAAAATAGTCGGATATTATGACATTAATATTACTGTACATACAAATAACTAACTTTTAATACTGTATTATTATTAGTAGTATATATATTAAAAATCTTATTTACTATCAGAATGTATTAGATTTTGTAAAAGTTTATTAATTATATTTTATATTTTAGTTATTCTATATATTATTTTTTCCAATTTGTATTTATATTTTATTAATTATATTTTATGTAAACTATAATATAGTATATATCTGCATATTTATAGTAATATACTGTATTATTATTGTTATTATTATATTATTAGATAATTTGCCCAGGTGTTTTATATGAATTTAATTTATTATTGGTGTACGTATTTGTGACAATTCGGGCTCATAGTCACGGAAACGATACCCTTTTTACAAACAAAAATATAATTATTTAATTTAATTTATAAAATATATTAATTTAATTGTATTTAAAGTTATTTATTTACTTCGCTTATTGTTGTATTGTCTCTGCGATAATAATGTCGCCATCAGTGTTGTAATGATAAGACATATTATTAAAAGTGAAATTAAGTTTGTAGTGAATATGCTTTTAATTATCATAAATTTATTGAAATATTTTTATTGTCTTCTAGTTTTACATTTATTTTATCAAATTTTGTCAAAAGTGAACTTAATTTAAACATTATATTCAGAAATAATATATTTACGGTACTTAATAAACTTTATTTTATAATTTATTTAAAGTATAATAGTTATAAATTATAATTTATAATACAGTATAAAGTTTATATCAATGGTACACTTTACTAATTAGTTGAGTTAAACTAATAAAAAAATTATAATATATTTTTTCAAACAGGAAAAAACAGGAAATTAAAAGTTTAATCTCTTAACACAAAAAAATAATTTACTTCCTATTGTGTAACAAATAATTTATATTATTATATAATAGTCATATTCAATAAATAAACAATAAACTAAATAAACAATTTTTTGTAGTACTATATTATTTAAATATTATATTGTAATTATTGCAATTTTCCAATGAAATGTGTAGAGATAGATAACTGTAATATTTTTTAGATATTTTAATTAATAATAATATGTATTAAAGTAAGAGTAATAAAAATTATAATATTTCACAACATGTTTGGATAATTAAATTATAATTTAATCTCATTGTAACATTTAACTAAAACTAATCATATTATATAATTTAAATTAATTAATTAATAAATAATGTATATACATTTTATACAACAACAAAATTATTTATTTGGGTAAAAATCCTAATGTAATTAATAAAAAACAAAAAATTAATTTTATACTATTATTATTTATTGATATTAATAGACATAGATTTCCACACGTGTAATTAATAATGTAGAGATCAATAGATAATTTTGCGCGTGCGATACATATTTAAAAAATTTTAAATTAACTAACAATAATCAATTGAATACATTTAATAATTTAACAATTAGTTACAAATAATTTAAATCAATAGTAGTATAGATTTAAATTATTTAAATTATAAATAAAATTACATGTAATTACAATGTTTAGTAATTGATAGTAAATTTTAGTAAAAGTTATCTTTTTATTTAGTTGTGTTCAATTCAAATCCAATTCAAAATGTGGACAATAAAAAGTATATCAAATGTAATATTAATACTAAATAATAATAAATAATGTGACAAACAATTTCAATTTCAACAGATTTCTAGGAAAGTTGTCAACAATACCGGCACCGCTAATGGGAACAGCGTTTAGATTACATCAGACAATAGAAGATATTGATGATAATGATCGACCATATCGTAGACGACGACAACAACAACAACGTAGTAATGCTTGGCTTAGAAGTACATATATGATGGACACTGACAATGATGGTAGTGGTGGTGACCTCGACGACATCGAAGATATCAATCCTAAATGGGTCCGAATTAATTGCTTAACTAAAAAAAACAAACAAACTTTCAATACTGTATTATTATTAGTAGTATATATTAAAAATCTTATTTACTATCAGAATGTATTAAATTTTATTTTAGTTAGTAGTTAGTTATATATTAGTTTTTCCAATTTATAAAATATTTTATTAATTATATTGTATGTATATCTGTATATTTATAGTAATATACTGTATTATTATTGTTATTATTATATTATTAGATAATTTGCCCAGGTGTTTTATATGAATTTAATTTATTATTGGTGTACGTATTTGTGACAATTCGGGCTCATAGTCACGGAAACGATACCCTTTTTACAAACAAAAATATAATTATTTAATTTAATTTATAAAATATATTAATTTAATTGTATTTAAAGTTATTTATTTACTTCGCTTATTGTTGTATTGTCTCTGCGATAATAATGTCGCCATCAATGTTGTAATGATAAGACATACTGTTAAAAGTGAACTTAAGTTAAACATTATATTCAGAAACAATATATTTACGGTACTTAATAAACTTTATTTTATAATTTTAAATAAAGTATAATAATTATAATACAGTATAAAGTTTATATCAATGATACACTTTAGTGTACTAATTAGTTGAGTTAAACTAATAAAAAAATTATAATATATTTTTTTCAAACAGGAAAAAACAGGAAATTAAAAAAAGTATAATCTCTTAACACAAAAATATTGATACTTTACTTCCTATTGTGTAACAAATATTATTATACCATAGGATTTTCAATTAATAAACAATAAAATAAATAAACATTTTTTTTAATTCTATATTATGTAAATATAATTATAGCAAATATTATAATGAAATAAATACTATAATATTACTAACATCAATAAAACTTTGAATTATTTTTATATATAAAAAATTTGTTTTTATTTTATTAATATTTATCCATTTATTATTTATTTTCATAACTCATAAAAGACAATTAAATGATGATTTTGTAAATAATTTTAATTAATTAATTACTAAAATTATATATGCATTTTATATAAAAAAATGAAATATTTATTTGCGTATAAAATTATAATATTTATAAATCATTCAGTAATTAATAAAAAAAAACCTAAAATTATATTTATATTATTATTAATAGATAGCTTTCCACACGTGTAATTAATAATGTGTATATAAATAGATAATTTTGCACGTGTAATACATAAAATTTAAAAAATACTAACTAATAATAACCAATTAAATTCATTTTACAATTTTGACAATTATTTCAAAATTTGTTTAATACTAATATAGATTTGAATTATTTAAGGAATAGGTTCGGTATGTGTAGCGCATTGGTTGTTGAGATTTTAAATGCTATTAAAATCACAATTTAGATAAAGTTTTAGATAAGATAAGATACTAGTCCTCATCTACCGTTCCTTCCCTCCTCACACATACACCACTTCCTAACCTTCCACACCCACTGAAATCTAACCTAAAATAATAAAATAGTATTGCATTTGTCATAAACTTAATGGTTATAACATGTGTCAAAAATTTAAACAACCAATGCGTTACATATACCGAATTTTAGTCGAAATTTAAACATTTTTAGATAATATTACAGTTAATTATGGATATTAAATGAGTAAATTTTTAGTAAAAGTTATTTTTTTCATTTAGTTGTCGTTCAATTCAATGTCTTATATAAAACGGTACTATCAATGTAAACGTATAGAAAATAATAAATAATCAATGTTTTAACAACGATTTTTTTAAGCAGATTTCTAGGAAAGTTATCAACAATACCGGCGCTGCTTATTGGGACAGCTTTTAGCTTAGATCAGACAATAGGAGATATTGATGATCGGCGGCACTGTAGACGACGACAGCACAGAAACGCATGGCTTAGAAATACATATATGATTAACACTGATGGTAGTGGTGGTGATGGCAACATAGATATCAATCCGGATTGGATCCGATCAAAATGTTATGCAAATGTCGCTCTAGTGTTCTGCTTGAATAAGGACGAAGTGAATTTAGGTGAGAACAGTACTGTTTACGGCACTGGTATCTGCATCGATGCCGCCAACCAACTGTTTTTGACCAACGCTCATGTAGTCGGAGGTCACGAAGTTGTGTTTATGCGTCTAATAACGCCCGGTACCATACAGATGACCTGTTATTGGAGTGTAGAAGAAATACTGTTACCTTACTTACCTGTCGACGTATTATACGTTGAAGATCATAACGATTTGGCACTTATTAAGCGCCGGGACCATCCACCCGAATATGAGTTTTATGAGGCTATAAAACTAGTCGATCGGGAACCGCAATTCGGCGAACTAGTAGCCGCCTATGGAAACGGAAATTGTTATTATACAGTATTTTCGGGTATGATTCGCGAAAGTGGATCGTTTGGCATACCTATTAGCGATTATAATGTCGACAAATTGAGTTTTACTATGGATGAGCCACATATCATACATTCGGCTACTATTGTAAAGGGATGTTCGGGTGGACCACTGATAGATAGCGAAGCCAATTGTATTGGCATTAACTTTGCCGGATATTATATCAAAAGCTGTGCAAAAACATCGAAAACGATGATATGTATGTATAGTTTAAAAATAATTTAAAATAATTATTTTTTTTGAGAGAAAATATCACAGAAATTTCTCACCAATTATTATTATATTACTTTTTTGACACATTCTATACTGTATTTATATAGCATTTTTAGAGCGAGGACTACATTATGTAGAATATGAGTTCCTATGGAAAGTGATTGATCGTCGAAATATCTATTCAATGGGTACGGCTAGTGACCGGAAATTAGGTTTACTATTGGAGAAAACTAGTAATGGATTTACAGTTAGAGATCATATTACTAATGCTGATACCAAGTGAGTAGTAGTAAAGTATATAAAATGTCTATAATTTACATATTAGGGGTAATTATCTCTATTTTTTTGGATAACATTTTTATTAAATAGTATACATGAGGGTCAAGTCATAAGACAAGTAAAAGGACAACCGTTTTTGAATATCCGTCAGATGAGAACAGCACTGGCAGAGCTCAGCACTGATAGTCCAAAGGTTAAACTGATTGTAAGCACCGATACTGAAGATATAGGTCTGACATTGAATGCTAACCTTACGGGCGATGAATTTCCATTGGTTTTCTGAAAAAATAAACTAAACAAACAAAATAATATAAAATTACATACATATTAAAAATTTTAATACAAATTACTAACTATTATTATTACTCTATCATTATTAGTAGTATAATATAATATATTTAAAATGTTATTTACAATATAAGACTGTATAAAATTTTCTAAAACTTTGTGAATTATTATTAGTATTTTAGTATTAGATTAAGTTTTATTTTTATTGCTAATATATTGTTAGTAATTTTATGGCTGTTGTATAGTATAGCTGCCACTTGTTGTTCACGCGATTAATATTTAATACAATTTTAAAGTTAAATATACAAATATCGCGTTAATTACAATAGATTTTATTAAATATAAATATATTATTATGAAATAATATTTTACATTGCAAATTAATATATATATACCTGTATATACTGTAATTAAAATTACATTAAAGGGTTGTATAATTGTTTTATACAATCAATAAAAAAAATAAAATTATCTAAATTGTTGTGAAGTACGTGTCGGCGCCAAAGATATTCGGCTAAATGTAGATAAAGGTTATCTTGTGGTATACCCCCTCTTAAAAGATTGCGTTTCATAGCTCTCCATTGAGATTCAATGGTCTGTGTGTTTGCACCGGTATGTGAATTGACAAACTCTTTCGAATGATTCACAGTAAAATGGACAAAACCTAAAAATTAAAAAATTAATTAACAATAATATGTTTTATCTATCATTTATACCATTGTCTGTTAGTCTATAATATCCAGCCCAACAGTCAGACACAATAGTTGTCCCAATTTTTACATGCTTACGTATCAAAGGTAAAAGAGTGTCGGCATCTCTTTTATTTAGGGGACATATTTCTAAACGAAATCTACCTCCACGTCGACAATTAGCTCCTATTTGAATCTCAACTAAACCTAAAATCCACGTCCCATCAACTAGTCGACCTCTATTGTACTTTCTTTTACCAACTTTTGTTTCGTCAATTTCTACGACAACTCCTGAATTAAAAGTTATCAAAATATTATCATTATAATTAGGTTTAGGTTGCGGTCGGAACTCCAGGTTAGGTAACAGAGCAAACACTAATACACTATCAGTTTGGTATTACCATTATAATTAGGTTTAGGTTGCGGTCGGAACTCCAGGTTAGGTAACAGAGCAAACACTAATACACTATCAGTTTGGTATTTCCATTATAATTAGGTTTAGGTTGCGATCGGAACTCCAGGTTAGGTAACAGAGCAAACACTAATACACTATGAGTTTGGTATTACCATTATAATTAGGTTTAGGTTGCGGTCGGAACTCCAGGTTAGGTAACAGAGCAAACACTAATACACTATCAGTTTGGTATTACCATTATAATTAGGTTTAGGTTGCGGTCGGAACTCCAGGTTAGGTAACAGAGCAAACACTAATACACTATCAGTTTGGTATTACCATTATAATTAGGTTTAGGTTGCGGTCGGAACTCCAGGTTAGGTAACAGAGCAAACACTAATACACTATCAGTTTGGTATTACCATTATAATTAGGTTTAGGTAACGTGCATAATTAAATATGTATCATATACTACCTTCTCCTCCTAAGAGATCAACTGATTGATATTTTTCGACCCAATCAAATACCACTTCTCGACAAAAGTTAAGCCAATCACTTATAGTGTTATGAGATGTTGTTTTAGTTAAATCACTTGTTTCTCGTTTAATGTCCTCATATTTTGTTGTGCCGACCGAAAACAGGTACGTCAAGATTATTATGTTTTCAATGCTAAACTTTGATCCAGAAAACCACGTATTATTCAAAGCACTTAGTCTATAATCATGAGGTTGTCCATGCTTTTGGTGGCACCGGTACGATAATTGTTTGACAATTATCTTCTACGAAAATAATTTTTTAATGTATTTTTTTGCAAATTAATTATTTACCATTTCGTTGTCACAAATGGGACACTTTTTAGTTGCTAATAATAAACCCATTGTTATACACCAGTTAATCATTGTCTCCTGTGAGACAAGTATTAGTCTAAATAATGTCTTTAGATTAATCATTTTGTTCACTAAATTTAAGTCATAGCTTTCAAAAGAAACATAACTTTCAAGAAAAACTTAACAAAGAAAATATTCTCTAATTTACAATAAAATTAATAGTAATTCACGAGACATTCATATATTTATCTTTAAAATTGTATTAAATATTAATCGCGTGAACAACAAGTGGCAGCTATACTATACAATACCCAATTTTATTATTTTAATCTTTATATCAATATGTAATATTGCACGTGCAGTAATTAAATTAATTAAAAATTACTACTACTACTAATAATAATTTATTCAATACATTTAATTTTAACGTTATTTTCAAATTTTATAATATATTTTTTTGGTTAATGTTATCGATAATTGTGTATATGAATTGACATCACCGTCAGTAACTTTATTGTAAATAATGTCGTATATAAAAAGGTAGTATAAAATTCAGTGTAAACACAAGTTTTAAGTAAATTAATAATATTTATATAATAAGATTTCTAGAAAAGTTAGCAACAATACCGGTACTAATGGGGACAGCATATATGTTACAAACACTAGACATTTATAATACACGGCATTATGGACAACAGCAACGCAACTGGAGTTGGTTTAGGAGTACATATATGATTACCACTGATAATAGTAGTAGTAGTAGTAGTGGTGGTGGTGATGACAACAATGATATCAATCCGATTTGGATCCGATTAAAATGTTTTACTAATATTGCGTTAGTGATCGGCTCGAAAAAAGATGAACCAAAAATTAGTTTTCGCAATTTCGGTACCTGTATCTGTGTTCACACTGATGACCAACTGTTTTTGACCAACGCTCACGTAGTCAAGGGTCAGGAAGTCATGTATGTGCGTCTAATGCCACACAATGGCCTGTCAGCAAAACGTTTGGCACTGTTATCTACCGTGGCTGCCGACGTACTGTACGTTGAATATCACAACGATTTGGCACTTATTAGACTCCATTATCATCCGTACAACTATGCTGTATATGAGGCCATAAAGCTATGTGATCGGGAACCGCAGTTTGGCGAACAAGTAGCCGTCTATGGACACGGAGGTACTCTCTATACAGTATATCCGGGTATGATTCAAGAGAGTGGATCGTTTGGCGTACCGTTTGACAGTATTGAGATCGATCTAATGCCCTATACTATTGATATGCCCAACATTATACACTCGGCCGTTAGTGTTGCCGGTTGTTCGGGTGGGCCACTGATAGATACCGATGCCAACTGTATCGGTAGTATTTTTGGCTCCAATTATTTCAGAAGCTATACGACACCATCGAAAAGGATGATATGTTTGTATAAATAATATTTTATATACAATTGTTGAAAGAAAATATTATTTTTTCATAATTATTATTGTTATTATTTTTTTTCGGGCACATCCTATCCGATTTGTATAGCATTTCTAAAGCGAGGACGACATTATGCAGAACATGAGGTCCTAACGAGAGTGACTGATCGTCGAAACATCTATTCAATGGGTACGTCCAGTGACCGGAGATTAGGCTTAGTATTGGAGAAAACTGGAAATAGATATACTGTTAGAGATCTTATCAATAAAGCTGATACAGAGTTAGTAGTAGTAGTTGTACTGTAAATAAATTTACAAATTAGGATTAATTATCTATTTTTTTTTTTTTGATCACATTCTTATTTAATAGTATATATGTGGGGGAAGTCATAACAGAAGTAAGAGGACAACCGTTTTTGGATATCCGACAGATTCGAACAGCGCTGGCAGAGCTTAGCACTGATAATCCAGAAGTTATACTAACTGTAAGCACTGCTACTGAAGTTACAGGTGTGGCCTTGAATGCTAACCTTACGGGCGATGAATTACCATTGGTTTTCTGAGAAAAAAAAATAAACTAAACAAACAAAATAGTCGGATATTATCATTATATAAACTATATATACTGTATACTAATATTATAAGTAACTAAAAAAATGTTATTTACTATTATATGATAGTTATTACTATTTTAATTAATAATAAGTTATATAAAGTTTTGTAATTAATTATATTAATTTCTTTATCTTATATAAATTACTATTTTTTCTAGTTTATGTAAAAAGAATATCTAATCAATTACAGTACAGTATGTCATTTATTTTGGGTACAAATAACCAATAATAAAAAACAGTATATATTGTCCGATAAAAAAATGATTTTTATTAATAACAATTATTTTATACTTATTTTGTTTTACAGTATTATTGTTAACATTATGTGAACTGCAAATATGCTGTACTTTTTATCAATTGTAAAAAATAGAGTATATAACTGATATTACAATATAATAGTAGATTAAATATATAAATGATATTTTATTATCTATAGTATCAATTTATTCAATAGTATATAAATCATTAGTTAAAAAACAAATTATTAAATATTATTGTATAAATTATAATATGTATAAAATATTGTCTATTTATTTTACATTGCTATTATCAATCGATATTTTAATTAATTATAACCAATGTGATTATTTAAGTCTAACTGGTTATGATTGGCATACTTATAATCAAAATAAATGTAAAAAAATCTAATCAAAATTTATAAATTAATTATTACTTAGTCATATTTAAAAAAAAATTATTAATTATAGCCATCAAAATCAATGCCAAAGTTCCCGGCAGTATATACACTGATCTGAGAGCTGGCAAAGTGATACCCGATAATCTCTATTATACCGATAGGGATGTCAAACTACGGTGGATTTCATATGACAACTGGACATATGAGCGCACATTTAATGGTAATACTGTATATAATAATAATAATTGTTTTTTTTAATTAACTAAAATCAAACCATTAATATTTGTGTGAACAAAAATGTTTAGTTGAGTCTAGTTTGCTAAACAAACAAAATGTTTATCTCGTGGCTAACGGTGTCGACACAGTAAGCACTGTTCACTTGAACGACCACTTGATTGGACAAACAGATAACCAGTTTGTACGATACAAGTTTGACGTACGAACGCTACTCAGGTCAGGTCAAAATACATTGCGATTGGACTTCAAATCGGCTCCACTTTATGCCAGACAACAGTATTTTGATTTTAAACATAAATACAACTATAGTGTAGGTCATGGTATGCATAAAAAATAGACATTAATCAGGAATAATATTTGATATAAAGTACATGAGCTCATATCTTATTTTAGATGATTTTGATCCCGGTGCTCAACATGGAGAAGGTTGGGTACAATTTATACGCAAAATGCAGGCATCCTTTTCATGGGATTGGGTGTGTAATTGTATTTTATTTCAAAAGTTATTACATTACCGATAACTGTCTATTATTCTAGGGTCCGGCCTTCCCAACACAGGGCATATGGAAACCAATAGGTATTGAGTCATACGATGGTGCAGTCATACGGGATATAACAGTTGAAACAACTGCAAACAGAAAGACAATACCCGTCGAGTGGACGCTGACAGTCAACGCGTTTATCGAGTCGTCGGCCAATCGCCAGTTGGACGCCGTGTTTGACATCCGATTGGACAACAATCTGTTGGTCGCAAAACTACTGAAAAAACTAAAAACCGATACCAAAGGAGAAGCTAAAGCAGTGTTTGTAATCCCTATCCCACAAAACATGTCAATTGAACAATGGTTTCCCAATGGTGTGGCCGACAATACACAGAAATTGTATGATTTGACTGTAAACCTATTGGTACCTGAAGTCAATGAGGTGTCATCAACAGAGACCAGACAAATCGGTTTTCGTACCATTGAATTGATTCAGACACCCATCAAACCCGAAGGCTTGACCTTTTATTTTCGCATAAATGGAGTACCGTTTTTTGCAAAGGGGACAAATTGGATTCCGGCCAACAATTTCATGGAAAACCTAACGGAGTCCTATTTGCGGCACCTGTTGTTGTCGGCCAAACAGGCAAACATGAATATGATGCGGGTCTGGGGCGGCGGTGTCTACGAGTCGGACCTGTTTTATCGGTTGGCCGACGAATACGGTATTATGATTTGGCAGGACTTTATGTTTGCCTGCAATATATATCCGCCGAATCCCGAGTTTCTTGAATCAGTTCACTGGGAAGTCGTACAAAACGTACGGCGACTTCAACACCATCCGTCCATCGCTCTGTGGGCTGGTATTGATAATCAATCAATTGATGTCTAATTAATTAAAAATGAATAAATAAAACAATAAATTAAATTATTTTAGGAAACAATGAAAATGAGTACGGATTGGCTGGCGGTTGGTGGCCGCGAGCACCGCAACTGTTGGATGACTATCGGAAACTGTATGTTCAAACTATTGGCAAAGTGTTGGCCGCGGAGGATCCGCATATGCCGTACGTGACTTCAAGTCCGTCAAACGGCTTGATGTCAATCGCTGAGAATTATACGGCCAAAGATCCGTCGGACAACCGATACGGCGATATTCACTACTATAATGACGGTTCAGAACTATGGAACTGGAGGTCATTACAGAGCCCGAAGTTTGCCTCAGAATACGGCTATCAATCCTATCCGTCCGTCGATACATTGAGTCTAGCGTTTCCCGACACCGATCTGATCTATCCGTTGACTGCGGACATCCAACATCATCAGCATAAGGGCTCATACATGGATGACATAATTAAAAAACAAATTGGTTTCTATCTGAGAGTTCCGTCCGCTGGTGGTATCGATCGGCTCAACGATTTCATATATAGTTCACAGATAATACAGGCGATGGCCATGAAAACCGAAACCGAGTTCTATCGACGAAATCGTCAAATAGATCCGACCAACGGTAAAGGATTTACAATGGGTGCACTGTATTGGCAGTTGAACGACATATGGCCGGCACCCACCTGGGCGTCCATCGAAAGTACCGGCAAATGGAAAGTATTGCACTCGTATGCCATCAAATTTTTGGCCAATCATTTGCTGGTTCCCTATGAGGATACCGATCAACTACTCAGAGTGCCGTTTGTTAGGGACGACTATTTAGGACAGTTAGCATTTAACTACTCGATCAATGTGTACAACTGGTCCCGAAATAAACCTGTTCATACAATTTCTGGTAACTTTACTAGCGATAGTTTTTCGGTAACCGAAATATTCAACCAATCAATACCGAAGCTATTGGCAGAAAGCAAATGTGACTCAAGAAGTGATTGTATCCTATCTATTGATGTCCAGAACAGCGATCATAATATTCAGGTAATTATTATCAATTTTTTTTAATTATTAATAATTTTATCCAAAAATATACAGTATATGTATAATATTATTGAATAATACAGTAATTATTTTTGTTTTGTTTTCAATTAATCAAAAGACAAATAACTTTATGCTATTAACAAAACCAAATGAAGCAAAGCTTGTGAAACCAAATTTACGTGTCATTGATGTCCAGAAACGTCCAGCACGTGCCGACAAATACGTGTTTGATATCCATATAAGTGCCGATAGTGTGGCGCCGTTTGTTGTATTAGACTTGAAACCTAAATCGGGAATCATCGGCCAGTTTCTAGACAACGGATTTTTTATATTTGACGGCAATTTTACGGCCACTTTTCAAACAGACACCGATATCGGTGAACAACAAATCAGAGATAATCTAATTGTTAAAACATTAACTGATGTTAAGTAAATTACATACTGTATAATATATTTGATGATATTATAGTATTTCATAAAAAAATACTTCAATAAAATTTGTTTACCAATGCATTAAACATGAAAACAAAAAATATTTGCCTAATTAATGTTTGATTTGATTTTTTTTTGTAACTATAATAAAAAATAAAAAAATTAACAAACTTATGTAATATTAAAGTGCTAGTATATCACCAGTATATTCCTTATTAGAATCGCTATTATTTAAGCACCGATAGTAAAAGCACAGGTCATACATACAGTGCACATATTTAAGAGATAGTCTTAAACAGAGGCGCCGACGACGACAGCGACGATGCTTTTAATTTCAATTATCTGCTCAACAATATTTTGGATTTAAAAATGACCAATAGCAATGTTGTAAATAATTTTAAACTAAATAAGATTGTAATTGGTAATTTTTTAATTAATTGCATCATTGGGCAGATAATTGCAGTCGACTATCATTTTTACAATTTTTTAACAGTCGACTGTATATTATATTGCCAATGATGCAATTAATTAAAAAATTACCAATTACAATCTTATTTAGTTTAAAATTATCTACAACATTGCCCTTGGTCACTTTTAAATCCAACGTATTGTTGAGCAGATAATTGAAATTAAAAGCATCGCCGCTGTCGTCGTCGGCGCCGCTGTTTAAGACTCACTCCATATTTAAATGTTTGCTTTAAAAATTAATGTTACAAAAATTAAGTATTGATGGATACCTATACTATATATATATATATATATATATATATATATATATATATATATATATATATATATATATTAATAGTTACCTAAACTACTCTTAAAAATAATGTCTTATCTAATCTAAATGCAATATTATACTCATAGCATACTGAGCCTACGTCGTCTAATGCCTCTACCACCACTACCTGTGCCCGTTGGCCTACAGTGCCAACTTTGTCTACGTTGCTGTGGTCCCATTTGTTGGTAATACTCGGGCGCCAACTGAGTTTCATATAGTCTCAGCTTTTCGGCCGCAATACGGGCGCCGTCGGTCAGATACTGGACAAACCACTGGAGACCTTCGACAGCGTCGCGAACTGTTCGACGCCATTGTTGACCGGCCGGTCCGAACAGAGTCTGCTGATGTCGGGCAGCCTGTCGTCGGATTTCATTCAGGTCTCGGTTGGTGATTGTTAACTGTTTCTGATAGATGCTGGAAATGGCCCGCAACTGTTCCAACCGTTGCTGATATTGGTGTTCATTGCGCATAACTACCCGACCGTCCGGAGCGCGGCACAACGACGCTGTCGACCGATTGGTCTCGGCCAGTAACACCCACCGGTACTCTTGGTTAGCGCCCAGCCATAGGTAGGCGTGATAGTTGACCGCGTCGTATATGGCGTCGTCCAAATCGATAAACAAGTTTGGCCTAAACCACTGGTTAAATGTACCTCATTGAGCCTGGCGACAATCCCGGTAGACATTATAGCGTAATGTTTCCAGATTGAGACCCAACCATTGGGCCAACCATTGCATGTTTTCATGATCACTGTGATTGGCCATTGGTCTGGTCAATGTACTGTCTCTATGTGTGTGTATATACTGTAAATAATATATAAATATATCTGTTTCTTATCTAACTGTCCTTAATCTGTCAGTAGTACTAACTGTTCTCATGACCAACAAATACTCTTACGGCTAAAGTTTTATCAATTGTATTATTTTTAATTAACAGATTTTAAAATAAATTTTAATAATTTAAAAAAAAAAAAATCCAGTATTGTTTATATTTATTTGAGTTAAAAATTTTTAAGACAATCTGTTAAATAGACAGTACTTTTGACATGCAATTAGATTTGTTTGTGAAAAGAAACAAAAAATTTATTTATTTTTTTAAACTTTTAATTACTATAAGGTGTATTTACAATAGTATGAAATAATTAATTTTATTGTATGGCATTATTATTATTATTATTATTACTATTATATTAATATAGTAATGTAATTAATCATAAAATTAATGTAATAGATGATGATAATAAAAAACTATGATTCAAACATTAAAATTATGATTAACAAAAAAAGTATACAGATTTTTTTGTTGTTGGTTGATATATCATACAGTATTATAGAGTTTGATGACATGATTGATTAAAACTAAAAATTAAATATAATTACAAATGTGTTAAAATTGATAGCTATATTTAAAATATATATATATAAATTATTGTTAAGACAATGTATAAACTTTTTTTTTGTTGATGTAATAATAATATTACTGAATATTTAAAAAACACTAATCAACTTTTATTCGGTAATTAATAATTAATGACTTGATTTGATCAATAATCAGATAAAATTAAAAAAATAAGGTCGTTATGGGTCGTTACAAGTCTAAGATCATCACCGAAAGTGATCCACAAAAAAAACTTCAGAGAGAGATCAGAGCACTAAACTGTTTTATGTTGTCCGACAATATATGGCAGTTTCAAATAGCAGTTACCACACACACACACAAACACAACACTGTAGATACCAGTAGATCCAATTAACCAACAAATTATGATTTCACTCTATATCATCTGGACGTATAGTTAAGCACCCGATGCTGCCGGTGATGGCCGCCGCCCGGCTTTTCTGGAGTAAAATGTTGTTTCTTGTGCTGCAGAAGATAGCGCTGGGTTTTCAATACTTTGTTACAGATGTCACAAACGAAACGGGTTTCGTTTGACGGATGCAATTCAGATTCGTGTGTCCGCAACGAACCGAGCGTTGAAAAACATTTGCCACATGCGTCGTACTTACACTGAAACGGTTTTAGGCCGTAGTGTTTGTACATATGGGCGACCAAATGTCGCTTTTGAATGGCCTGATAGCCGCAACCATCGACCGAACATTTGAATCGTTTTTCGCCCGAATGTGTCATCAAATGCATATTCAGATTCCATAAACTCTTGAACTCTTTGCCGCAGCCGATAGAGTTGCAGATAAATTGTTTCTTAAAGTGTGCGGCATTCATATGGCCATCCAATTCCTGTTTACTTAGTACCAGTTGACCGCAACTCGGATAACGGCACTCGTACGGTGTCAACGAGTGTGCAGTTTGCATGTGTTTGACGCAAGTGGTACTGATATCGGAACTAAACGGACAGCCATTGACTAAACACTTGACCAGCACACCATTGCCGCCACTTGACGTCGACGACTGGCCGCCACCACTGCCGCTAACGGCAACAGTGTTTCCGGCGTGCGATGTCTGAGACCGGTGTACGGCGTCGGCAATCATCTGATGAGTTTGCGTTTCGTGCGATGCCATCTGCGGCGACGTCTCGGCACTGGTGTCCTCGTGTAGTGTCATCTGTAGACAATCTTCGGGTCGGACTCGATGACGGTCGTTGCCACTGTCCGTGTGATAGTTATTTTGCCGAAGCGACTGTTCGTAGCCGTCCTTCAGTGTCTTGTATTTCAAGTCCAATTGGTTGAGTTGGGCGCCAATATCCTGGACTTGTCGGCACTGACAGCGCGACTTCAGATCCATCGAAAAACGTCGGATTTGATCCAACACTTCGTTCAGTTGTCGTTCAACTGACAACTGATGCCTAAGACGACGATTTTCTTCGCGTACGTCTTCAAACATATCGCGCGACACAACCAGACTGTCGGCCATTAAGATTATATGCGAGTCGTCTAATCTATCGGATCATCAATCGATCGGTTGGACAGACAGTCAGTCAGAGATTAAATCCGATTACTATATAATCAATACATTTAATTAAATTAATTTAATAAATAACAAAATTAATTGTGTTTTTTGTTATTTATTTAATTATTTATTAAAAAAAATCATTTGTTTGTCACACAAAACAAAACAAAACTATTGTTTGATTATTATTATTGATATCATGTGTTGTTGTGTTGTATTAGTATTACTGTTAGTATAGAGAGTGAGTGCCACAGAAAACATACAATCAAGAAAAAAACACATCAATAATGTATTGAAATAAAAAATCTATTATTATTGTAATTATTATACTATATATATATATATATTTAAGGATATAAAAAAAAAAGTTTTAGGGAACAAATAATATTTGAATTTTCTAGACGTTATTTATTGGGCAAAATGTAATGTAAATGTATTTTACTGTGCAAAATGTTTTAGATCAAAAAGTTTGATAACAGATTGAATTTTAGATAAAATTTATGTACAAAGATATACATTATATCGATAGATAAAAAAAATTGATGGCTATCTATATGACCCCCTCATCCCATATGACAACCACACCCGTACTAACACACGATATTATACTATATACGGTATATATACATATTAAATATATTGTATATATATATATATATTAAATTTTATGTCTACCCCTCTATTTATAGTTTAATACTTAATATATAAAATTTTTAGTTTAGATTAGTCTAAAACATTAGTGAAACAAAAAAAATTGTTTCAATAAATAAATTATTTTAATAATTATAATTTAATATTTTATTTTACTAAAACTCTCTCTCTCTCTCTCTCTCTCTCTCTCTCTCTCTCTCTATCTCTCTATCTATCTATCTATATATATATATATATATCTATCTATCTATTTTATATTGTTTTGTCTCTATATGAAAAGTTTTATTTAATATTTAAAAATATATATATAAATTAAATATTTTAGATTATAGTTTTATTAAAATTTTTTGTTGTGTGCTTGAAATATTTTATATAAAATTACATTGAAAAAGTATTGAAATTAAAAATTAATATTAAACATAATAATTAAATACTGTATATATATATTGTTGATTACTATTAATAAAAATTATATTTCATTTTTATATTTAAACTAAACTATTATTTATTTGACTTCAAAGTTGAAGCACTCTTTCGTCCACAACTCGGCCTCAGCAGCGGTCACATCGGCTCTGCTTTTATGTCCACACATATGACACCAATTGAAAAGCATATACTTTTACAGATTAGACCGTTAAACACCTGATTACTAACTGGCCTCACATTTGGTCGTCACATTTGCATCGGTAGGTATGTGTCGTCTATTCATAAATGTTAATCTAATGTATCGTTTCTCGAGAAACAGCTTTTACATGAACTAAGTTAATGTCTGTTTGGTTGAATGAAAACCTTATTACTGGTTCATTACTGGAACAGACTGTAACAATTTGATCATTTTTACGACATACCGGTGCTTTGCCATTATTCAAGTAATCAATAGTTTTTTATGCTAATAGTCAAAAAGTTTTTAATTTTTAAATACAGATGAAATAAATAATAAATTGATAACCGTATTAACAATTTGTATATGAAAATAATAAACAGCAATAATAATCTAAAAAATTCTAACTTATTTATAATATAGTAATTTTTTTAAATACTTAAAATTAAATTTTATAATAATTACTAGAATTATTAAATTATCAATCATGATTTTTTTATTAATTAATTAAAAAATTATTATTTATAATTTTATATCATTTAGGTTTTATATTATATTTAATAATAATAATTATAAAGTTTTAAACAATTAAAACCATTAATTGTTATTAACTGGTAAACAATGTTATTGTTGTTGAAAACCATTAGATTTTTTTCCTGACTTTTTTAGTCATAGTACCGTTGGATGCTTTGTCGGCCACACTTAGCCTAAAATCTCTAATAGCATTGTAAGCCGCTGTACTGTATATAACCCGTTACAATATAAATTACATTAGATTAATTATTTAAATTTTTATCAAGTCTATAATATACTAATTATATATAAGATTTATAAGATTATTATTTTCAAAAAAATATCTTTATATTTAAACATAAAAATAGTATATATATATATTACAATACAATTATTTTTTATAAAAATAATACAGGTTAGGAAATTACTATACAATTACAATTTTAAAGACGTTTTTGAAAAATTGCTAAAACAATGATAGAAACTTTACTTGTTATTGTTGTGTAATATAATACAGATGTACATGATACAATATGTTTATAAAAATTAAACATTAGCTATTTCAGCAAACAAAAAAAACAGTTTTCAACTAAATAGACTTAACATTGTTAACAGAATATACATTAACAAAAAATAAATAAATAATAATCTATACATACTTAAAACATTTAAATTGACATATTTAAAGATTTGGACATATATTTATTTTTTTAAAAAACAAGATATAAACTGAAATAACAAAAAATTAATTTTTTTAATAAAAAAATAAGATTTAATTATTGATACTTTTTATAATCTGCATGTCTGAGTGCATTTTCCACCATGGTCGAACAATCAGCACTATTGATCATATAGTTATCACCATGATGTTGATTCCAATATTGTTTAACTAATTGTTCATTGAGCCCAGGTAGTTTATATTGGTTAGCCGGTCGATTGTTTTCGCTTTTATAGTCTTCATCATAGTTGGATGCATTAGATGAGGGAACACTGTTACCCATTAGATAATCGTTGATACCATAGCTAACGTTCGGCCAAAAGCTTATGTATGTGCCATCAGATAGCTGTAGAGCACAGTGACCAATATTATTGTCATTTGGCATCCATATGTATAATGTAGCCATTTATGTAGTGATTTTATAATAATTATTTAAAATAAATAAATAATATATTAATATTATAATTAAAAAATTATTATGTTTTGTGTAAATTACTAAAACTAATTATTTGTTTAGTATTGAAATGTTAGGCATATTTATATGATTTTTAATTAGTATCTTATAATCTAAATAATATAATAATAGTAATAATTATTCTTTATTATAATATAATACAATATAATATGTAAAAGTTATACTAATAGATTGATTGTTTAAATTGATAATGGTTACCCAACAATTTTAATATTATATATATATATATATAGTTGAATATTTATATATTTGTAATATTTGTACGAAATTAAGGTACTTATAAAAATTGATAATATTTTTATTGTGAAAAATATTTAGATTAATAAATAAAAATTATAGCTAAAATATATACTAATATTATCTACAATTATAATTTAGTTCAAAGGTATATACATAAAACTGTCATAAATTAAAAGTTGAGTAAATCTAATATAATAAATATAAAATTTAATTTATTCACTATATATTTAAAGGTATATATAATTATTATTATCAAATTTATACTATTACAGTTAAATATAGTAATTAAAACATTGATTACATAAAATATTTGAATATAATTTTAATAATTAAAACAAATTGATTTAAAATTAAGAACAATATAGATTTTTATATATAAATGTTTTGACTTTTTTTAGTTATTCATTTTTATTAGTGAAAAATATATAGTTTTATTTAATTTTCAATTTTTAAAATAAATTTGTTTAATATTAATGAATATATACCGGCACTATTTTTCAGTCAAATTTTATTATAAAGATAAATCGCAATAATAAAAATTTTAGCATACTGATAACATAAATAAATAAAATTTCATTTATTCAATAAGCAAATAAAAAAAATTTTAAAAACATAATTTTCTAATATTAAATAAAAATTATTTTCTAAAATTAATTTATTTTATTAATTATTTTTTATATTTTATTTAGTGTTATTTGTTATAAAATCTTTCATTGCAAAAAATTATAATTATTAAAAACTAATTAAAATTTAATTTATGGTTGTAAATTAATTATAATTTTAATAATATTTTTCTAAAATTACAAATAATTTATCTTGATATTAATTATTATTAATTAATTTTAATGTTAAATTTCAAGTGTTTAATAAACACTTTACTTATTAATCAGTGAAATAAAAGAGTTAACAATTTTATATTTACTACATAAGCGCATAAATATTATAATATTTGATAAATGAATTTCATTAATTCATTTTAAGCAAAAACAAGTAAATTATTTATGATAATTGCTATAGAAATTGTTTAAAAGTAATTTCACTTATATTATAGTATTATAAAAAAAATTCTGATAATTAATATTTATTTAATGCAATACACAAAATAAAATACAAAATAGTTTAATTAATTTTTAGATATAAGTTTAATAAATAAATTAAAAAAAAACAATGTTTAGTTATGCTCAATAGTTGTTTGATCATTAAATATGTAAATTTTAATTATTATATCTATAAATATAATATATTATTTATTTATTTTAACTTTTACTATAAATGTCTGTTATCATTATAGTTTAATTAAATACTAAATTGTTAAAACTTATAATTATTTTATAAAATTAAACTTACATTTTTTAAATATTACTTATTATCATTTTCTCAACATATAAACCTAATCCTATAAATATCATATATTTAAAATAATGTTATGTTTTAATTAATTCATAATATATATATTTTTAACTGAAAATTAAACTTGTTTTATTTTGTAGATCTTGGATCTAAAATCATTTGATAAACCAGTTCACACTATTTTGTATCTAAAATAATATTCAACAATTAAATATAATTATGTTATTTTCATATAAAAAAAATAACATAACTATTATTTATTTTAACACTACGTTGTTTAGATTCTATTAATTTATATATATATTTTTATAAATATTTTAAATGATCAAGTCACTAATTAATAATATATCTAAATGTCTACGTGCAAACCCCAATTTGACCAGTATGTATCAAATTAATAATAATAATAATAATAATAATATTTATTTAATTTTAATAATTTTGTTGAAAACTGTTAGTTTAGAAGATGATACTGTTTCTGAACAAAATGTTCATGGTCAATTATTTGAATACAATGTTGTTAATAAATTATCAGTGAATTTATTATCAAAATTTTATCCAATTGTTTATCATCCTAATTATAATGTTGGCTTATTGGGCCTACACTATCTACATTATTTTGATACAACAAAATGGTCCAGAATTAATCAATTATTGATTCAACATTTTGGTAATAAGGTATTTTATTTTTGTTATATTTTTTCTATTATTTAGATTTATTATAATAAAAATTTAATAATTTAATATATATATATTTATATGTATGTATGTATATATTTATATAGTTTACATATTTTGCACCTAAACGCGAAATTAACCGTGATGAATTAAAATTGCTTTATAAAGATGAATTTATTGATCAAATTCATAGCAATTCAAAATTTCTAGCCAATGCAGCGGAAATATATTTATTAAGATTTGTACCCAGTTCATTATTACAATATCTATATGTCACACCAATGAAATGGCAGACAAGCGGCAGTATATTGGCAGCACAGTTAGCCATTGAACATGGTTGGGCAATCAATCTGGGCGGTGGCTTTCATCACGCATCACAGCTAAAAGCTGAGGGATTTTGTTTGTTGGCTGATATCAGTTTGATTATCAAATATCTTTGGAAATATCGGAATCCAGATCTAAAATTTATGATTATTGATTTAGATGCTCATCAAGGTAAATTTGTTTTGTTTTTTTTGTTGAAAATACAATTTACAATGTACAATTTTATTTAGGTAATGGTTATGCTATTGATAAATCAATTTTATTAAGTAAAGAGCGAGATCAAATCTATATATTTGATTTATATAATAAAGATATTTTTCCGAATAACGCTTTTGCCAAATTAGCAATTAATGAACATATAGAAATTTCATCGGATATTCAAGATGATGAATATATTACATTGCTAAAAAAGTAATAAATAATTTTAACTAAATTAATATATTATAAATGATAATTATTATTTAATTATATAATGTAGAAATTTAGCATGCGCATTCAATGAATATAAACCTGATCTAATTATCTATAATGCTGGAACTGATGTTTTAAATGGCGATCCATTGGGCAATATGAATTTAACAATAACTGGTGTTATTGATCGTGATCAAATTGTTTTTGAGCATGCTAAAACTAATAATATACCAATAGTCATGCTAACAAGGTAATATACAGTACAGTAATAGTAGTAGTAGTGTATATAATGTTTATTATTGTAAAGATTTAAAGTTTAAATTTCAGTAATATTGTGTACAGTTAACTTTACGCTAAGAAAGGTAACTTAGTATACAGTTACCTAATATTAGGTAAGTTATATAAAGTACCTTGCTAAAGCATTGCATAATATTACTCAAATTTAAACTTTTAAGTGGCATAAACTGTATATTAAAAATTTATTTTTATTGTTTTTTTTGTTGTCATTGTTATTATTGTTATATGAATTTAGTGGTGGATATCAACAAAACAATGCCGAAATTATTAGCAAATCGATAATTAATTTATTTGATAAAACTATAATTCAAGAAATTGATTTTAAACATGAAATAAAGTCATTAAATAAATTGTAATCAAGTTTAATGAAAATTTTTGTAATACTATTATAAAAAAATAGTTTAATAATTACTAATGATTTAAATTAATTTTAAATTCAATTTTACATATTACAGAAAAAACTAAAAGTCAAAAATAAAAATTTAAAAAAAATAGTGATTATACAATTGATTTCTATAAACATAATAATATAAACTATTATTTATTTGACTTCGAAGAGGAAGCACTCTTTCGGCCACAACTTAACTCAGCGGCGGTCACATCGGCTATGCTTTTGTCCACACATAAGACACCAATGGATAGGCAAACACTTTTACAGGTCAATCCAAATACCTGACCACTAACTGGCCGTTCGGCCAGCCACAGGTCGTCACACTTGCACCGGTAGGTAGTGTTCGTAAAGGTTACTCTATGGTCACGTTCCTCGAGAAACGGTTTCCACGCCGACTCTACCAATGTTTTCAGTTCGCCATTGTTTTCCATTTGGATGAGGACTTTATGGTTGGTATACTGGGGTAGGAAATACCGGCCAAATGTTGTCCCATTGTAACGCAAATTATTCAATTTGATTACTTTGCTCATATTGTTGCCGACAATATTCAAACTGTGATCATCAATCATTGTAATCGGATTGTATGACAGATCCAGTTCCCTGAGTTTTGGCAATTGACTAAATGTTTGACTGACCAAACGGTTTAGTTGATTGTGTGACAGTTGTAAGCGACGTAACGGTGCTTGCAATGCGTTTTTCGGTATTTGCTTTTTATAGTTTTTATTAATAATATATTTAGTCAATCAAACTATTTTTATATACAGTACATAGTTATATCATATAATATATACTGTATTAATAAAATTTTAATACAAAAAAACAAATAAATCAATACCCGTATAGCAGTGCCTGTAATGGCCAGTGTGTCCAAAATGTTTAGCTGACCGATAAACCCGAACAGACGTTCGTCCAGTTTTTCGGACCAAACAATTTGCAAATTACGAACAGTCGTACTCTTGCCAAAAGCCAGAGCCTCGATGTGACCGAGATATCTGTTGTTAATAAATCGGATTTCCTCGTAAAAGCCGTCGGCAAACGTATGATTGTCGATACGGTTTACACGAGTCGACCGTATATTTAGTTTGCGTATTTGGACGCTCATCGGACGCAAGTGGCGACCAATTTGTATCAGTTCGTGGCGTCCGATGCCATCTCCCGCACAGGTAATCTCTATGCCATTGGTTGACTCATTTCCCGAACACTGGCACGGATACAGCTCAATGGGATCGGGACATAATGATGATGATGATGACGATGACCCGATTATACAGCTAATTGTTGTCACAGTTAGTATGTATATCACGATATAAACTTTTAAATATAATAATAATAATAACATTTATATAAATAAAATTAATATTGAAAAAATATTTTTTTTGTATAGTAATTAGAAAATTAGTTTTTTTGTAGTTAAAATAAAATTATTAATTTTACCTTTCATTTTGTTATAAATATTAGTTTATTAGCAATTATATAGTATTTTATTTTTAAAATATATTTGCTACTAAACTAAATATTAAATTACAATTATATATATATATATATATGACAAATAATTTTATTTATTTTAATATTTTACTAATAATAAGTAAAAATAAATGCATTACTTAGATAAACAGCAATAGATTAATGTTAATCATTACATATAAACTTGAAAATATATTTAATGTCTGTAATAGTGGTAAACTAAGTCATTAATTATATTTGATTCAAACAATTAGTTCATTATTTAATTTGAATTTTATGACATTTTAAAAATTATCTAAATTTTATATAAATATTTGTAGTAGTAGTAGTATTAGTACTTTATTTAAAACATAATAATAATAATTGTTATATATATGTTTGTTTCAATTATTTTGCTATATATTGTCATATATTGAATAATTTACAATTAAATTAGTAAAAAAAATTAAGTAAATATTTCAGAGTTGTTGTATCAAAATATATAATAATTACATAAATATATAATGACTTATAATTTTAAATATAGTTTATAAATTTTAAATATTTAATTTAAATTATTTGAACTATGAAATAAAAATTGTAAAATAAAAAGATTGCGATGGATTAATATCAAACTATTTTTATAACATTTTTAAAAATAAGTTTTTATATTTCACAACATTGTAGATGTAATTTAATACTTTATATCCTTTAAAAACTTGAATATTTTAGTGGCAGACAAACAATTAATATGTGAAATATTGTAGCATTTTTTTGTAACAATTATTTTTATACAATTTATTGACTGAATTTATTGAACAATAATTATAGTTATAAGGAAATTAGTAATATGTCTATAAAAATAAAATTTATAAACTTGAAAAATATAAATGTAAATAAAATTATATAATCATGTTTATTAATTTTTTTATTGCTAATAAAATATAACTAAAAATAATTAATAATGATAAATAATAATTTTTTATTAAAAAATGTTTAAAATTTAATAGTACCATATTTACATATAATAAAAATAATGATACATTTTATTAATTTATTATTTAAATTATTATATATTTTAAATTTAATCATAAAATCTACAACAAATGATACATGGAAACTTGTTTGGAATGATGAATTTGACCATGATAAATTAGACATTAATAAATGGCAAATTAATGATGAATGGGGCGATAAATTTTGTAACGGTATATATATTATATATTTTATTTGTAATTAATATAATTACTTAATTAAAAAAATAATAATTATACAAGGTAAAATATACAATGAACTACAATGCGATACAGATAATAGCAAAAACCTACACGTGCGCAACGGTAGTCTAGTCATAGCGGCCGCTCGTGAAAAGCATCCGCGCGACAGTATGTGGTATTCATCGGCTCGGGTTTTCACCCGACAGAGCTGGACATACGGACGCTTTGAACTGCGGGCTGTGCTTCCCGTCGGCAATCGGTTGCGGCCACTTGTTTATCTTTTTCCGGACAGAGCTGTATCGCCGTTTCTCGACAGCGAAGCCATACATTTTGTGTCCAACAAACAGACACAACTGATATACAGTGGTATTCACTATAAGGGTGGTGATCAATACAGCGGCGACCGATACATATCACGAGTACCGTTAAACGAGTATCATTTGTATACACTGGAGTGGACACCCGATCGTATGGACTGGTGGTTTGACGGTACAAAGTACTATACATTTCAACTGAATCGTAGAATATCTAATGATTATAACAATGATGGACAGCCGTTTCGGTCGCCATATAATTTGGACATACATTTGGCAGTTGCCGGTGAATCGCAAACATTGGATGACAGGCTCGACAATAACGACTGGTTTCTGTGGAACTGTTCGGCGCTTATCATTGATTACGTACGGGTTTATCAAAATATCGATCAAACAGTCAACAACAACAACAACAATACTACCAGTGCTACTAATACTACAAATGCTACCTCAAATAATTTTTATACTGATATAACAACTAATACTATCAGTAGTGGCGATTCAAGTGTACAGATTTGTACAGATATTATGTCATCGTTGAGGACAGACATGCCGTATATACAACCAGTAATTGATCACAAAAACAGCACCAATAGTCACCAAATGTCTAATAATGTTCAAACAGTCAGCATAGTTTTGGGATCAGTATTGGTATCGGTAGTTGTAGTGCTCATACCTATTGGCATAATAATTTGGTACAAATCCAGACGCTTAGAGTCGGTCAGCAAACTACCGACGCCACCGCCGGACACAGATTCTGTATATTATGATAATTGTGAAGTTGGTGGCGACGGTGTCAGCGATGACTACACATCAATCCCGGAGCAGCCGTACGAATCATTCAATTTTGACTATGGATACGATGAACTTAAACCAGATTTTATTGTCAAAAATAATAATAATAAACCAAAATATTTGTCAATACATTTGGCTAACGATTATATAAATAATTAAAAAATTTAAAACTATAAAATTTATTAACCTATGAAATGATTATGAAATAAAATATTTATTGTAAATAATGTTTCTATAGTTGAGATTATCATTATATTTAATAAATATCTATAATAATTATAATAAAAATCTTAATATAAATTTTAATAAATAATATAATAGTACAGTATCTTAAAGGTAATAATTTTCTAATGCTATTATTATAAATAGATAGAAGTGAAAATTTTCGGCTATTTTAAAGTTTATCTATTTTTTATTGTTATAATAAATATTATATTTAAATTTATACTCGTAAAATAGTTATTATAATAATTGTGTTTTTTAATTTAATTAATAAATTACAAGGCGCCTTTTTTAAAAAAAAAAACTTTCTATTGTTTTATTATTTTTTAGATTCCACATTGACATTAAGGGGGGGGGATTTACTATTATATTTATTTACATTTTATATATTGATTGTAAAACAATTATGGTTATAAGGAAATTAGTCATAAATCTATAAAAAAAAAGATAAATAAAATAAATAGACTTTAAAAAATATAAATATAAATCATATTATTCAATATATTTTTTATAAATATATCTATCAATTCTTTATAATAATTAAATTGTGATGAATTTAATTAATTTATTATTAAAATTATTATATATTGTTAATTTTATTTTAAAATCAACACAACATAAAACATGGACGCTTGTTTGGAATGATGAATTTGACCATGATAAATTAGATATTAATAAATGGCAAATTAATGATGAATGGAGGGATAAATTTTGTAACGGTATATATACTATATATTATAAATATATAGTAAATTTTATTTATTTATATAATTAATTTATTGATTGATTAAACTAAAATAATTGTCCAAGGCAAAATATACAATGAGCTACAGTGCGATACCAGTCATCACAAAAATCTACACGTAAGGAACGGTAGTCTAGTCATAGCGGCCGCTCGTGAACAGCACCCGCGTTTCGGTATGTGGTATTCGTCGGCTCGGGTTTTCACCCGACAGAGCTGGACATACGGGCGCTTTGAACTGCGGGCTGCGCTTCCCGTCGGCAATCGGTTGCGGCCAATTGTCTACCTGTTTCCAGATAATTCTGTATCGCCGTTTCTCGACAGCGAAGGCATACATTTTGTGTCCAACAAACAGACACCACTGATATCCAGCGGTGTCCACTATAACGGCGGTGACCAATACAGCGGTGACCGATACATATCGCGTGTACCGTTAAACGAGTTTCATCTGTATGTACTCGAGTGGACACCCGATCGTATGGACTGGTGGTTTGACAGTACAAAGTACTATACATTTCAACTGAATCGTAAGATATCTAATGACTATACCAGCGATGGACAGCCGTTTCGTTCTTCATATAATTTGGACATTCATTTGGCAGTTGCCGGTGAATCGCAAACACTGGACGACAGGCTCGACGATAACGACTGGTTTCGGTGGAACTGTTCGGCGCTTATCATTGATTACGTACGGGTTTATCAAGACATTGGTTATCATACAGTAGTAGTCAACGATACTACCAGTCCTACTAATAATACTGATGGTATCAATACTTTTCATACGACTACTGACATGACTAGTAATACCAGTAGTGCTGATTCAAGTCTACAGATTTGTACGGGTATTATGGAATCCTTGAGGACTGTTATGCCGTCTATACATTCAGTAAATAATAGCAACAATAGCAACACCAGTAGTAGTAGTAGTCATCAAATGTCAACTAATAATCAGACCGTCATTATAGTTGTTGGATCAGTATTGGGATCGGCAGTTGCTATACTCATACTTGTTGTCATAATTATTTTGTATAAATTTAGACGTATTGAGTTGGCCAGCAAACGGCGTCCGCATTCAGTATATTATGATAATTGTCAAGTTGACGGCGGCGCCGCCGATGACTATAATATCCCGGAACTATATCAGCCAATCAATAACGATTATGATGAACTTAAACCAGATATTATTACCAATAATAATAATAATAATAAATATTTTTCAATGCATTTGTCAAATAATTGAAATTATAACTAATATAAACTAAAATATATTATAAAATAAAAGATAAATACTGTATATAAAATTGAAGACTTTGTTTAGTGTTTAAATATTTCTTTAATTTATTATAATTAAAATCCAAAAAAATATATTAAATGTTAATAAATTTTTTAAATGTTAGATTGGATAGAAAATAATATCTAGAAATTATTAAAAAATTTAGTTATTTTTGTTTATATAATAAATTATAATTATAAATCTTATATAATATTTTGAATATAACAAAAATTATTTATAAATACTATATCATAAACATTATTTTAATTATCACCAATTTCTAAGTAATTTTTATTTGATCAAGGTTATAGATAATTATTTATATATATTTTTTATTATAAAATTTTAAGACAAATACTGTTTCGCAAATAACATAAATGTTATATCTCAATCTTAAATTATATTAATATCTAAAAAATAATATAAGCTATTGGTGAATATTTTTTGTGCATTTAAAATTATTGTATATTTAATAGGACTGCTAAAATATA